AACAACGCTGACAACCTGAGGCCCGACTCAGCCACCCTTGACTCTGACTGAACTCGCTCTGAGGCGCGGCCTGGACCTCACCAGCAAGAGAGGCCAGCAAGAGGAGGCACTCCAGGTGCCTAACGGCACTGGAGTGAGGCACTTCCGCCCTAACGGCTGCGACCGTGCGGAACTCACCTCCGCGCCCGGGAAGGAGCCGCAGCGCACGACTAAGGGTGACAAGACCTCGCTACACAGCGAACGCCAGCGCGCCCGGTGCAACAACTCAGACGCAAACCGGATCCACAACCGCAGTCTCGCGCGTCCTTCCCAAAGCCTCACAAGAGGCTGGTGCCCGCGGGAAGCAGAAGTCGCGGACGCCGGAAACGGGGAGACAGCTAGACTACATTTCCCAGAATGCGCCGCGCGGCGCCGTTCGGGCAGATGCCGAGAGGCCTACCTGCGGCAGAGCGAGGGGTCGTGTTGCTTTAAGGGTCTTCCCTGGAGGTGACCCGGTGAGGGGCGGGCGAGAAGGGGCATCAGCCCCTGGGCGCCACGTCGTCATTGCCGGTCCCTTGCGTGCTCCTCTTCTCCGTTTCCACATCTGTGAATGGGGACATTAATTCGTTCAAAACCCTTTCATCCATTCATACATATTTTTTTTTCTTTTTTTAAAATTTTATTATTCATACATATATTTTTTAAAGCGGCCAATTGAGCGATCCCATCCGCCAGCTCTGCTAGGCGCTGGGGTTTCGGCGATGATGAGCAAGTGCTTTCTTTCATAGAACTTACATTCTACCAAGAAAAAGGTATACACTGGACAAATAATTGCACAAATAATTGTTTAGTCACCTCTTTGGTAGATGATGCCAAAGCAGTAGAGGAGAGGGGACCTGACCCTCTTAGGGTGAATGTGTCAGAGGGAAGGTAGCTTAGAGTTAGCCTGGGGGTTTGGGTGGGGGGAAAGGTTCACATAGAAGGAACCGCAAGTGTGAAGATCTTGAGGCCCGAGAGATCAGGGTGCATTTGCAGGACAGAAAGGAGACCAGTGTGGTCCCGGTGCAGGGGGCCAACCTTGGGAGACAAGACTGGAGAGGTGGGACCAAGCAGGGGTCTCTGGAAGGCTCCCAGGAGGATTGAATGTTATATCCCTAGAGCCAGGAGAAAGGCGTATTTTGGGCTTTTAAGCAGGATAGTGGCCTGGTAGGAGAGGAAGCTTGGTGGAATACAGATGTTGGGGAGTCCATAGGGACGCAGTGAGACTGCCTGGAAGCTCTTGGGGTCTGAAAGTGAAAGTGTTAATCACTCTGTTCTGTCTAGCTCTTTTGGACCCCCATGAACTGTAGCCCGCCAGGCTCCTCTGTCCATGGGATTCTCCAGGCAAGAATACTGAATGGGTAGCCATTCCCTTCTCCAGGGGATCTTCCCGACCCAGGGATCGAACCCAGGGATCTAACCCAGGTCTCCAGCATTGGAGACAGATTCTTTACCATCTGAACTAAGAGGGAAGCCCTGAGGGCTGAAGTTGAAGTAATACTGAGATGGTGCTAGTCACTCAGGGAGGGGAATGACCCAGATTCCTGAAGCAGAGTCCACAGCGCCCGGGGAGTGACTGGGCTGGGGTGAAGGAGGGAGAAGACAAGAATAATGCATTAGTAAAATGAGGACAGTAACACCTGGGGTAGGTAACCTCGTGATTTAAATGTGCAGTGAAATGCCTGATACATAATAAAGGCTTGTGCTAAATCACTTCAGTCATGTCCGATTCTGTGCCACCCTGTGGACTGTAGCCCACCAGGCTCCTCTGTCCCTGGGATTCTCCAGGCAAGAGTACTGGAGTGGGTTGCCATGCCCTCCTCCAGGGGATCTTCCCAACCCAAGCATTGAACCCGCATCTTTTATGTCTCTTCCACTGTAAGTGGAGTCTTTACCGGTGAACCACTGGGGGGAAGCCCAATAAAGCCTTAATATATGCTTAATACATGCTAATTTTTAAAGTAATAAAGACTGCTTCTGTGTTTAGAGCAATGTTTGTAATGATAAAAGCCTAAAAACAATCTCAGTGTTGATCAACAGAATGATGGATGGATAAATCTCACAGAGATTATGTTGAGCTAAAAAGCAAGTGACAGAATGAAATCATTTCCATGAATTATAAGAACACACAGAATGAAAAAAAAACACAGAACGATGCTGTGTATGATTTAGGAATATATACATATGTGGTATCACTAAATGTATATGGGCCATGACCTAGTGACTAAACAACAACAGCATAGATGGTAGAGGGTAAAGAAAGGTGGAATTTGGGTGAACACCTAATTCAAGATGATGGTTATCCCTGGTGACAGGGGCAGGGGCTGGAGAGAGATGTGATGGGGGAAGAGTGCAGGTGGCATAAAATGCAAGTTTTTGTTTGTCTGTTTTTTTTTTATTTTGGCTGTGCCGAGCAAGCGACTTGTGGGATCTCAGTTCCCCGACCACAGATTGAACCCACCCGACCACGGATTGAACCCGGACTGTGGCAGTGAAAGTGCTGAATCCTAACCACTAGGCCACCAGGGAAGCCCATATATGTGTACATGTATCCCCTCTTTTTTTGGATTTCCTTCCCATTTAGGTCACCACAGAGCACTGAGTTGACTTCCCTGAGCCCTCCAGTAGGTTCTCATTAGTTAGTCTATTTTATACATAGTATCAATAGTGTATATATATGTCAATCCCAATCTCCCAGTTCATCCCTCCCACCCCACTTTCCCCCTTGGTAACCATATACTTGGTGTCTACCTCTCTGTCTCTTTCTGCTTTGCAACTAATTTCATCTGTGATTCCCTGTTTTTAAAAAGGCCCACTATTGTTAGTTATTGGGTTTCCCTGGTGGCTCAGTGGTTAAAAAAAAAATGTGCCTGCCAGTGCAGGAGACAGGAGTTTGATCCTTGGGTTGGGAAGATCCTCTGGAGAAGGAAATGGCAATTAGCTCCAGTATTCTAGCCTGGGAAATCCTATGGACAGAGAAGCCTAGTGGGCTATAGTCTGTGTGGTTGCAAAAGAGTCAGATGTGACTTAGGGACTAAACAACAACAGCATTGTTAGTTGATATGATGACTTTATCATTATGACATGAACCTGATTAGCATGCAGCACAATGGGAACCCCCCCATACCTATAAAATGGAACAAAATATTCAGATAAATGATCCCTTATGGGACCTAGGCATCTGTGAGCAGGCTTGCCTTCACACATCCTGGGAGAGTAGGTTGGGGGTACTGTCCCTGTTTTCTGCAGGAGGAAGTGGAATCTAGGATGTCAGGTGACTTGCTAAAGTCCTAAAGTCCTTCAGCTAAAAAGGGGCAGAGCTGGACGTGTCATCCATACTTGCTGGGCCTGGGGAATCCCGAAATGTGTCAGCTGAAGCCCCACTCCCACCCCGCCCTCACCCAGCTGATACAGGTCAGGAAATGCAGAAGAAATCTGTGTACAGTCATTACTGTTACTGGGTCCACAACTGAGTCTATGCCAGGCATGGACTGTAGCATCTCTGTGGGCATGACAAGAGCTTCCAGAACTGGAGGGAAAGTCGTCAGCAGAGAACAGGACCACTGTCCCTGTGAAATGGAGCTGGACCCTATGGTCCTTACCCTCCATGTCCTCTGCCTGCCTTCTGTCCGTGGAAAACTTCAGTCAAAAAACAAGTTTAATCAGAGAAAGGAGAAATGCAGAAACATAGGAAAATGGTCAAAGGAGACCAAATAACAATGATGTATTCATTAAGCATAGTCAAGGAGAACCTTTAGTTCTTTCTCAAGGGCTATAGATAATATTCTGAGCCACATCCTGTGAGCTGTCTTATAGATACTGAAACACCAAGTGGAGAAGTTAACTACTTGATAACCGGACTGCACCCACCACAGAAGCTGCCACAATTCTGAAAATTGGCCTCAAAGAAATGGGGACAAATGGACCCTGAAACTGAAGATTAACTGTGCCTAAAACAACCAAGATGATGCTGGTCAGACCACCAGTGACCAATTTGAAGATGACTGTCAGAGCTGACTGTGCTGCTTCTGCATGTAGCCCTCTCCTTCTGTCTATAAAAGCTCATGTCCCACTGGAGGCCAGTGGGCAGGGTGGGGGTGGGGAGAGTCAGCCTTTGGACTGACATCCACCCTCCCCCAGCCCCAGTCATTGGCATCTGAAATAAAGCACACTTTCCTTTCCACCAGCCTGGCTGGTATTAGCTTTTGAGTGGTGAGTAGCCGGACGTGCCTCTTCTTTCGGTAACACTTGGAATACCTACTCCCCTGCCCCCCAAATAAGGATTGCCCTGGTGATGAGGGGTGCTCAGACCAGCAGCTGGGACACCGCTGATGCTCCCCAGGGTCACTTTCTGGATGCTCACCGCCTGCCGGTGCCCTGGGGGAGCTCAGGCGTACTGTGAGGGCTTCGGTGAAGTCCATTTCCTTTCCAGGGATCCCGAGGGCCCTGGCAAGTGCTCACGCATCCTGTGGGCACAGCCTCTTCCCTGGACTGGTGGTCTGTGCTATCCTGTCGCCTCTGAGAACTGTTTCTCCTCGGTGGCAGCCACATTATGAGTCACTTCGTTTTATCTGCACAGCACCTCTGTAGTGTGGGGATAGTGTCATCCCCACTTTGTAGATGAGGAAACTGAGGCCCACCAGAGAAAGCAACTTGCTCCAAGTCACATCTTATGATGCCTGTGCAGGAGGGAGGCATTGTGACCAAGGACAGAGCCTGATCTGGACCTTGACCCTGGTTCTGGGCAGAAGAGTGGGCTGGTTGTCCAAGACAGGGCCTCCCAGCTCTTCAAGACTCCTGAGGGCCTGGGGTCTCACACTGTTACTTTAGAAAGAACCATACTTTTATTGGAGGGTAGCTCAAAGAAGTCATTTACAAAATGCTTTTTGTTTTCAAAGCACAGCTTTTCATAAAAAGCAATGTCTACCTTTAATACATGCTTGAGTACACAGCTGCATGTTGGGGGGCTGCCCAGCACCCATTTAGAAGTCCTCGTCTGAGTTGTCCTCGGCCCACCGGCACACCTTTGCAGGCCCGGGGCTGGCCCGGGTGCCCGTGGGGGCCGGGCCGGGGGCAGGGGACGGGGCAGGGGCCAGGTCCACCCAGCCGGGCCCCCGGGGCAGCGCGTGGCTTTCTTTCAGTCTGATGATGCGGTAGTTCTCGTAGTGGACATTGTGGGTGATGTCCTTCAGGTCTTGGAGGTGGGAGCTGGGAGATGGGCGGCCGGTCAGCGGGGTGGGCCGTGGGCGTCCCCCGGGGCCCCCACGGCCTCCCGGATTCCCCACTGGCTCACCGGATGAGCAGGTCTCTCAGGAGGGGGAACTCACAGTGGGCCATGTTCTCCACTGCAAGACATGGCGCCAAACCCTGTGTGTGGGCTCTGCTCGGTGCTCTGCCCTTGGCCAGCACTGAGTAAGCGCCTGCTCTATGCTGCACTCCCCCACCCCCCACCACTGCCTGCCCCTCCCCACATTTCTCCCATTCATTCATTCATTGCTGTATCCCCAGCCCTTGGTACAGGTGGCTCCTGTAAACGGCTGTTGGGTCACAGGACTTCCCTCTGCTCCTTCAGGCCCACCCCCCCAACCCCACACGTTTCCTTCTCGTGCATCCCCACCTGTCCTTGTCTGGCCACCTCTGTGGGCACGAGGACCCTGTTGGGCCCACTTTCATTGTATCCCTTTGGGAGCTGCACATAGTGTGCCCGGCACATAGTAGGCCCACAATAAATTCTGGTGAATGAATAGGGTGCCTCCTGGGTGCCAGGTTTCAATGCAAAGTGGTGGTTCTGCCCCCTCCACCCACCCTATGAGGCTGATGACTTCATGATAGCCATTTGTGAGGAAACTGAAGGAGTTGGGTAATTTGCCCGGGGCCACCCAGAAGCACAAAGGAACTTGACCCCAGGTCTGACTGTTTTCTGGCTCTGGGCTTAAACCCCCACCAGACTCTCTGGTGGGTGTGAGGATGGCAAGGGCAAGAGGCTGAGCCTCACTTTGCAATCTGTTCTCCCCTGAGCCCTCCCTAGGGTCCCTGAACTGACCTTCAATGATGCCCCACTTCGTCTTCCGGCCCAGGACACACCTCCCGTTCACCATGTGCTCTCGGTCGGCCCCGACCACAGCGAAGGGGATCCTCTCCTGCAGGGAGGAGACAAGACAGGAGGGTTGGCCTCACTGGGGACGTGGAGAGAGAGGTATGAACCCTCAGGTTGCTGCCCTTTGTGGGGACAGAAAGTGGCCGGAGGAGCACAGATGTCTGAAGTCGGAGGGCACAGAGCCTGATCGGTGCTTTGGTTTCCTCGTCTGCAAAATGGGAGACATGATAATACTGATGCAGGGCTCTGAATATTTGGGAAGGGCTTAGCAGTTTGAAGGGCTTAGCAGAGCAAGTCTTGGAAACCAAGTGTTACTCAGTGATGTCAATTTGTTACAGTGATGTCAAAGTGTTACTCAGTGATGTCAAAATGTCAAGTTACTAGTGATGTCAATTCCGTTCATGTCCTATCTCTTACCTGAAAGCGATCACCTTTAACCATTATTATAAGGTTAAAAGAGACAATTTTGGACTATAATTTGAGGATACATGCACCCCTGTGTTCATGGCAGCACTGTTTACAATAGCCAAGACATGGAAACAGCCTAACACCCTGTGACAGATGAATGGATAAAGATGACGTGGGGTGTGTACACACACACACACACTCACACACGCACAATGGAATATTACTCAGGCATAAAAAGAATGAAGCGATGCCATATCATACTAAATGAAGTAAGTCGGAAAGAGAAAGACAAATACCACGTGATATCACTTATAGGTGGAATCCAAACTGTGACACAAATGAACCTACCTGGGGAACAGAAATAGACTCACAGACACAGAATACAGGGTTGTGGTTACCAAGGGGAAGGAGGGTGGGGGAGGGGTGCATCGGGAGTTTGGATTAGCAGATGCAGACTGTTATATATAGAAAGGACAAAAACGAGATCCTACTCTATACCACAGGGAACTGTATTCAATAACCCGTAACCATAATGGAAAATTATATATGTAACTGAATCATTTTACTGTAAACCAGAAATTAACACAACCCTGTAAATCAATGATACTTCAGTAGAAGAAATTTGAAAGAGAGAGAGAACTTTGTAAACCAGGGGCTGGCAACCTATGGCTCCTGGATCAAAGCAGTCAAATTCATGGGCATACAACCCAGGCCATTCATTTACTCTTGTCTATGCTGCTTTCATACTACTTTGGGAGAGCCGAGTAATTGCAGCAAAGTCTAAAATACCATTGTCTGGCTCTTCACCAAAAAAAAAAAGTTTGCTAAGCCCTTTTGTAAACTTTAGTTTCTTACTTGTTCATGGCTAGAAAGTACAAGTGAACCTCACTCAGTCGTGTCCGACTCTTTGCAATCCCCGGGACTATACAGTCCATGGAATTCTCCAGGCCAGAATACTGGAGTGGGTAGCCTTTCCCTTCTCCAGAGGATCTTCCCAACCCAGGGATCAAACTCAGGTCTCCCTCATTGTGGGTGGATTCTTAACCACCTGAGCCACAAGGGAAGCCCAAGAATACTGGAGTGGGTAGCCTATCCCTTCTCCAGCGGATATTCCCAATCCAGGAATCGAACCGGGGTCTCCTGCATTGCAGGTGGAATCTTTACCAACTGAGCTTCTAGGGAAGCCCATTCGTGGCTGCAAGTGGAGATTAGGCTCTCAAGTGCAGCATGGGGTTTGTTTTTATTTCTAAGAATTAGGCTGTGATGGGGAATAAATTGATGCTAATAATGATAACTATGTGTTGGGGACTTCCCTGGTGGTCCAGAGGCTGAAACTCCGAGCTCTCAATGCAGGGGACCGGATTTGATGCCTGTCTGGGGAATTAGATCCCACATGCCACAACTAGGAGTTCCTGTGAGGAAACTAAGACCCGGAACAGCCATGTAAAAATAAATAAGTATTTAAAAAATAGCTATCTGTTGCACAATTATTATGCACCAGCCAGTATTCGACCCTTGACAGATGTTATATGTCTGGATGATTTATTGAGAGGTTAATTTGAAAAGCTTTCCTTTATTCCCCCAGCTCTAATCCAGTTGTGACCAGGCTGCTGTCTTTGCTGGCCTTGGGACAGAAAGCAGAAGGTCAAAGCTCTTTGAATCTTTCACAGGAAATACTGTTCATTGCTCCAGTGGAGAGCAGAAAGAGAAACTGTGTGGAGAAATTGGGGGCCAGACAGGAAGCAAGGTTTCCATGTACAGATGTGCATGGCAAGCCACAAGGGTGTGTAGAGCTGAATCCCATGCACGTTCCTGTCTGTGGAGGATGCTACTGCCTTTTTCTAATCCAAGCAAAAGTGCTGTGTAGGTTAGCAGGGTCCCTCAGGGAGGTGGTGGAGGCCAGGTGTCTATGGACGAAGAATCCCAGGCTTCACCCAGGTGCTTTTCAGGAACAAGACAGACTGACATTGAATGTACCACAAGGACAGGGAGACTGGGGCTTGGACGTGGAATTCAGTTGCTTCAGGGAAAAAGAAGATATGAGTCATTTCCTTCCTTCCTTCCATCCCTTTCTTTCTTTCTCTCTCTCTCCCTCTCTCCCTCTCTCTCTTTCTTTCTACAACTTTATTGAGATATAATTTGCACACTATAACATTCTTCCCTTTAGAGGTTCAGTTCAGTATACTTACAAGATTGTGCAACCGACACCACAATCTAACTCTAAGGCTCTTTCATCACTCCAAATGAAAGCCTGAATCCTTTAGCAGTCACTCTCCATCTCCCCCTAAACCTCCCAGCCCCTGGCAACCACAGATCTATTTTCTATCTCTGTAGATTTTCCCATTCTGGACATTTCATGTAACAGAATCATATAACACGTGGCATTTGTGTCTGACTTCTTTCATTTAACATCATGTTTTCAAGGTTTATCCACATTGTAGGCACTATCAGAACTTTATTCCGTCTGATGGCTGAGGAATATTCCCTTGCATGGATAGACCACATTTGTCTATCCATTCACAAGTTAATGGACATTTAGATTGTTTCCACTTTTTGGCTATTACAGATCATTCTAAATGTTCTGTTATATGAACATTTGTGTATGAGTTTTTATATCAAAATAGGTTTTCATTTTTTTTTTTTTTCTTTTTGGTCTTAAAATGCCATAAGGTTTCCATTTCTTTTGAGAGTGGAATTGTTGGGCCATATTGTAACAGTGTTTAACCTTTGAAGAACTGCTAGACTATTTTCTGAAGTGGTTGCACCAATTTGACATTCCCACAAGCAGTGTGTGAAAGTTCTGGTTTCTGCACACCCTCACTAACACTTGTCATTGTCTTTTTCTTTTGCCATGCCTTGTGGGATCTTAGTTCCCTGACCAGGGATTGAACCCACGTCCCCTGCATCGGAAGCATGAGTCTTAACCAGTGGACGGTGAAGGAAGTCTCGTCCATTTTGGCTTCTCTTATGGCGACAGGCTCTAGGGTGAGCAGGCTTCAGTAGCTGCGGCTCCCAGGCTCTAGAGTGCAGACTCAGTAGCTGTGGCACATGGGCTTAGTTGCTCCGTGGTATGTGGGATCTTCCCAGACCAGAGATTGAACCCAAGTCTCCTGCATTGGTAGGCAGATGCTTTACCCCTGAGCCACCAGGGAAGCTCCTTGTCCATTTTTAAATTGAGCTATTTGTCTTTTATTGTTGACTTGTAAGAGTTCTTGGGTTTTTTTTAGTAATTTACTTTTGTCTGCACTGGGTCTTTGTTGCTTTGTGCCAGCTTTCTCTAGTTGGGGCGAGCAGGGGCTGTGGTGCACGGGCTTCTGATTGCTGTGGCTTCTCTTGTTGCAGAGCACAGGCTCTAGGACATGCAGGCTTCAGTACTTGCGGCTAATGGGCTCAACATCTGTGGCTCATGGGCTCAACATCTGTGACTCACGGGCTCTAGAGAGTGGGCCCAGTAGTTCTGGTGCACGGGCTTAGTTGCCCCAGGGGTGGGGTGGGGCATGTGGAATCTTCCCAGGCCAGGGATCGAACCCACGTCCCCTGCATTGCAAGGCAGATTCTCAACCACTGAACCACCAGGGAAGTCCCACCTGTCTTTTAGTGTTGATCTGTAACAGTTCTTTTTATATTCAAGATACAAGTCCCTTATCAAATATATCATTTGAGAACATTTTCTTCCATTCTGGGTGTTTTTGATGTGGCCAATTTCTTGCTCACCTTGTTTGTGAGCAGAGATATGTGTCTGCCAGAAATATATGAACTTTCCCCAAGTTGCAGAGAGACAAATCTTCAGATGGAAAGAACGAATGGACAGCACATCACCCAGACTCAGTCCCACTAGCCTCCCCGCCTCAGACGGGCTCCTACCCGGATCTTGCTGTTGAGGATCTTGTCATTGATGTCCTCGTCAAAGCACTTCTGAGGGTACACCTCGATGCTGTGAGTCTTCAGGTCATCCTGGATCTGCGGACCACACACGGGTGACCTCAGCCCACTCTAAGGTGAACTCTGCCCCCTCCACACCCCCACTGACCCCAGACTCATCCCAGGCGCCCAGATCACCCTGTGCCTGAAGGCCTCTCGCTCCTCAATGGTCAGGCTGTCGGCCCGGGCTATCACGGGCACCACGTTCACAGCCCGGCAGAGCCGCTGCAGGAACTCAAGATCCAGGGGCCTCAAGCTGCTCAGGTGGGGCAGCGATGGTGGTGAGGGCATGATGAGCGGGTGCCAGCCCACAGCCCACGCCAGGGTCCCTTCCTCCTCCGCCCGCCGGCTCAGCCACCTCACCAGTGCCCGGTGGGCGGCACGAAGTATATGCAGCAGTGCACTCTCGTGTCGGGGATGTGTCGTTGGCGGGTGATGAGGATCTCCTCTTGCAGGTACCGCTCGTACTGCTCGTTGATGTAGCCCAGGATGGGGTCCCAGCTGGGGCGGGAGATGGCCCAGCCTCAGAAACTTGCCGGGAGTCCCCGCCATCACCACCTCCCCAGGTCCTCTGGGTGTTCTGCCCTTACAGGGCGTCTCTGTACAGATGTGCAGTTTGTGCACTGCACAAAGGCAACCTGCCATGAGGCTGTGTAGGGATGAATCCCATGCAGGCTCCTGTCTGTGAAGGATGCTACTGCCTTTTTCTAGTTCAAGCAAAAGAGCTGTGTAGGTTAGCGGGGTCCCTTGGGGAAGGGGTGGAGGCCAGGTGTCTATGGATGAAGCATCCCAGGCCTCACCCAGGTGCTTGTGTGAGTGTGTTTCATCTCCTTGAGATCCTAAAACAACTCTGGATGGGGGATGTCATCATCCCCAAGTTACAAAAAAGGAAGCTGAGGCTCAAAGAGCATCTGCAGCCAGGCCCAGGTTGTACACCCGGCAAGTAGTTTAATCCAGGGGTCCTGACTCTGGAGTGAGGGCTTCTATTGCCTTGCCATATTGTAGCCTTCATCAGCGAACTAAGAGCAAGCTAAGACCTTTACATACTTGACTCCCGATGATCTTGGGAGGAGGGCTGCACGCACCCATTGTACAGGTGAATAAACTGAGTCTCAAAGATGCCACATCCAGGTGGCTCCAGGCCTGATGTTTCCCAGAGACTGGAGGGCGGGGGGCTGGGGCAGCCAGGGCTTGGCCCTCCCTGCACCCTCCGAGGACTCACCACTTGTCGTTGTTGATTTGGTCCCCAAAGCCCGGTGTGTCGGTCACGGTCAGCTTAAGCTTCACGCCATTCTCCTCGATGACTGTGGGGAAGAGCGGGAGGCAGAGCGTGGGCCTGGGGGGGGGTGAGGGGGGTGGGGTGACAGGGGGCTCGCTCACCATGAGTCATGGAATACAGCTGCAGCGTCTGGGGCGTGGGCACCCTCAGACCCGGCATCGTGGACTTCCATATCTTGGACTTGAAGAGCGTGTTCACCATGGTGGACTTGCCCAGCCCGCTCTGTCCTGCGAATAACCACAGGGCAGCAACAAAGTAGAAGGGCTAGGCATGTTTCCGAAACTCTCAAATAAACTCTTTCAGAAAGTCAACCGTTTTTTAAGTATAACATAAACACAGAAAAGCATGTATGATCATAAGTCTCCAGCTCAGTGCCTTCCCCATTTTTTATTGAGGCAGAAATAAAATAAAAAATTATTTATTCTTAAATAAAATATAAAATTATGTAAAATATGAATAAAAATTATTTTACTCATATAATAAAAATTAACATTAACCACTGAAAGTGTACAGCTCAGGGGTATTGAGTGCATTCACAGTGCCGTGCAAACACCATCTCTCTCAAGCGCCAAAACATTTTCATCAACCCAACAAAAAACTCTACATCCATTAGGTACACACTCCCCAGTCACTAATCTGCTTTCCATCTATGGACTTGCCTAATGTGTACATACTTCTTTTTTTCAACCTTTTTCTTCTGGCCATGCTGTGCAGCTTGTGGGATCTTATTTCCCCAACCAGGGCTCGAACCCAGGCCCTTGCTACTGAAACCGCTGAGTCCTAACCGCAGGCCCTCCAGGGAATTCCCTGGATGCTTCATATAAATGGGATCATGCAATACTTTTCCCTTTGTATCTGGTTGCTCCCACTCAGCATAATGCTGTCAGGCTCATTCACACTGTAGCATGTACCATGACTTTCATACTTTTTCACGGCTGAATAATACTCCACTGGATGGATAGTCCACACTGTGTTTATCCATTCATCTGCGGATGGGCAGGTCAATGCCTTTTTACAAATGAAACAACTGATAGATGCAGCACCAGGTGAAGAGACAGAACACATGATTCCACCCAAGACCACTCCGATCACATCTCTGTTAACAGCCCCGGGGACAGCCACTCTCCTGACTTGCACCAGCAAGGAGCAGCTCTGCCCACCCACCCTCTACTTGGGAATCACACAGCACATGCTCTCTTTCACCTCTGGCTTATTTTGGTGAGATTCCCTCATGCTGAATATTCCCTGACTCTTCATTGGAAGGACTGATGCTGAAGCTCCAATACTTTGGCCGCCTGATGCAAACAGCCAACTTGTTGGAAAAGACCCTGATGCTGGGAAAGATTGAGGGCAGGAGGAGAAAGGAGTGACAGAGGATGACATGGTTGGATGGCATCACTGACTCAATGGACATGAGTGTGAGCAAACTCCGGGAGGTAGTGAAGGACAGGGAAGCCAGGTGTCCTGCGGTCCGTGGGGTCGCAAAGAGTCAAACATGACTGAGTGACTGAAAAACGACAATCGCCATGCTGTCTGTACTTGTAGATGTTTCATTCTCCCTGCTGTGCTGGCTTCTCAATTCCATGGACCTTGTCCCGCAGTAGGAAACATCCTACGTTACAGGGCAGGATGCACCTTTGTGTCTATAGCTGAAACTGTCCTTTGGGCTTCGATATTCAGAGTGGGAGCGACCCTTGGCTATTGTTACCGGCAATATGGTCATGCACCAATCTGTACCAAGATGCACTGTCAGTGTAAAGGAATAAACCGTATTTTGCTTGGTATGATAACAAGAACACAAACAGTCTCGTGGATAATGTTTTCTATGTATTATATGTCAAGATGATAGTATTTTTGGAATGTATTGGGTTAAGTAAAAAAGATGATTAAAAGTAATCTCTCCCGTTTCTCTTTACTTTTTTAAAGGAAGTTACCAGAAAATTTAAAATTATGGATGTGACTCCCATGACATTTCTATTGGGTGCACCCTCCTTAGAATAATACCCTTAGTTTGTGCTATACATCTAACATTTTTATGTTTCATTGCATCCAGTTTATTTTGTGAGTAGTGTAGTCTTATTTTTTTAACTGATGTCTTTTTAAAAAAATATTGATTTACTTTTTTGGCTGCACTGTGTGGCAATCAGGATCTTAGTTCCCCAACCAGGAATGGAATGTGGGCCCCTTGCATTGGGAGCTTGGAGTCTTAACCACTGGACCAGCAGGGAAGCAGAGAAGTGTATCTTTTGACCTATCACATTAATTTTGCATGTATAAAAATGCAATTCCAGGTCAGCTGACCCATGGGCACTATGCTAAACCCCATGAGGAAACTGAGGCAGCGAGGGGTCAGGGGCCCAGGTCACACACTCGTGAGCATTAAATCCTGGGATCAGCATCTAAGTCCGGGTGTCCCCACTTCCTGCCACACACGGCCTCCCCTTTTCATGTTCTGATTGGGTTTAGTTGGGGCTTCTTGGGTGATTTTTGTCTTTTCATGACTCAGCATTTCTCCTTTGAGGTACAATTGTCAGGACCACTTTACAAATGGGGAGACTGAGGCTCTGAGAGGTGACACATCCAGGCCCACAGGGTGCTGTCCGTGGCTCAGTCCTCCTGTAAGCCCCGACCCCTCACTCACCCACCACCATGATGTTGAACTCGAACCCCATCTTCATGGCCTTGATCTTGAGTTGGTCCAGCACAGCTTCGATGCCCACGTAACCAAGCCTCTCGCAGGAGAGGGTCCTCGGGCTGGAGGCCTGTGATGAACTGGGCGAGGGGGACTGCCTCAAGGGGTCCATGGGGCCAAGGAACAACGATGCCTGTCGTCTGGGTTGGGGTGGGGAGAAGCGGGTCGCTGGGGCTCCAGAGGGGGACCATCTGAATTCTCATCTCTGAACCCTGACTCCTGAGACCTGCTCCCAGACATTCCCACGCTTCACATCTCCTGACCTATGTGCCTGCTCAGTCCCCATGGCCCGTGGAGCTTGGCAAGGGGTGCCTGGGGGCGTGGCCTCTCAGGGGAGATTGAACCCCTTTTCTGAGATGCGCCAGCCCCAGGAATCTGTCCCTCCCCTCCCCTCGGCCCAGCCAGGCTCCCGCAGCTGTGTGGCCGGCCTGGCAGAAGCCAGGGGCCGGACCCGCGGTGGGGACACAGAGGGAGACAGGCAGCTTCGTGGGCACCTGGTGGCCTTGGGTCCCTGTGGGAGCCTTGGGGGACTGCCCTGTCCTGGCAGACCCTGGTGTGTGCGGTGAGGGGGAGGGGACAGGTGACAGTTAACTGAAGAATCTGAGCTCCACCTGCTTCCCATGACCCCCCCAACCCCGGGGGCTCCGCTGCAGCAGGGGGCCGGGGACAGGGACAGGTAAGCCACACCTCTGGGCCCTTTCGGGTCAGTACCCTGTAACCCTCACAATGACACCAGCCTGGTTCTACAGACAGGAAGCCAGGGCCCCGGGGCAACTCCGTTGCTGAAGGCCACTGGTAAGAGGCACAGTGGGACTGCCGCTGGTTCCTCTGGCTTCCAAGATCATGCCCTTAAACCACTCTGTCAGGGAAGGAAAACTGTGACCAAAAAAGACAGTGGAAAGCACACCTACGTGTGTGTTTTCTTTGGCCTGTCCATTGCCAGTGTCATTCTGTCAACACGCTCTGTGTTGGGTCTGTGTTAACAACTGCTCTAGGAGCCTTGGGATGTTAACCTGTCAACGGTCTTCATGGGAGTGAGTGTTATTACTAGCCCTGTGTGTGTTAAGTCGCTTCATTTGTGTCTGACTTGGTGGCCCTGTGGCCCATCACTCCTCTGCCCATGGGATTCTCCAGGCAAGAACACTGGAGTGGGCTGCCTTGCCCTCCTCCAGGGGATCTTTCTGAACCAGGGATGGAACGTGCTCCTCTCTTATGTCTCCTGCATTGGCAGGCAGCCAGGTTCTTTACCACTAGTGCCACCTGGGAAACCCCAGCTTACATAAGGGTCCAGAGAGTGGTTCAAGGTCACACAGTGAGGAAGTGGCAGAACTGGGAGCTGTGTCCACATGCTCACCTCTATAGTCTCTTTTCTTGTTCACATCAGTATCTCGATTTCTGGTATATCTCACTGACCGATGGACCGATACATCACCAACTCAACGGACATGAGTTTGAGCAAGCTCTGGGGGATGGAAGGACAAGGAAGCCTGATGTGCTGCAGTCCATGGAATCACAAAGATTCGGATACAACTTAGTGACTGAACAGCAAAGCGATTTATAATCCCTGGCAACTCTGGGTCCAGCCTAGAGCTGACTCAAGCTGCCCTCTTTATTAATTTTTTATTTATTTATTTTTTGGCCATGCTGCATGGCTTGCAGGACCTTAGTTCCCTGACCGGGGATTGAACCCATGTCCTGGCAATGAAAGTGCTCAGTCCTAACCACTGGACCTCCAGGGAAGTCCCTCGCTGCCCTCTTTAGATGGGCTACATGCTCTCCAGTTTGCCACAGTCCTCCCCTCTCCCTAATGCCTCCCCAATAAGATCCTTCTCATAATCAGTCTGCCTCACTCAGTTCTTTAGTACCTGTTTCCTGGCACCTGAGTCTCTAAGCCACAAGCAATCTTCTGTCTCAGATGTACGCAAATGTTTTCTGTAAAAAGCCAGATAGTATAGATCTTAAGTTCTGCCCATCATAGGGTCTCTGTTGCAACTGCTCTTTGACTCCACTGTTGCGGTACAACAGCAACCACAGTGGAGGGTCAGGCGTGGATGCGTGCCAGTCAGCCCATTTACAGAAGCAGGTGGTGGCTTGTCGCGCCCACTCTTTTCACTGAGATGCAGCCCCTCTGCCCGACCCACTCGCCCCCACTGTCCTGAGCCCCAGCAGCCTCTGTCCCTGCCTGCCTGCCTTGCCTTCTGCTCCCCTACCGTCCACACATCTGAAGACAGAGGCTCAAATGTCTCCTTCAGGGCCTGGAGGCCAGGAGCGGAGCTGGCTGGGGCCCGGGGCAGAGCCTGCCCAGAAAACGATGCTGCTCCCGCTGGAGAACTCCCTCAAGCTACAACGGACACCGCAGCTCGAGGGACTAGGTGAGCCTGGCCTCCTCCTCCATGCAGAGGAGGATGATGTGTGCGGATGACCCAACAGCACCGCTGACATGGGGACCCATCTGGCACAGGAGAAGAATCTGCATCTGGGAATAAGGAAATCAGACTCTCTGCCCAGAAAACACTTTCTGTGGCAGTGTCACATGTGAGTGATGTGGGATTCTGGTGGGAAGATGCCCACAGGGACCATTCAAGGCACTGGGCTTTGTGGACTGGGGAAAAAATGTTAGTCGTTCAGTTGTGTCTGTCTCTCTGCGACCCCATGGACTGCAGCCCGCCAGGTTCCTCTGTCCATGGGATTCTCCAGGTAAGAATACTGGAATGGGTAGACATTTCCTTCTCCAGGGGATCTTCCCCACTCAGGGATCGAACATTGCACTGCAGGCAGATTCTTTACCGTCTGGGCCACCAGGGAAGCCCCACAGGGACTGGGGAAAGCTGAGGGCAAAGTGATCAGAGCAGAGGGCAGGGGGCAGGTGAGCCTAGCGTATCCAGAGAACCAAGACTAGAGGGGATCGCACGCACAGGTGGGGTGAGTAACACTGTCCCTGTGCCAAGGGAGCGACTCTATCAATTACTGCGTTCAACCCTCACAGAGGCCTGAGCGGGGAGCTCGCCATACACCATTTAAGATGAGGAAACTGAGGCAGAGGGGGGTTGGGGTTGGGGCTGGGCCTCCGGTCACACACGGGTGGGTGTTAGGGCTGGGAAGAGGACCCCAGTCTGGGGTCTGACTGGTTAGAGACGTGTCTTGCTGTGGCCTGTCCCCCATCATCGCTCTGCTTGGATCTTGGTGGCGGGTGGGGGCTGTATCGGTAATTTTTCGTCTTTCGATGACTCAAGAGTACCTCGGACTTTCTTTAATGAAAGTAAACAAATGAAGCACCTGGAGATCTAGACAGGAAGACAGGGTCAGCAGGGAGAGAAGACAGTGGCCCCTGCTTAACTGGCCAGGCCAAGGGGTGGGCAGGGACCACAGTTGTTAACCTCCCTTCCTTGCTTTTTTTTCAATTGAGGTAAAATCCACAGAACATAAAATTAACTGCTAGCCATGTTAACATGCACAGATTTGTGGCATTTACTGCATTCACAATGCTGCAGAGCTGCCACCCCTATCCAATTCCATGACCTGTTGGCCACCCCAAAGGGGAATTACATCACCACTAAGCAACCCCTCCCCAACCCCTGCCCTAGACCTTGGCAAACAGTACTTTCTGTCTCTATGGATTCCCTTCCTCTGGACATTTCCTATAAATGTAATCATGTACTATGTGGCCTTTTCTGTCTGGCTTCTTTCACCCGTCTTTCCAACACTCGTCCACTTTGTAGTGTGTGCTGGTTGGTGCCTCATTCCTTTTCAGGGCTGAATAATATTCAATTACATGGAGAGACTCCGGGTGCATGTTCAGTCGCTTCAGTCATGTCCGACTCTTTGTGACCCTATGGACTGTAGCCCGCCAGGCTCCTCTGTCCATGGGATTCTCCAGGTAAGAATACTGGACTGAGTTGCCATGCCCTCCTCCAGGGGATTTTCCTGACCCAGGGATCAAACTCGAGTCTGCCTGCATCTCCTGCATTGCAGGCGGATTCTTTACCCAATTAGCCACCTGGGAAGCCCATGGAGTGACCCCGTTGTGTTTATTCATTCATCAGTAAACAGATATTTTGGGGGTGTTTCCACTTTTGGGCTACTGTGGAAAATGATGCTGTGAACATCTGCATACAAGTTTCTGTGTGGACATGGAGTGGAGTGGAACTGTCAGGTCCTGACAACTCCATGCGTAACTTTTCTTTTCTGTTTTTTTTCATGCTTAACTTTTCAAGGAACTGCCAGACTGTTTTCTACCGTGGCTGCCTCCCTTCTGTTTTGCACTAGAATAGTCATTTCAAAGCTACCTGTCCTGGGCAACACCAATCTGAGATCTCAGAATGGGACGGGGTTGGGGGGGTGGGGGTGGGGATGGAGGGTTTAAGACAAGGATCCCAGCACAGGAGACTCTGTTATATGGTGGTCAAGGGCTCTGGGGTTTGAATGCCTGGGTCTGGGTTCTGAGTTCCCTGCTTGTTGGGTGTGATCAAGTGCCCAAAGACGTTCTCATCTGAACTCCTGAATATGTTACCTTATGCGGCAAAAGGGACTTTGCAGATGTGATTAAGGATTTTGATGGGGAGATGATCATGTGGACCAATCACAGGGTTGCTTATGAGAGGGAGGCAGGAAGGGCAGAGCCAGAGGTGTGAGGATGGGGGTGGGGCACGAACCAAGGAACAGGGGTGAGAGGCCTCTAGAAGCTGGAAAAGCCGAGGAATGGATTCTCTGCTGGCGGACCTACAGGAGGAAAGCAGTCCTACCCAGTCATTTTAGACTTTGACCTCCAGGACTGTAAGATGATACACTTGCATTATGTCACTAAGTTGGTGTACAGTAGTATGTCACAGCAACAGGAAATGAACACATTACATGTATGACCTGAACTAGCTGGTGAACTTCTCAAGGCCTCTGTACACATCTGTAAAATGGGACTAGCAAATATACCCACTTGAGGACTGCCGTGAGGAATAAACTGGGTAATGTACGTACAGGCACTCTTCTCAGTTCAAGACCACTACGACAAAGCAAGTGTTAGTCGCTCAGTCGTGTCTGACTTTTGCAGCCCCATGGATTGTCGTCCACCAGACTCCTCTGTCCATGGGCTTCTCCAGGCAAGAATTCTGGAGTGGGAATCTCATGATAAAGCAAATACTACCAAAAAATGATTCTCATGGATTTTTTGGTTTCCCAGGGCACATAAAAGCTGTTTGTACTATACTGTAGTCTATTAAGTGTGCAACAATATTGTGTCTAAATGTACAAATTTTAACTAAAAAAATACCTTGCTGAAAAATGCCAAAACAACATTGAAGATCACTAATCACAGATTGCCCTAACAAATATAGGAACGATGAAAGTTTCCAAATGCTGCTGGAAAATGCTACCAACAAGATTCGCTCGACCCAAGGTGGCACAGACCTTCAATCTGTCAAAAAAATACACCATCTGTGAAAGTGCAGTAAACAAAGGTGAACCCATGTAGGGTCAGGCAGAGCCTAACGCTAGCCAACATGTTTTCCCAGCAAGACTGAAAGCCCCACAAGGGACAAGGTGTGTCCACCTGGTTTGCAGACAGTCCCAAGTGCTGAGATGGCCTGGCCCCTGCTATGGGGGGAGGTGGGGGGCGGTGAAAGCTGCCTCCAGGTGTTGTGTCGGGGCCCCAGGCCCCAGGTTCTGGGGAGAGAGCTCATGCAAGCGACATTAACTATCATCTTGCGGGGTCATCGTGAGGGTCAGAACGGGGAGAACCTGGAGGCTACAGCTGTGCCACGGGGCAATAGACGGCTGCCCAGGCACGGGTGGTGGACAGGTCACCGCTTCTTCCTTCCCTCACCTCCTTGTCTCCATTTTACCTCCCTCTATCCCTGCAACCCATGAAATCAAAAGACATTTACTCTTTAAAAGGAAAGTTATGACCAATCTAGATAGCATATTAAAAAGCAGAGACATTACTTTGCCAGCAAAGGTCCGTCTGGTTAAGGCTATGGTTTTTCCAGTGGTCATGTATAGATGTGAGAGTTGGACTATAAAGAAAGCTGAGCACCAAAGAATTGATGCTTTTGAACTGTGGTGTTGGAGAAGACTCTTGAGAGTCCTTTGGACTGCAAGGAGATCCAACCAGTCCATCCTAAAGGAGATCGGTCCTGGGTGTTCACTGGAAGGACTGATGTTGAAGCTGAAACTCCAATACTTTGGCCAGCTGATGCGAAGAGGTGACTCATTTGAAAAGACCTTGATGCTGGGAAAGATTGAGGGCAGGAGAAGGGGACGACAGAGGATGAGATGGTTGGATGGTATCACCAACGCAATGGACATGACTTTGGGTAAACTGCAGGAGTTGGTGATCGACAGGGAGGCCTGACGTGCTGCAGTCCGTGGGGTCGCTAAGAGTTGGAAATGACTGAGCTACTGAACTGAACTGATCCCTCCAACACACCACCATCTTTTTCTTTTTTTCACCTGTGAAGTCAACAGCGGCTGAGGGCCAGGCTGTTCCAGGTTGCTTCTCTGGTCTTTTGAGACAAAGTGACCCAGGGTGAAGAGGCCGCCAGGCCTGTGGCCTCTTGCCTGCTCCCGCAGCACTCGCGGAGGTTCAGAGGCAGCAAGCACAGCTGTGGGGCACAGGGCCCGCCCTCGCTTGAACTCCTGGGGGGCGGGGTTGTGCTGGGGGAGTGGTGGGTGGTGGGAGGCGGGGCGGGTTGCTAAGGCCTCAGGTCCTGCGGACCTGGAAGCAGGAGGCAATCTGTGCTCCCTGGACCTAGGAGCCACCTGACTGGGGCCATTCCAAGGCAGGTGGGGGTCCGGGGATGGGGCTGCTTTGGGGGGCGGGTGGGAAGGGGGTTGCCTAGGCCAGGGTCAGGAGAGGAGCAGGAGAGAAGCAGCGTAGGGGCAAGGATCCAGGGGGCTCTGTGGGAGGACAGTGTAAGGGCTGGCCTGCAGCAGCCCCAGTGAAGCCATGATTCTGAGGGGCCCTCTGTGGGGGGGCTGGAGCAGGTGGCACCCAGGACCTCCCAGCTGAGATGGACTTGATGACCTTGCTCTTCCACTCCAACTGGACCATCGCCTTTGTCTTTGTCCTTGGTGAGTGAGGCTCAGCCCCGGTCCCCATCAGCCTCCCAGGCCCAGGGCCTTATCTGGACCCCCGTCCTCCCCACAGTGGTCATGGTGCTCCTGCTGCTGTTTGGCATCAACGGCTGCGCTGGTGGCTGTATTCCCGGCTGTGGCGGCTGTATTCCCGGCTGTGGTGGCTGTATTCCCGGCTGTGGTGGCTGTATTCCCGGCTGTGGCGGCTGTATTCCCGGCTGTGGTGGCTGTATTCCCGGCTGTGGTGGCTGTATTCCTTGCAGCTCCCTGCCCTGCTGACAAGGCTGCTCCTCCAGGTCCCAGAAGGTGAGCTCTGAGCACCAGGGCCGGGCGAGCACTGGGGCAGCGAGGAGCTGCAGTAGGTTGGGTGGGGGGCCGAGGAGTGAAGCCACTGGCCCCTCTGTGCCTTTCTTGTAGGAATCCACCCCTACCCCAGGGATTTGATAACTTCGCCTGGAGCTTTAATGCGGACAGTCCCTGCCTCCCTGCCTTTGCTCTGCTGGAGAGTAATAACAAAACCTCGTTCAGCCAAAGCCTGAGTCTACAGCTCGTCCCATCAGGGTGGGCAGTGCAGGTCCTTACGGCTTCACTGAATTGCCTACTGGGTTCCCCAGACTTCAGCTGGCATGGCTGTTACCAGGAGACCTTAGGTGACATGCTGTTCACCAGCCCACTCAACCCCTCAGTACCTGGGAGGCCAAGTCACTGGGTACTCAGCCTGGCTCCTAACTATCAGGGGCCCTTGGCAAGGTCCCCACCCGGAAAGACAGAGAGAAGGGCTCCAGACGAAGTTGGACAATCTTTATTTCTTGGACACCCCGCCAGGGTTGCTGAGTGAATGCAGTCGTGGTGGGGGGGCTTCTGTCCTTCTTCCCTCCCCGCCCAGCCCTCAGGTTCAAGCGGGAGGGGGTGTGTGGCCGCCCCTCGCTCTCCTGGGGGTGGGGCCAGGCAGGAAGTGAAGGGGGAGGAAGGAGAGCCTGGCTCCAGCCCAAGTCTAAAGGCTCCTGCCCTGTCGGGAGGCCAGGATGTGGACTGGAGGCCACTGTGTGCCTCCTCACCTTCCCCATCGAAAACAAAAAGCCCACCGGCGTCCCCTCCTCCCAGCGGATCCAATGTTCCAGCCCATCTGTGCAGGGGTGACAGGCCGGGTAGGGTGAAGGGGGAAATAAATAGCCTGCAGTGCCCGGCCCGGGACGGCACTCTGGGGTTGGGAGGGTGTGTAGGAAGAAAGGACGCCCTGGGCTCCACTCCCTGGGGACAGGCTCTTGGATGCTCTGTTCAGAAAGGCCTGCAGCTCCAGTAGCTGGAGAACACGGAGATCTGGGGAGGAGGGAGATGGAAGACGTGATGAGGGGTGGGGCCAGGGGGTCTGCCCTGCTGCAGCCTCTGTCATCCAAGGGCCAAGCGGCCGGAAAAAAGACAGTGTTGCCGAGTGACACCATGGCCCACCCCCGACTGGTGTGCACAGAGTGGAACAGATCTTAAGATCAGGGGCTGCTTTGGAGACACACAAGGAGCCCTTGGCATCCCCGCCCCCACCCCAAAAGAAGGGGCTGAGTGGCCCGTGGATTGGGTGGCCTCCTCTGAGTGAGGTCCAGCCCGGCCCTGACCCCTATGTCCCCACCTTATCCTTGAGCTGCTGGCAGAGCTGCAGGGAGACGGTGAAGAAGACCAGGGCGTCGTTGAGCCAGGGGATCACGGACTCCACCTTGTGCACGTGGCTCACCTCCAGGCGCTGCGTGCCCCACTCGCTGGGGAAGACGAGAGCGGCCCTGAGGGCGGCCCAGAGGGCCAGGGTCACCCTAGGAGGGGCGGGGGCGCTCCTGAGACCCCTCTCAGGTAGCATACTTACAACATGGCCCCAGGGCTGTGCAGTACGGCGCCTCCTGCTGGGCGGAAGTTCTAGACAAGAAAGCATCAGATGGGGTCAGGCCTGGGACCACAGGGTGGGCGAGGGCAGGCTGGGTGCGGGGGCTCACCTTGGTGGAATTGGGCTGCAGGGCATGCAGCTGGTACACGGTGAGGCAGAGCTTGTTGAGGTTGATGTAGACGTTGACCAGGAGGTCAGAAGGCAGGGTGGGGGCGAACATCCGCTGTGAGGGGAGGGCCGGGCATCCAGCGGGGATGAGGGCCAGCAGGCACGTCCCACCCCCGCCCCTCCAACCTCTGTGGGGGAATCCCAGTCCCCATCCTGTGGATTGGGGCCTTCTGATTCTTGCCAGGTGCCCCAGGTAGCTTTCTGCACCACTGGGCTTGGAAACCAGTGGACCCGGATCCGAGGGGAGGGGGGAGATGTATTTGGGGATTCAGAATGGAAGCCAAAGACCCAATCCAAGAAAACCACAGAGAACTCTGTCAACAATCTGGGGCTTGCAGGACGCCCTGGCACCTGTGTCCTTCCCGCCTCTCCTGGAGCAGGTGTGGGCCTGAGGCACTGACCGTGAGGCCGCTGGCAGCAATCTCAGGCAGAGTGAGGGTGGCAGGAGTGGTGAGCCGGTTGCGGGCTCTGGTCAGCTGCAGCATCACAGCATCCATCAGCTGGGGAGGAGAGCTGGTCACAGCGGGTGCCGGGGCAGCCCCATCAGGAGGAATCAAGTTATGGGAGCTCCCAATTCCTTCCCTGGGGGTCACAGACTCAGGCCCGGAACCCCTGCAGCATGGCTTGCTAAAGATGCGGGTGATTGGGCTCCAGCTGGGGGTGGGGGCAGGACATCTGTGCTGCTGACCACCCATCCAGAAGGTTCTACCATCTGGGATCTGGGGTCCTGGTCCAATTGGGTTGGAGGAGCCCAGAAGTCAGTCCCAGGAGGCCAAGGGCTTTGAGGATGAGGGTTCAGGCAATGAAGGAGCTTAGGATGGATCCTAACTCAGCTTGGGTGTAAGGGGTCAGGGAGGGTTTCCTTGAGGAGGCACTGGGATGGCTGAGTTGAGGCCTTAAGGTGGACAGGAGCCCTGTTTTCACAGGTGAGGAAGGAAACTGAGGCTCCATAGGTCCAAGGCCACATGGCTGGGGAATGGTGGAACCTCTGGAGACTCATCCCCTCCCTCTGCATGGGAGCAAAGTTCTCACAGACCCAGTGCCCACTGCTTCCAGCTCTTCACCCAGCTGCTGCTGTGGGTGCTGGGGTCACCTGGCTCCCGGGAAAGGCAGAATTACTGGGCTGCACATTACACCCCAAAGGACACTCACAGTTCTGAGAGGGACTTTGGTCCATCTGGTTTTGAGTTTTCGTATCAGGCCCAGAGATGGCATGCAAACCACCCGAGGACACACAGCAAGCTGGAGGCAGGGCTAAAGCCTGAACTCAGGAAACCTGAGCTCATCTGTCCCTTCACACCATGTGGATTCACTTTGTTAATTACAGAAGCTTTTCTATTGCTGGTAGTAATACCTGTAGCTCCCATCTACTGGGTGCTTACTAGAGGTAACATCACCCGCATTGTCACGATGGCAGGCATGACAGCTTGTCCCCACCTTTTATCAGGTGAGGGAACTGAGGCACAGAATGGCTGAGTAAGGGATTTGAGGTGGCCTGGCTCATAGTGCAGGCTCTGGGATCAGAACCCACATCTGTTTCTGGGGCCTGGGTTGTGAGCCATTCAACTGGCTGGAAGGACATGGCGTATACCAAGAGGTGAAGAAGGGTTGACTCTCAGCTTCACCTGAGGGTGGGGGCAGAGCTCTCCAGGGGCCCGATCGGTGGTCAGGGAACCGGGCTCTCCCACTTCTGAGGCGGCTCACCTTGAGGACCTCTGCTCCCGTCCTGAACTGGTAGCTCTCATCACGGTTGGCGAGGAGATAAATGGCTTGGCTCACATGGTTCCTGGCATCTTGGATCTAAAAGCAGGGCCCACTGAGCGGTCAGTGGGCTGGGCCTCGGCAGGGAAAGGTGCCAGCCTCAGCTCACCCACGGTCTCTGGGGGCACAGCCTAGGGATCCCCACCCCGAGGGTCTATCTTCCTAGTGGGGGTGGGGTGGGTGCCGCCTGCCGGGCCTGGCTGGTGCAGTAAGGCAGCCTCGCTCCCCAGTCCCTTGCAGCTCACTTTCCAAAGGAGGACAGAGGGTAACAGAGGAAAGGCACAGGATAATAGCCTGTTCAGCTTTCACAAGGAAACAAGGTGATGGGGGGCGGGGGCGCGGCGGCGAGGGAAGGCAACTCTTAAGTGGAAGCTTGTGCGGTGGCAAAAGCTGAGGGAGTGGACTCCAGGCAGAGGGACAAGTCCAAGCAAAGACCGTGAAGTGGAAACAGCTGATGGCCAGTGAGAGGGGAGAGGGAGGCGGCAGAAGCCAGGCCCAATTACAGGACAGGCTAGGAGACCAGGCACTGCCCACCCCAGCTGCGCTGTTAGGAAATATCTTTTTAAGTCCGCTGCAGCCGCAAGGCCCCGCAGCGGCCAGCCCTGGAGGCCTCAGCGCTGCAAGGGCCTGTTCCTGCCTGCCCTTGTGCCCTGGACCCTGGCCGGGGAAGGGCCCAGTTACCTGCTGCAGTTTCCACTGCTTGTCCTCCCGGAAGGCAAAGTGCAGCAGCTGGTTGTTCCTGGGCATCTTCAGGTTCACGTCCTGACATGCAAGGGTGGGCTAAGCCGGGCAGAAGGATGCCCTCCTGCTGCCGGCCACTCTGAGCCCTTGAGACGGGGGCAGAAACAGTGTGTGTGGTGGCTCAGGCCCTAGCCACTCCATGCGGGAGAGGGGTAAGAACATGGCCATTTGGGCGGGGGCCAACAGGGAACAGGAAACAGGAACTCAGGCCCAAGAGGAACCACAAAGAAATGAAAGGGAAAAGAGCCACGAAAGGGGAAGGTGGCTTCTGCTGGGAGGGAGGAGGTGTGTGGTTGTGGGCAGATGGAGGACATTTGCAGGTGCCAAGGGATGGAACGCCCACCCGAGGAGGAGGGGGACCTTCCCCCAGGCCTTGGCACCTGCTACAGGATCAAGGGCAGAAAGAGTTAAGATGTTGGTCTGGGGCCAGCCTAACCCCGGGGCCAGACTGTAGGCAGTGACGTGTGCAAAGCACCACCCACTGCCCCCACCCCCCACTTGCTGCACCTCTCAATGGAGTCACACACCTATCTTGGAAGCAGGTTACGGGGGTTGTTGCCATTTTCAAACAAGGAAACCAAGGCCCAGAGAGGTCAAGGATCCTGTCCAGAGTCACATAGCTAGCGGGTGGCAGAGCTGAGCTAAAGCAGGAGGTCCCCCACCCCCCACTCTTTCCCACTGGCTGCTGTGGTGGCATGGGACGAGGCCAGGGGCCGGGGGACTCACCGCCTGGCTCAGCGCGTCTCCCTGCAGAGTCAGCACGCCCTTCACCTGGTCTGTGCTACAACAAGTGGGGGTCAGAGCAGCACTGCAGCTGCCCCCTCCCACCACCCCAGCCTCCCAGCGGCTGTCACAGGATAGTCTAGCCTGTCCCACTGCACACCCTCTGGACACTGGAGTTGGAATCAGTTTGCAGGGCAGGGCCGTGGCCATGCCACCAGTCCTGGAGGGTATCCCCAAGGGTCCCTCCTCCCAGAAGTCCACCCCCCAACCCCACCCCAGTTTCCACCCAGCCCAGGCTCACCCACAGCTGCCCAAGACGAAGTTCTCCTGCTTCGTAGGCCCCTCGGTGCCTGAGCCTGGCAGAGTGAAGCGGAGCGAGGCTTCCTGGGGGGCAAAGGGGAGTGGGGTTAATAAAGTTCACCGACTCCAGCCGAGCCCCTTCTCCATAAGCCCTGCTCCCAGGGCCCCACCCCCACGGCCAGTTTCAGGTCCTACCTGAACCCATACCTGCTCCTTCCACATTCCCTGGGGGCCTACCACATGTCCCATACAGGATAGAGGACCCAGAGACACCCTCCCCATTTGGTTGACGAGCTTGGAAGTGGGGAGCAAAGTCTGGGAAGACAGTAGTCATGGCAACCGGTAATTCCAGCCTTATCAGGCACCGCCTGGACATTTTTTTGTATTTCCATTGGTTGTTTTTTTTAATCTTCACAACAGCCCTGAGGGCGGTACTGCTATCTCCTTTTTGCAAAGGGGAGGCCCAGAGAGATCGAGGACTAGGCTGAGGTCAAAATGCTGGGTCCTTCAGATAGGAAGTTAAACGTCAATTTCAAAGGGTAGCTTCCCCGACCCCGGGGCTCAATCCAGGCCCGCAGCCCTGGCAGGACGGCTTGTGGAACTGGGTAATTATCTGCTGGCGCCCCGGGTTAGACGCTTTTCTTGTCCTAGGACTGAGTCCGGGGCCTGAGGGCAGGGCCTGGTCTGAACACCGCGCGTCGGGTACGCAGCAGCCGCGGGAGGCCGAGGAGGAAGCCGCGCTGGGGGAGGGTGGGCGCCCGCACAGGTCCTCGAGGTTACCTTGAGGATGTCCTGCAGTTGCCTCAGCACGGCGTGCACCTCGTCGTGTAACAGCCAGCGAAACTCCTCCTCCTGCGGGGACAGGCCCGCTGTCAGCCGCCCCGGCCCGCGGCCGCCTCCCGCCCGGCCCGGCCCGGCCCGGCCCGCGCGCCTCACCAGCACCGCCCGCTCCGCCGCCGTCGCTGCCATCACGGTCGCCATCGTCGCCGCTCGCTGCCCAGCGACCGTCGCGGGTCCGCGGTCAGCCGGCGGCGCCCTGGCCCACCCTCGCTGCCGATTGGCTGCGCGGGCGCCCGCCACGCCTCCAGCTCGTCACGCAACGAGCGCCGCGGACCCGCCCCCGCCGGCTCTCCCAGGACACCGCCCGCGCCAGGCTCCGGTGCTGCGCGCTCCGGCAGCAGCAACCGCAGCGGTTCACCCGCCAGGGCGCGGCGCTCGCTCATCCCGCCCCTCGTCGGTTCTGATAGGACGCCCTGTACCTCGCGCGCTCGGCGATTGGCCGGCGGTATGGCTAGCTCTCGCCGCAACCGGAGACTGGCCGCCGGGGCAGCCTGTTCCCGCCAGGTCTCGCCTCCTAGCGCCGTTGATCCCGGAGGGGAAACCCCTGCCTCCCGCGTGGTGCTCGGTGTCCGGGCGCAGACCACCCCACCAAAGTCAGTTGTGTTACCAAGAAACGTTTTTATTTTGCTTGCAGTAGCTTTTTGTTAATTGCACAAAATCATGTTTTTGCCATTTAAACATCACACAATCCTATTCTGAAAGACAAATGTTCATTAAAAACAAAGCAAAAATAAAAATTCACAACCTTAATTACCTAGATTTGCCATTTAAAGGTTTAAAGGAAAAAAAAGGGGGGGTGGAGGAGGGGCTTTCTTACAAGCTTTTTCACAAGTGTCACATTTTCTCCGTAAGAGGGAAGGATTTCAAAACAAAGGTGAAATAGCTTAAACAGAAATATTCATAAAAAGGAACTTTACAGAATTGTCAACAATATTAAGACAACATTGACTAACCAGTTTCATTACAGCATCTTCCCCCACCCCCACCCCCCAGTGTCCCCCTAGGACTAGAACAGGCTTTGTGTTCAGACAGAAAAGAATTCAAAATCCCAGTGAAATTAACAACTGTGTCAAAAACCACAGGCATCTCCCCTGACCTCCCTGTCATGTTTTCTGAGATTCCCCCATCCTGGGTTCCGATCAGTGGAAAAGGGCCACAGCTGCAGGGGGAGGGGCACACAGCAGCGTGGCCACCTCAAACTGTTTATCACTGTGTTCACTGCGAACGCCGACTTTCCGCACAGCCTGACTTTGGAGAATCCAACCCAAGCAGGGGGACAGAACACCGACATCCTTTAGGGGACTTCTTGTTCTCATGCCACGTTCCAAGCCCCTCTGGTCCCCTACCCAAGGAGAAATGCTTAGATCCACCTCTGAGGGTCAGTGAGCTCTGCTAACGTCACGCCTAGATCTCCTCTTCTCTCCTGACAGACCCCAGGGCCCTGAAAGCACCGAAGACCAAGCTGCTGGCTTAAGTGAAGACACTCATTCCTGTTTCAAGAGCTGAGCCTAAGAAATGGTCGTCACTGGTCAGGCTGGGTTATGGGCCAAAGGAGGAACGGACAGAATGAAATACTGTCTCCACGGAGGAAAGGGGGGCGGGAGGCGGATGGAGAGGGGCGGGCACAGAGGACTTGTGCAGAGACGGGCTGGAGAAGGGGGACTGCTGTGAGGGGACCTGGGTCACAGCGGCTCTCCAGAACCAGGTGGAAGGTCTACGGCATAACGGAAACAGGAAGGAACACTCTTCCTCCATTCACTCCTCAGTGGGTGCCCTCAGGACCCCTTCCCAAGGGCTGGAATGCAAATCCAAATACTACAGCAGCCTGGTGAGAAGTCAGATCAGCCCCTCGGGCTCCGCAGTGACAGAGACTTCTGCGACAAGTACGCAGAAGCACTGAGGAGAGCGGGCTTCCAGGAGGTCTGCCTAGGGTGGGCTGTGTATCGCTTTCCCTGGAAAGCCAGAACCCTGTCTTTGCTTGACTGTGTCCATCTCTTCTCAGCTCACAAAGGCATTTATGGAGAGTTGGTTGCACACTGGTAGCTTAAACATGACAATCCTCATCAGCGGGTCACCTGAGGTTGGAGGGGCCATGCGACCCTCTGCTTAAGAGTCTTGCTGGCTCATCGTAGCCTAGAGCCTCTCTCCGTGTGGAATCCAGTGGGGGATAGTGGACAGAACCACAGCCTCTTCGCTCTGAGGGAAGCAGTGGGAAAGCTTCCAGCTCTCACTGCTGACTCGAGTTCCTCAACTGGAAGGGTCTGAGATAAGACAGCTCGGAAGAAGGGAAAACAAAAAAGCCAGGCAGCAGTTTCTGGGCAGCTTCTATCCTGGGGCAAGAGCCAGTGTGTGGTGTGTGTGTGTAGGGTGTGTGTGTGTGTGAGAACACACAGCCACTGAGTCCATGGCCAGTGCCCAGCTCAAGAGCCTTCCCACAGGCCACTCCTGCTGACACCCCTCCTCTCTCCAGGACCTCCAGGGGAGGAGCGATGCTGTGTGCTGTGCTCATGGCAAGTCTCAAAGTCTGTATAAAAGGAGATGGAGACAGGTGGACTGGTCCAGAGTTAGTCCCAGGACCCCAACTCCGTGTGAGGAAGAGGGGTTCAGAGGGAAGATGGGGGTGGGGTGGGGTCAAGGACTTAGTGTATATAGGCTCGGTACACGGCAGACATGTCATTGTCAGACTGGTCCAGTGCCTTGGCTCTTTTGTACACCTGGAAAAAAAACAACATGAGCTTAGTCTGGCCACATAGCTGACTTACAGACAGACCTGCTTCCTAGAGGGGTTCTAGGTGTGGTTAGGTGGGTAGGTTCTGAAGCCCAGGCTGCCTGGGTGTGACTCCTGGATCTCCCTCATCTGGCCTGACCCTGGACTAAGTACACCTCAGTTTCTCTGTGCCTCCAGCACTGCTTCTTGATTTCATGGGGAGGGTAACAGGGTTACTGTGAAGGTTAAATGGACTGAGGGATGGACAGTGCTCGGAGGCAGGGCTCAACACTGGTTAGTAGTTACAATCACACCCTTTCCATCTGAAGACGCTCCGAGGCCTTCCCTGTTCTCTCTGGGCTGCTGCCCCTGTCCTGCCCCATCAGCTCCAGGGCCTTCCCCGCCATCCATCTGAAGCACCAGCTGTGCCACTTTACCCGGCCACCTCCATCTCTTTACTCTGTTCCATTCTATTCACAATTCTAACCTTCTGCAATTCTTCCTTGTTGAAACATTCATGTGCTCACCTTGTGCCTCCTTCCATTAGAATGTAACCTCTACAAGGAAGAGAAGGGGCTGCACTATGTCCCCAGAGCCTAGAATGGTCCTTGGCAATTAACAGCCACCCCAAAGGTACCAGGTGAATATGAAAGAGTGTGAGAGAACTTAAAAAAGCCATCGTTATCAATAAGGGCAGGACAATGTCCAGTCATGTTGAAAAAATGCAGCTGGACACAGGTGTATTTTTTTTCTATTTTTAAACATAGTTCGGTTGGAGCCATCATGATTGATGTCCATTACAGGTCAGGTATAGCTGTGAACTCAGAACAAAGGCTAAATAAAGACCTTTTTCAGATCCAGCAGACCTGCGTTCCTGAAACGCTAAAGCAAGTTCTTCCAGCTGCACGGAGAACAATACCAGAGAGAAATTCAACTCTTCAGAAAGGAAAGAACTGGAAATGGTAGAGAAACAGAAACTTATCTTTTCTCTGAGTATCTTTAGAATTCATATGACTACTAAAGCGAGACACTCCAACAGTGGCGGGCTTAAAATAAAAGCAAACATAACACATAGGACATTTGTACACTAAAGAAATGGTTCTCAGTCTGGGGTCCTTTTGCTCCCCACCTGGAGCGACATTTGGTAATGTCTGGTGACATCTCCTATCAACCGAGGTGGTGCAATCACATCCAGGGGTTAGAGGACAGGGATGCTGCAATGCACTGGACAGCTCCCACAGCAAGTGTCAGTGGTGCCCAAGCCGAGAAAAATGCTTCCAAGGATAAGATGGAGGAAGTGGTAAATGGATACACATTTCATGTAGAGGGCCAATCTAGGATGTGAAGTTAAGATGCATACAGTAATCCCGAGAGAAAAGACAAAATAAAGATGATGCACTTGTTAAAGAAAGCCAATAGAAAAAAAAAAAAAGCCAATAGATAAAAAATGGGATCCTAAAAAACAATTCAGATGTTCCAAAAGAAAGGAGAAAGAGACAGACAAAAGCCAGGGGGACAAATGGCAATCAAATGATAAAACAGTAGCTCCAAATTCAACCACACACCAACAGACTTCAAGACAAAGTCTAAAATGTTAATGGACTACTTAGCCTTAAGATCCTGAACTCCAAAGAACGGAGAACCTAAACTCACAACCAGGAACCACCATGATCCACTGAGAAATGAACCAAAATGTCTGTCTCCAAGTCCACGAACCCTGTAGTCAGGGAGGGGCAAGCAGAAATCACCTCAAAGAGAAGTGCTCCCAACACAGATGCCGCAGAGCCCCTCAGAAGCAACCAGCTACAGACAGACGCGTCACCGAAAAGCTGCACAGCAGCTGGAGCCTCACTGCCGAGAGAGAACTGGAGGCAAGCAGGAGGAGCCCGAGACTGTGCTGCAGCCTGGGAGACTGAAGCGAGTGCTCCGAGATGCTCAGACAGGCAAGGAAGAGGGAGACACAGAGGCCAAGGACAGATGATCAACTATGAAAAGGCAGGTTTAAAGAGAGCAGCACTGTGTATTTCTTACTGATTTTTGGCTGTACTACTCAGCCTGTGGGACCTTAGTCCCCCAGCCAGGGACCAAACCGAGGCCCCCACCAGCGGGAGCAGAGTCCTACCCACTGGGCCCTCAGGGGACGCCCCGGCACTGTGTATCTGTAGTTCTTTGCCTCTACAGGAAAAGCCACTAGGGGCTCTATTTGACTTGGACAAAAATGCACACAGCCTCTACAATGAATCTACGTGATTTATATATGCATGTGTTTCACAAAATGTGGTTCTTACTGCAATTCAAAGATAACTATTGCTCAGCTGTTTTTCTGAAAGATTATACTTCTATCAGATTGAAATAAAAGATATAACACACGGAAACTGTAAACCTGAGAAAGCTATAGTGGCCATATGAAGGTCTGACAACAGACGTCAAGACAAAGATCAAGATGGACACTTCTTAATAACAAAAGGGAAAATTCATCAGGAAGACAGTACAATCATAAATGGCTAAGAGCCCAATAACAAAAACTTCCAAAGATGCTAAGCGAAATGGACAAAATTAAAGGGGAAACAGATAATCCCACAATGATAGTTGGAGATTTTAACATCCCTTTCTTGGCAATTAAAAGAACTGGAGAAAAAGGTCAGTAATGATGATCTGAAAAAATACTACCAACTATCTCGACCTAACCGATATATGCAGAACATAGTACCCAACTGCAGAACACACAGTTTTCTTAAGTGAATATGGCACACCTACCAAGACAGACCATCTGCTGGGCCACAAAACAAGTCTGAATCAATGCAAAGAGTTAAAAGCCACATGGAATGTATTTTTTTACCACAAAGATACACTAGAAATCAATAATGATTCGATATCTAGGAAACCCTTCAGGGTTTTTACTCATATTTGACACACTTTTAAGTAATCCACAGGTCAAAGAATTCCCAGCGAAGTCAGCATGGATTGCAGGAGACACACAACTTTAGAAAAGGGAAGCCTAAAATCAACAATCTAAGACTCCCCCTGGAGAGGTCAGACACAGCCAAGCCAAGGCAAAGTTGGCAGAGGGGGCAATGCAAGGGAAACAAGGGAAGTTTGCGGGCCCCACCCACAGTCTCCTGCAGTTACCTCATTGGCTGCAGCTGCCATGGGGGTCGGATGGTTGACGGCATCCCCTAGCGCAATGGCTAAACGGAGATCCTTCTGAATGTATTTCAGGTAGAAATCGGGCTTAAAGTTTCCTTGCAGGATATCTGAGGAGGGAAAGGCATTCACCAGAAGAATTAAAAGGATCCTAAATAAGAAAGCATATGGAGCACTGTCAGGACTCAACACCTAGCATTTCCTCCTCCTCAGACACCCAAGAGACAAGTTCCCAGCCTGCACCCCCAAATCCTACGGGGCTTCCCTCAGGGCTCAGCTGGTAAAGAATCTGCCTGCAATGCAGGAGACCCCAGTTCAATTCCTGGGTCAGGAAGATCCGCTGGAGAAAGGATAGGCTACCTACTCCAGTATTCTTGGGCTTCCTTTGTGGCTCAACTGGTAAAGAATTCACCTGTAATGAGGGAGACCTGGGTTTGATCCCTGGGTTGGGAAGATCCCCTGGAGAAAGGAAAGGCTACTCACCCCAGTATTCTGGCCTGGAGAATTCCATGGACTGTATAGTCCATGAGGTCGCAAAGAGTCAGACACAACTGAGCGACTTTCACTTCACTTTGATTGGGGGCCAGACTGACTGGACAGGATGTGTCATTCACACAGAAGGAGCTCCCAAAGAAGAGACTGTTCTGTGCTGGCTGCCTGACCCAGCTCCCCAGCTAGAACCAAAACTAAAACGCAACAAGAGTGATCAAAGGCAACTTACTTTGGCACTTCTGGTCCAGGAAGATGCTGGCCAACTGTCCCTGATTGAGGATGTCCAAGAGTGTCTGCTGGGACTGGCCTGTCACTTGGGCCAGGGTGAGCCCCTCTGCAATGGTGGCCATGAAGCTTCCCTGGACCATGTTCACAATCAGCATCATCTTAGCTGCGTTGCCAACCTCACCTGCCCACGGCAAAGAACTGCGGTCGCATCCCAGGAATCCCACGGGGAGGGACTTTCTGCCAACCCTCACCCCTGTTCGGACCCACCTCTACACCCAGGGGAGGCCCCATTCACCTGCCCCTGACAGAACTGGCTCTGACCCTTCTGGCTCTTCCTCCTTGCAGGCACTGACTGTGCAAGTCAAAGAAACCTTCCCACGGGGGCCCCAGGCAGAGAGGCCGTGCGGGACTGACGCTGTCCTCAGGGTGCTCTAGAGGGGATGTGGCCCACCCAGCCTCCAGGCCTGCAGTGGCCCGACAGGTGGGCAGGCGTGTTACCTAGAAAGAAGGAGGTCTTCCCCATTGCCTGGAAGCAGCTGCTGCAGTCCTCATATAAGCCCCTGTCTCCGGCCGCTAAGATCACCAACATCCCATCATTAGACAGCTGCTGATTCCCTGAGACCGGGGCTTCCAGAAAGCGGCCCCCCCTGGACACAATCACCTGGAAAGGAAAGTCACAGCTTCTGGAGGCTGTGCCTCTCACAAGGGTCTTGGGCAGGAAGCAAGGAGCACGCAGGGGCTGGAGCACTAGGCCCTCCACGCTGAGCCCCAGAGCAGACCCATGTACCAAGGTGCTGGGCTGACGCTGGGGGAGGGCCAGCAGACTGTCCTCCACCAGATGCCCGAATCCCATGCAGGAGACAGCGAGGAGCTGGGGGTCCTCAGAGGCTCCCATTACAAAGATATCATCAACACAACCACACCTATGGCTTGGCTGACCACACTTTCTAGGACAGACACTGCCCTTTGATTTCAGCCACCCTTTGAACACACATGGGCCACAAGTCACCACCTCCTCACCTTGGCCCAGAGCCTCAGGGTCGGGGAATATCCTGCTAGTATCAACTGCAGAAAGCTATTTAAACCACAAAGACCCTGCTGGCAGCTTGGACTGCTGCCAACCGAGAGGCTAGCGGCCACGGGACCTGACGCCTCTCCCAGCTAAGCAGCACTTCTCCTCTCTCAGCCACGCAGACTAGCTGTAGACTTGAAGACAGAGAGTGAAAACAGGCTAGAGTCCCAGTCTCTGCTGTGGCTCTGCAGTAAACCATGTGGCCCGCACTAGGGTGCGGTGAGCCTGGCTCTTGGGCTCCAACTGAAACGACGCTGGAGGGCCAGCCTGAACGAGGCTGCTACCTGGGCCAGCTCGGTGACTGTGTCAGCATCCACCGTTGACATGTCCACGTAGCACTTCCCGGGGCGGATCCCCTGAAGCACGCCACTGGGGCCCAGCACCAGCTGTGGGGACACAAGGGAGAAGCAATAGCCCAGGCTCCCAGCCAGACACCCAGGAGACCCTCAGACCTAAGGTCAATGTCCTGATGATTTTTTTTGGCTCATTTCCCAAACAGAAGCTAATTATTAAAGATCAAAAGGGAAGAGTATGTAAATAAGCAAGGGAAAGAGAAGAATTTATGTTATATTCCCATTTACCTTCAAAAAGAATATATGTGTATTTCTTTTTATTAAAAGCCTCCACTGAAAAGATGAAAGGTCAATATTTATTTTTTGGCTTCTTTGGATTTACCTGGATTAGTTTAGTCACGAGTCCAACAAGATAATGACTGCACTTGAACTTTTAAAGCATACAAATACAGTGATAGCTAAATATAGGAACTTGGCACATGGACCAAAGGCACACTCAGCCCCAAAGCTTCCAGCTCACCAGGAAAACATGAGCTTGTCAGGAACCATTTCAGCACAGACCTCAGGGACCCCAGTCAGTTTCATTCTTTGTTCTGAATTAAAGGAAGTCTTGTGTTCAGTCTATGCAAACACCCTTCACAATGGGAGATGGCCCCCAAATAGGACACCCAACCCCCCACATGCAGACACTCACTCGGTGTGCAGGGGACAAGGGGAGGAGGCCGGCCAGCGTTCCTGGCCACAACCTGAGACGCTGAGGGGAGGGAGGGATCCTTACGTCCTTGGCTGCCTTTGGGTCCGACACGCAGGCAAAGGTGATGTCACAAGTTGAAACGACTTCAGCGGGGGTTCTTCCTAGGCGGGCCCCCTCCTGGATGAACAAATCACACTGCAAAAGTCACAGATCCTAATGTGAGCTGCAGGCAGTGCACAAAACACAGACTAGCCAGGCCAGAAACACAGTGCCCAGCGTCCTGCGGGGCCTCCCAAGGCAGGCAGCCTGACTGCTCAGGGGAAGTGGGCGGGGCCCCTCAGGGGCAGGCTGTGTCTCTGCAGACGTGGTGCCAAGGACACATGTTCCACATCTGCTCCGCAGGAAGCACGAGACAAGCGTCTGCTGCAGGCTTCCTGAACCAAGAGCAGCACGTGAACAATACTTGTCCACAGCTCTCTGTGGCTGTCTCGGCTGTGGCAAAATCCGCCCAGTGCTGTGTGAGCCGGGGAAGCAGGGCTTGGGCCAACAGGCTGCCACTTCCTACTGAATTGCTTCCGGGTGGGGGGGGGGCAAAAAGCACTAACTCTTCTTTTTTAAAAAGTTAAAATCACCTGAAATATTTCATAACAAAATATATCATTAACATTTTGGTCTATTTCCTTGTTTTATGGGCATTAAAAAAAGTATTTAGAATAATTTGGACCTATGATTTTGTATCTAATTTGCCCCACTGAGAGACATATCTGAATTTACCTAATGGCTCTCCTGGCCTAATTATAAATGACCCCAACAAATACATGTAAGGGACTTCCCAGGTGGTTCAGTGCTAAAGAATCCACCTGCCAATGCAGGAGATGCAGGTTCGATTCCTGGGTCTGGAAGATCCCCTGGAGAAGGAAGCGGCAACCCACTCCAGAACTCTTGCCTGGAAAAATCCATGGATGGAGGAGCCTGGTGGGCTCTAGTCCATAGTTTTGCAAAAGAGTAAGGCATGACTTAATGACTAAAACAACAAGAAAGGTAAAACTTCTTCTTGTAGGTCAAAAAGCAACAGTTAGAACCGGACATGGAACAACAGACTGGTTCCAAATTGTGAAAGGAGTACATCAAGGTGGTATATTGTCAACTAGCTTATTTAACTTCTATGCAGAGTACATCATGCAAAATGCCAGGCAGGATGAAGCACAATCTGGAATCAAGACTGCCAGGAGAAATATCAATAACCTCAGATATGCAAATGACACCACCCTTATGGCAGAAAGCGAAGAGGAACTGAAGAGCCTCTTGATGAAAATGGAAGAGGAGAGTGAAAAAGCTGGCTTGAAACTCAACATTCAAAAAACTAAGATCATGGCATCCGGTCCCATCACTTCATGGCAAATAGATGGGGAAACAGTGGAAACAGTGACAGACTTTATTTTCTTGGGCTCCAAATCACTGCAGATGGTGATTGCAGCCATGAAATTAAAAGACACTTGCTCCTTGAAAGAAAAGCTATAACCAACCTAGACAGCATATTAAAAAGCAGAGACATTACTTGGCTGACAAAGGTCTGTCTAGTCAAAGCTATGGTTTTTCCAGTAGTCATGTATGGATGTAAGAGTTGGACTATAAAAGCTGAGCCCCAAAGAATTGATGCTTTTGAACTGTGGTGTTGGAGAAGACTCTTGAGAGTCCCTTGGACTGCAAGATCAAACCAGTCCATTCTAAAGGAAATCAGTCCTGAATATTCTTTGGAAGGACTGATGCTGAAGCTGAAGCTCCAATACTTTGACCACCTGATGTGAAGAAAAGAATCATTGGAAAAGACCCTGATGCTGGGAAAGACTGAAGGCAGGAGGAGAAGGGTATGACAGAGGATGAGATGGTTGGGTGGCATCACCGACTCAATGGACATGAGCTTGAGCAAACTCTGGGAATTGGTGATGGACAAGGAGGCCTGGTGTGCTGCAGTCCACAGGGCTGCAAAGAGTTGGACACGACTGAGCAACTGAACTGAACTGAGGGTAAAAAACAGGCTCTGAAAATGGTATTATATCAGCAGCATGGAATACATTATTTAAAAACAACACAGTATCCATAAATACATTAACTTTTTGTCCTACCTGATTTAACAAGCCAAAAATAGCAACTTCTTTGTGTGATACATTTTGATTATATCTAAGTACAAAATATCTAATGCCTTTGTTGATTGTCTCCTTGTGACCTATTTAAAAATCTTTATATCATTATTAAACTATTAGTTTAATAAGAAATTCCACTCCTGGTTTTATATCTGAAGAAAATAAAAACATTAATTTGCATGTACCCACATGTTCAAAGGAGCACTACAAAAGCCAAAATATGGAAGCAACCCAAGTGCCCATCAAGAGATGAATGGATGAACATACATTCATACTACGGAATATAGGATTATTATTAAGCCATAAAAAAAAAGAAGTTCTGCTATGTGCAACAATGTGGATGGACCTAGAGAATACTATTGTGCTTAGTGAAATAAGTCAGACAGAGACAGACAAATACTCTACACCTGCACTTGTGTGTGTGTGTTACCCGCTCAGTCGTGGCCAACTCTTTGAGATCCCATGGACTGTAGCCCACCAGGCTCCTTGGTCCATAGAATTCTCCAGGCAAGAATACTGGAGTGGGTTGCCATTTCCTTCTCCAGCATTTATATATGGAACTTAAAAAGTAAATCGAATGAATATAACAAAAAAGAAACAAAACAAACTAGTGGTTACCAGTGAGGAAAGGGAATCAGGGAGAGGCAAGACAGGAGTAGGGGATAGTGCAAGCTGCTATGTATAAAATAAATAAGCTACGAGGATACATGCTGCAGCACAGAAAAAGTCATTATTTCATAATAACTTTCAGTGCAGCGTAACTTGTACAAATCCTGACTCACTGTGCTGTACACCTGGAACGAATGCACTTTTGTAAAAAATCATACTTCAACACACACACACACCTGGAACTAATGCACTTCTGTAAATCAACCGTACCTCAACAAACACACACACACACACACACACACACACACTCTCTCTCTCTCTCTCTCTCTCTCACACTAGGGAGAAACACAGAAGCTGTTAGGGTTGTGGGAAAATTTTAAAAATACAAAATCTTGTTTTCAAATTTTCTTTTTTGTTGTTGTCGGAAGTAGTACCAAAACCTATTCATCTTTTTCTTTGGTAACTCTTTAAGACTTCTAAAAAGATCTATATTAAATTTTGTTTCCTTCTGGTTTTTTTCTTTTGAAGTAAGAGGGTAACAACTGATTCCAAACCCACATTCGTTAACTGCTTTGCTGTACTGCCTTCTCATAAATTAATCTGAAAGGTACAGCCATGTTTATAACAGGCTTTCCAATCAAGGAAACAGGCTGACCAGAGGCACTTCTATTAAATGGGAACATACACTTGGAGCTTCCCAATGTTCTTCAACTATGTGTGTCTAGATTTCCTGGTTGCCCTGGCCTTGAATCACAAAATATCTGCCAACAGGGTCTCTGGGATTTCGCTCCTGACCTAGGTCCTGCAATGGCTACCTCAGACCCAGCACTTGAGGCCCACATCTCTTAGAACAGCTTTCAGGGCCCTTTCTCCCAGGCTCCATCTCCTCTCCAACGAGCTCCTTGTTATTCTTGAAAGGGGGCTGTTTCAACCAAGTGAACTGCTTCCCTCACCTGGAACGTTGTTGTTACTCCAAACCCACCAGCTCTACCACCTCCCTGCATCCTGCTCTCCCCGTGATGCTCACCCATCACTTCACAGACACACGCACAGCCACACCTTGTTCCTCAAGAGGCTGGTTCCTTCTTGGTCTCTCTGTCCCTGGCAAGCACAGAGCATTATTTTTCTGGTATGTAGATTATGGTTCTTCACCTTTTCCTGGATGAGAACTTGAGGGGAGCCATGACCTTCCTCCATTACACAAGACTTGGAATTCCATTTCAGGGCACGCACAGGCCCCATGAAGCCATGGACCACCTTAGATTAAGAATTTCTGAACCTGTCCTGTCCAACATGGTAGCCACTAGCACTGCTTAATCTTAAGTGAAATAATCTTAAAATTCGATTCTTCAGTCCATGAGCCATGAATCCAAGTATTTCAGAGCCACACGTGGTCAGTGGCTCTCACAGAGGCCAGTGCAGATACAGCACAGCTCCTTCACCGCAGAATGTTCTGTGGCACAGGGTTGTTAACAGAATCCAAACGCAACAGAGCCTGGCCACTGACTCGGATGAAGCAGATCTGCTGATGCACACTCTCCGTATCAATGAATTCATCACACACACATGGAAAATCCTGACAGGCTTTTTTCCCTATTACCTTCTATTATCTATTTCAGGTAATGGCAGAGACGGGTAAATTTCTATTTCATTTTATACCCCTGGGTATTTTCAATATTTAGTTTTTATGATCGCATCCTATGCTGGCTTACCTACATCCTCCCCTGCCTGGACTAGAAGCTTGGCTTCTACTCCATGGCACACAGAACGTGGAGCAGAGATAGCAGGGAGACTCCTGTCCTCAGTTACCCCAACTCCAAGGCCCCAGGTCCCATCCCACCCCACCCAAGAAGCACCACCATGAACGCTTACTTTCTCTGCAGTCCGGTTCCAGACAGTCACCGTGTGACCCATTTTTAGCAAGTTGGAGACGATGCCACTTCCCATGAGGCCAAGGCCCAAAAATCCTATCCTAGAAAAGAGTTACTGGTCAGTTCAGAGTGGGGGATGGGGTGGAGGGGAGGACAGGGTGGGATTCTGAATACTACCCTCACTCTGTTCCTCTTAAACCTGGGGAACCTCACCTCAGTCCGTCACGCACACTGCAGAGCAGTGTGCTGATACCACCACCGCAGAGCCAGCGGGAGTGCTGGCACAGCGCACTTTTCTCACTCTGCCCCTGTTCAAAAGTGCTTATAAGTTTACACAGGCATTTCTAAACCCTCAACTGCCACTGCAAGAAGTATGACTCATACAGGTTACAGCAAATCTTCCCAACCATTTCCTTGTTGCTTTGATGGAGGGGCTGAGCTTACAACTCCACTGCAGTGAGAAAGCAGACATTTATCTTCAGTGCATGCAACAGTTCCTCGCCAGCCGCCTCAGGTGCAAGGCCTTGAGGTGCCAACTTCAAGCACCCTGGGATCCATGACACGTAACAGCCGCCACATGTGCGGAGCCCCCACCGTCCTCGCCTGCACAAGCCCAGGTCCTGGTGCTCACCTCCCCTTCCTAGCTTCACGTTCTGCACCTCTGCCCTCTTCATGCAGTCAGCAGGGATGGGCTTCGCCACTTCTTCAAAGCCTCGTCTGCTCTGTGGAGTCCGTCTTCCCCGGTGTGTGGCCTCTTCTCCTGAACCTCTCTTTCCCCCGTATTGCTCCATCTGGGCCCATTCTCCTCTGCTCCCCCACGCCTGCTAACTGCAGGCCCATCATGCTCCTTCTGTGACTAAAGCTCAGGTGGTCAGTACGTGCTGCTTACCTGCACTTGCTACAGCTCGCTTGCTCCTTCCTGCAGCCCCAGAACTTGGGGCTTGTAACTGCCACATGGTTCAATGGATGATTTTATCTTGCTCAAATATCTCTTCTTGGTTCCTACAATTCTTTCTCTCTCCTTGCACGAGACATGGCTAAACAATGCCTCTTTTTCTTTTTTTTCGCTCTTTCTTCATTTACTACCTCATGGTCTCATTTCCACCTTGTCTCTCTCTCAGCTCTAATGTTGTCTGCAGCTTCTCCAATCTGACCGGTGTTATCCTTCAGTATTTTCAGTCTCCTGGGAGCCATATCCACAGCCACCTCTGCCAACTGGCTCAACGGTTCCCCTATCCTTGCGGGAATACAACACTCTCATGTTCTCTGTCTAGCCTGCTCTAAGTCACCTGAATCAAATGCTGAAAATGGAACCTACCACCCTCCTCACCAAAGGTATAATCTGTTATTCACAGCTATCTGGGTGGCAGCCAGTTTTCTCTAGGATTCTAAATCATGACAGACTACTTCTCTTTCCTTTGTTCAGTGTTCCAGGACACCCAGAAGACCTGAGGATAAAGTTTATGCATTTCTACACAGCAACTGACAGTTGCTCATGATGTCCTTGAGGCAAGGAAAATGTGCACCAGGTGGACTGGGTACGATGCAGCTAATCTGCTCAGTAGCTGGCTTTACACTCATAATAAAAAGGGATTTGAGTGATGGCAGAAAACACTGGACTCTGTCCTTGGCCTGGAGATGGACTTCTTAAAAAAAAGCCAACACATTCCTCATTGATTTAATGGGTGACACCCATTCCTCCTTTAATTAGCACATGCCTCCAGCTCCTTCACACCACAATGGAAGTTCACCAAATATATCTGGTTGAACAAGTGACTTCAACAGCACACAAAAAGTGTTTTTAGTCTGAGAAAGAACCGCACAGAAGACTCAGATGGGAGATTTAGATGTTCTTCAGGAGAATGCTCCTTCCTTAAGAGCCCTCCTCATCATCACGACTGGGAAACACAAGGTGCTGTCAGAACAGAGGCAAAGGCGAGGGTGGATGCCAGCCAAGGCCTGGGGACCGCAGTCGAAGCGCCCCACTTGTCTGGGTGGGGTGGAGGGCAGCCGGCAGGTACACTGGGAGGACTGCGGAAGGCAGGACAACGGGCTGCCTTCATCTCTTGCTCCCACCTGCCCCCACCAGGGCCAAGGTCAGGAGTTCTTCAAGTGTGGTCTCCTGATGAGCAGCCACTTATTTGGGAACTGGTCCACCTGAGACCGACTGATCCAGAAACTCTAGGGGTGGAGCCCAGCAATCAGTGTTTTACGAAGGGTCTTCCAGGTGGTTCTGAGGCACAGGAAGGTCTGAGAACCACTGACCCAAGTGTTCCCTGCTTAGGAGACTCACTAGTGAGCAAATCCACAGTACATTCACAGGGCAATTTCTGTCTCCCGCAAGTCAAGTTACTCCCAGGCAAATAGTTAAGAATTACAATTTTCCCTTTCTCTTTCCACTTAGTCCCAGCAATGGCTGGGACACAACCATTAGTAAGCCGCCTTGAGGTCACCCCCAGCCCCACAGAACCAGAGCCCAAGGAAGCCCTTCCCCCGAAGGCCCTACTTTTTGTCTGTGGGTGTGACACTGCCATTCACCGCCGTGCTGTCTGCGGCCTGGATGGAGGTGGACCCCGTCTCCTGGGGGAGGAAACACAGGTTGTCAGGCTGGCCTGCCTGTGCCAGGCCCCGGTGAGAATAAAAGTCAGGAGGCGTGGAACTACTTACCTCTTCACATATTTTCAACTTCTTTGTGATTGCCTGGTAACAGACAGCTGGCTAATAAATAGGGAGTGAAAAAAAAACCACTTATTAAACTGAACATTTAACTCGTCTTAGTTACTATTTCCCTACTGAGGCAAGACCCAAAACAGAAAGTTAAGATCAAAATTTATTTGGTGTACAACTTTGCTGAACTCCAACATGTGAAAACTTAATTCGCATTACTCCACTCAGCTCTCATGTGGCTCTACAAGGTGCTTTTTGCTGGTGATGATGCTGAAAATCAGAGGTTTATATGTCCAGAATTATAGGCGTGGTCAGTGTACCTGGCCTTGGAATCCTGATGTCTCAACTCCAAGGTCATACAGCATCAACAGACCCTATCAGGGCTCAGCCTACCTGGCAGCCCTGGAGAGACCTGGGGAGACCGCCCCAACCCCCGGGCTCAAGAAGACCATCTTCATCCAGCAGCTCTGGCCACCTGTGGGAGGACGCCAGCTCCTGAGGCTGGCTTTCTGTCCTAGACTCTTGAGGGCACCACAAATGTCTCAAGCACACAGCCACTAAGTTTTAAAAGCTTTGGGCTCCTTTTAAATCTTAACAATGCCTGATTCACGAGTGGTCCTCTATGTGATTTAAATTTAACTAGTTGCTGCTCTGGACAGCAGTACAGGCAGCAGACGAGGGTGAGGCTCCAACGAAGCAGCACTCTCCCCTCAGGCCAGCTCCTAATGGAGGATCAAGAACCTCAAGGAACAAACCTACCTTCTCAGTTTGGCTGAGCAGGAAGTGATGGAAATGAGGGTCTGCATCTTTAACAGGCTGAAATCAGAAAATGATTTAATAAAACAAGTTATCTTCCACCAGAGGTCACCTCCCTCTACTGATAACCAGTCTCTCCTCTGGCTGACACATCTTTGGGAGCTGAGCTTACAACTGCCTGGAAGCTCTTTTCCCACTCTGGTTCTAAGCCTTTTATAAATAAAGCCCATTCCAACTGGAGGAAAACTGGCTTCAAGTGGAAAAGAATGGATGTTTCTGCCAGGCTGGTGTATAAATTACTCCCAGACACTGTGGAAAAATAATTAAAAAGTGTACCAGTGATTTTTAAATCCAGCATTCACCAGTCACTTCAGATGACCCAGCAGACCAAGCCAAATTCTCAGGCTCCTCCAGTCTTAGGATTTTGGCCCACTTGTACCTGGTGCCAAATGCTCACCGAGGGTTAATATTAACAGAAAGGAGGAGGCAACGACTGCAGGACTTTCAAGGGCTTCTCATAAGCAGGCCCAGAAGCAGGGGAACAGCGGGCGCACCCACTCCAAGGATAAGGCAGTGTGCAGGTAACCAAACATCACAGCTGTGTACGTGATCAAAGTGTGTCTATAAAGTACCAAGTGGAAAAAAACTGCAGAATGATCCCACTTTTGTAAAAATCAACACTACTCCCAAAAGCAAAAAACTGTAACATGGATATGTGATTATATACCTGATGGTTAAGTGGGTATGCCAAACGGTCTGGAGTGAGTTAAATCAAACTTGACAGCAAGCCTGTGCCAGGGTGGACTCACACACTTCTGTATTCATTGGCAAGTAAAAAGTGTTGGGAAAAGCACACCAGTCAGGCTGGGAAACCGGCTCTGAGGCTGGGCTTGTCATGGCCCAAGGGAGGGGTCATTACCTCGCTCACGTTTGGCTGCCATTTAAATGTGGCCATGGGTCCAGCCATCATCCCCTTCACAGTACTGGACTCAGGGATGCTGAGGTCCTACAGAGGGAGAGACAGGTGGTCACCGCACTGTGGCACCTCAGGATCAGGGGTCCTCCTCCCTCAGTCGGGGGCCCCTCTTCACTGCTTTGCTTCCTTCAGTCACACTCCACCCCAAACTACCCTTGCCAGCTCCATGGTTTCCCCAGGCACAGCTCTGAGGACTGTCTTATCGGGAGAAAGAGGGCAAGTCCTTATCAACAGAGAGGGAAGCTTTCTTTTCTCTGGTCCAGAAATGACAAATGTGTTCTTGGGCCAAATTTCCTCAAGGATGGAGATAACCTGAAAGACCAACTGTGGTCTGTAGTGTGATCAGCAGGTCACAGGGAAAACTCCTTATTGCAAATAATGAGCATTAGAAAAACAGTACTGACTTAAAAAGGAATCCACTGTATCTCAAAAAAACCCTAAGGAAGCCATGTGGTGCAGTGAGGAGATCTGCCCAACATTTTAGAGCCACTAAGTGATGAAGCCAGAACTAGATCCTGGAGCAGTCAGGATCCAGGAGTCCACTCTCCCCCCAGACAGAAGAAAGGTGTCGTGGGGGTAGCGAGTCAAGAGCTCAGCGCGGCAGGTTGAAGCTCTCCACTAGACAGCTGCGGGGAAGCGTCAGTAGGGCCACCGAGGCCGGGAGACAGCAAATGGGGACAGGGACACGAGGCAGCCTGCGGCAGAGGGGCAGGAGCAGACGAGCTGTAGCTTTATCCCTAGATCTCCAGACCGGCGTGGAGATGCGCAAAGCGAAACCAAGTAGCCCAGAGGAGCGCTGCTCCAGAGAAGCTGCTGTCACGATGGCCGTGCTCCATATCCGCTTGGTCCAGTGCAGCAGCCAGGAAGCTTGTGTCACTATGGAGCACCTGTCATGCGGCCAGTGTGACTTGAGCAACTGGATTTTAATTTGGGTTTTATGTAAACTAATTTAAATGTAAATGGTCACTAGCCTAGTGACCATAACAACAGAACAAGAGTAAGGCAGGAAAACAGCTGTGGGTCCATCCTGCACTGAGCAAAGGCCTCCACTCCTGATTGCCTGCACGAGTCTGGATTTTTAGGAGAGCCACAGGATAGCTCGGTTTTGTCCCGTGGTCCATGCCCACAGTCCCAGTTCTCCTCTCAGGACTTGAGACCCAGAGAGAGGGTAAGTGTGCACCCCCCAAGCATGGCTCCCCCATGGGGCTGGACACAAACCCAGCTTCGCCTTCCCGCACGTAATCAACACCCCTGCCATCGAGCTCAGCTTTTTCCGCTAACCCTCACGGGACAGAGGATTATGGCTCAGAACAGCACTCGTCCGGGGCTCTGCCCAGCTACACTACTTCACTCTGCTTCAGTGAGAAGCTCGCCAGCCAAATGACAATCACTATAGCAACACACATGCTTGTGTGAGAAGAGTCCCTCCACGTAAGCCTGGCAGTAGCCCCCAGGAGTGCACTACAACCACCACACTCTCACCACACAAACGCTTCTGCTGAACAGTAATAAATGTGCAATGTTTGTCGTGTATAGTGCTGCAGGCACTGTCTTAAGTGCTTGGCTTGTGTTACTCATTTAATTCTTAAAATAAACCTAAGATGCACTGTTATCTTCAATGACCAGACAAGGAAACTGAGGTGAAGGGAGCTGGCCACGGTCATACAGCTGTAGCAGGTCATGGAGACCCCAGGGCCTCCTCCTTTCCTCTCCTTCATATTTCCCTTTACCCCCAAAGAAGCTGTTTCTCTTCAGGGTGAGCACAGGAGGTGGGGAGATCCGTGGTGTGAAATGCCGGAGAGCATGCATTTGGAGAACAGATAAAACCCAACAGCCCAGATTTCTGTGGGTCCCCACGAAATCAACTCAACTGGATCAAGCCAGATCACATCTCCTGAAAGTTCTTCATGCACCACACCCAGCAGTTTCTAAACTTCCCTCCCCTCTGGCCAGAGGTTCCCTGTGCTTCTGGTCACCCGGGCTGTCCCCCACCACTCAGCTGTTCTCATCTATTTTGTCTTAGGTCACTGAACAGCCAGAAGGACCCGCTCTAATGCAGAGGTTGTATTGCGGCAGCCGACAGGCTGAACGAAGTCCAGAGTAATGCTCCTTTGGACTTAGAAGTGTTGTAAAAATTTGAATTAGCTTCTAATATATAAAATAGGAACATTTCACTTAAAATCTGTATTTCCAGCTTCTCTTGAGAAAAACCAAAGGATCTGGCAAAAGTTGGCTGGGAGTCTGAGCACGGGGCATGGCCTCGCCAGATGGCAACTGCTGCCACCCTAACACCTTCAGCTCAGCCTCCTGCTTGAGCACCCTCTTCCCATCCCTGCCTGGTCTCACTGGTATCTCAACTTGTGCGCCTCCATCTGACTTCCAGCATTTCATCATGGCCCCATCATCCTAGGTCTGTGCCAGCCATCTGGCTTCCAGCCTCCGATCCTGCTCTAACAATCTTCCCCTGTGTGTTGACAGACTACCTGCTTCACCTAAAATCTGCCTCCTCTGGCTTCCAAGACCCACACAGATCTTTCTGGAAAGGTGAGAGGTATGTTACTTCTGCCTTACTTCCCTTCGCCAGCTCCACCCACTTCTTCCATCCTGGAGCTGTGGGTGTTCTCTCTTCAAAGCCAACTTCTTCCCTCCCCTCTGCTCTCTCCTGGCTTTCCCTCAAGATAACCACAATCAGGGCTCCAGGATCTAATGTCCTCTCTATCACTCAATGTCATCACACACGGAACTGGTCCTCTTGCCCCAAAAGCCAGCTCCTCTGCTCAGAAGAAAGGCATGTTTCTCCAGGCACAGACTTGAAATCATCTCCCTTCCCCTTTTCTCATCATCCCCTAGATGCAACCAGTTACCAAATCTTACCAACTCCTCCTCTGAAGTGCTTCTCACACAGCTCCTTTCAGTATTTGCTAACACCCCCCTCCCCCTCCCCAGGGAAATCCCATTATGAACGCACACCTGATGTTACCCTTCTCATCGGCTTTGAGCCTGCCTTCACTGCCAGCCGTGACCTGTAACACACAGCCTGGCGCACACCGCCACCTCCATGCCACCCTACTGACTCCATGGTGGCACAACACTGCTTAAGCAGACCTGGAGGCTCTCCACGACCTAGTGACAAGCTGCCTTTACCCATCTGTCCTGTACCAGGACTAAGACTACGCCTGCCAACAACACGCCCACGTGGGCTGTGCCCTTCGTCCATGGAAGCCCTTCCCTTCTTTCCCGCTCAGCCCTTGCACGCTGGCTCAGTGGACCCTTCTACTCCCCTGACCACGTGTCTGGTCGAACGCTCGAGTTCTGTGTTCCTGTCATGCCTGTGCGTCCAGGCAGTGCCCCTTCCCTGTCTGCAGAATTCTTTAGGGCAGCACAGAGCAGGGGACCCTACGTCCGTTCAGGGAGCTGAAGCACACAGGAGAGCTCGACTCTGCCCTGTTAGAAGGACAGTCACCAGTCCCAGAAGCTACAGAGACAGAACCAACCTTCTCGTCCTTGGGGGGCCGACCCCGCTTCCGGGGACTCTGCTCCTGGGCTCTCTTCAGAGGGGACTTGGAGCCTCGCTCTGAGGAGCCTGAAGGCACCCTCTTCTTTCCTTCTCCCATGTTCTTCTTCACCTTCCCTTCAGACAGGCTAAGCTTGCGCTTCTCATCACCTGAGATTGGCCTACTTCTCTCCTCACTGGAATTACGCCGATTCTTGTCATCAGCAGAACTGTGGGATGATGTCTGTAAGTTTAATAATAATAGTGATAACCACCACAATGGCTACTACCATCGCGACCCCTATTTATATGGGCCACGCCCGGTGGTAAGCACTTTCTGTACATGCGTTATCCACCTGACAGTCCTATGAAGTAGGCGCTGCTGTCATCTCTGCTTACATTTGGGGAAGCAGAGTAAAATAAAATTCAAGTCATTTGCCACAGTCCCCAAACTATATTTACATTCAGCAGTGGACAGATCCCAGAGGCATGCTCCTAACCTCCATAAAAGGGAGAAGGCCTGTGCTGTACTCAAAAGCTGAGGGACGTCTGCTGGGTCTAAACGACTTTCCTGAGGGCAACAATCTATTCCAAAAAGGTCAACCAGATGCATGGAATTTCAATCTGATCAGCAAAATGCTGACGCTTTAGACCTAAAGTAGCTGTCTCCCCACTGGCATTTCATGAGAATAGCTTCAGGTTCGGGCCATACTTAATCTGTTAGTTACTATGCAGCAAAGAACCAGGCTGGAGTCGGCGCAGAGTGAGAACCACGGGGCCTCTCACCTGGTCCTTCCCTTTGGCTCTCCTGAGGAACTCCTCCACCGCGTCCACAGCCTGCTGGAATCGCTTCCCCTTGTTGATCTTGATCATTTCCTCCTTATGGGCATGATACGGCTTGAGCTGTTCCACTTTGATCCAGGCACTGGCAGAAAACATACAGAGCAAGGACATGATCCACACTGCTTATGCCAGAAAGTATCAAAGACCTCACCCCAGCAGAGTGCAAGTATCCATTTGGTTTAACTGGTCTTTGAAACAGGCCTGCCATGTTTTCAAAACATACTACTGACCACCCCCTAGACTCTTGAGCCTAAAAGTATGTTTTCCGGAAACAAGTCAAACCACCACCACCACCAAAATCGGCATCCTCCAAATAAAGTCACTGTTGTGGGTTATTTCCACTCTCATTCACCAGCCTTCCATGCTGAAACACACACACCCTGCCACTAGCTCAGGACAAAGGAAACCTGGAGATGAGCTCCCACTCTCACAACACAAATGGCTCCATGTGGAGCCCAGGAAATCAGGACTTTTGGCACTATCAACCACAGCAGCATCACTGCCAGTCAAAAACCTCAGTCAGACCGATGACCTGTCAATCCCAAGACTCAGGGATGCTCCGAGAGCTAAAGTAAGGCAACAGCTTCAAAAACCTGCTGCTCCTGCAGACGTCTGCAGTCTCAGAGCTTGTATTTCTTCATGAATGATTGTACCCAGGGCTATTGAACCACACCAAACAGGTGACACACGGTTCGGAACAAGGGCAGCCGTCACAAAAGGAGGCTTCAGAAACAAGACTCTGCCTGTGATTAAAGGAAGAGAAACACATTCTTTTTTTTTTTTTTTTTCCATTTTGTTACTGGAACTTTTTTTTTTTTAATTAATTTATTTATTTATTTTTTATCACAACCATAGTGTATCTTTTTTTTTTTTTTTACATGTATTCCCCATCCCGGTCCCCCCTCCCACCTCCCTCTCCACCCAATCCCTCTGGGTCTTCCCAGTGCACCAGGCCCGAGCACTTGTCTCATGCACCCAACCTGGGCTGGTGAACTGTTTCACCCTAGATAATATACGTGGAGAAACACATTCTTTGGATTTTTGATTCCCACCACCAATGTATAACATGTGAGAATGAAAAGAGCCATCAACCCTGGAATAACTGGCCTGCCGCCCTAACCTGCACGAATCAGCCCCCAGTGGCTTTTGTGGTTTCCTTAAATGATGGTCAGTTTGCAAAACACCGTACAATGGAGAGAATTATAGGCTTGGCAAGGTTAAGAGTCTATTTACATATTTTACCCTGTAAAACTCAAGAGGTTTCATAGCATAACCTTCAGAAAAAGTGGGTCAGGTCAAGGATATAGAAATGGGGCTATTACATGAACTTAGGCTTCTTTCCTTTAGAGAAAGCTAGAGAATACTCACTAATAATAGTCGAAGTGCTAACCTCTGCACATAAAAAATAGTGCTACCAACCCAGCAACAGCCACCTGTGCTCCGTGTTGTGCTAATGGCTGTAATAATGGGTCTGTAAAAACACAACCTCTGGAACCATCAGTCTGTAAACTAGGACTAGGCATATTATCTGTGGGTAAACAAGACAAGCGAGAACAAAACAGTGAATGGGGACTAGGACGCTGGTCTCACTGCAGATTTCCAAAAAGATGAGGTAAGCAGGTACCTTCCAAGTGACCAACTCATCCTGAAGTCTGAAACTGGATACAACAGACCCCACAGGTCCAATGTATAAGGAGGAAAAATGGAATTAAATTGACCCCATATTATTCAGCAAGTGTGTTTACAATGTTAAAAGGCCAAACCACCAGCGCAATCAGATGAAAAGGAAGTTAAACTTTAAAGGAAGATTAACTGGGAGCTCTGAGGTGACAAATACTCAGTATCAGCAATGAAGCTTAAGAGACCTACAATCCTCAAAGAAACCTCCTCCCTCTCCCAGCTTTAGGTCAGATGCTGAGACCTGCATGCATTCCTAGCATAAGACGGATGGGGTGATTTTAATCAAGCGTCCCTGAGATAGGACTATAAGAATCCCGATTCCTAAATCCCTCTTCCCCCATCTCTTCACACTAACTGAGGACTCAGAGCGAGAGGAAAGGTGAGGATATTTGTGGAGAAAGCACCAATGAACCCAGGCCTATCTTCCATTGAAGCATTTTAAGTGGATTACTGAGTTCTGCCAAGAGAACAGCAATAGTCAAAATTGACTCATCCTAAATAAAGACTGGCATCTGAGATACTAAAATGAAATTTTCCTCTCGTACGACCATCTTTGAAAAGTGAAAATAAGTTTGCTAAAAGAACTGACAGTTTAAGTATGACTTCAAGAGAAATGTTAATCTACCTAAGAAATCACCTCCTGCTGGAGAAACATCCTGTCACATCAGAAACACAGTAAATAAAACACGAGCCCAGCAGAGCCCCAGAAGGATTATCTCCTGAAAGCACAATGAACTGAAATTTACTTGGGCCATTTCAGTAATTTTTTCTCCAAAAGCTGTATTGCAAACAAAACTCCTTAAAGAAGAGTGCGCTTTTCAGCTGGAGCTTCAGCAAGGTCCTACCGAGGCCAGCCAGGCAGGAACTGGCATGCAATTGGCGCCCAATAATTACTCAGTGGACGAAGCCTTCCAGGCATGCGACTGCACTGCTGCTGGACTGCTGGCCTCTGGGCTGAAACAACAGGTGGCTGTGCAGGCTTTCTGTGGTGGCTGCTGTTGCTTGCATGTTTTTAAAGTGAGCATTCTGTTTCTTTGCTTGATTTAAGCTGTAACTTTCCCTCAATGTGCTCCCAATGCCTAGATGGAGCTGCACTTTTTCCAATCAATTTGCTGCAGGCTGAGAAGTTAAAAAAAAAAAATCATGCTTAGTCAAGTTGTGTCTAACGAACTGGCTTTGCTTCTGTATTCAAGGAAGTTAATTACACATTGTTTGTAGAAGTAAATGCCCGAAAACAAGCTAACTGGCAATCAGTGAGGTCACTATAAAGAATGAAATGCAAAGTCCTTTAAGATACTTGGCTAAGTGGAAAACAGCAAGATACGGAGCTGTGTGTGTAGTATGCTAGCACTTGCATAAAGACGAGGAAAAAGGAACATGCAACTTCCTGATTATGCACCCAATATCTCTTGAGGCACTTGTCGTAAGAAACTAGTATAACTAGATGCCTGTGGGCCAAAGACTTGAGGGGAAGAGGAGGAATGGAACTGTCTCAACGGTTTAAAGCTTGATTTGGGCGGAAACCCTAAGTATCTATTAGTTTTAAAAAAACAACAAATCAGGCACTTCCCTGGCAGTCCGGAGGCTAAGACTGTGCACTCTCAATGCAGGGCTCGGGTTTGATCCCTCGTGGGGGAGCTAAGATCCCACAACAAAGATCTGGCACAGCCAAATGAATAAATATTAAAAATTTGCATAAATGAAATTAAAAAAAAAACCCTCAACAAATCAATAACAAGGGCCCGTGCTGTAGCACATGAGCCATCTACTGAGAAGGGGGCTCTCCCCCATGACTTCCTTGTGTAGGTCTGTTCAGGTGGGCAGCTACTGCCTGGCTGCCGGTGTAACTGCACCTGTGACACAGCCAAGAGCAAACTTACCCTGGTAACCTGATACACCTCCTACAAATACTTCTCGTTTGAGAACAGAACCCTTCCCCTAAGCCACCCTCTGATTATACACTCAAAATGAATGTAAAAATCTCACATTTTCAGGCTTCTCTGGTGTCTCAGTGGTAAAGAATCCGCCAGCCAATGTAGGAGACACGGGTTCAAACCCTGGCCACACGCTGTGGAACAGCTAAGCCCGTGTGTCCCAACTACTGAAGTCTTGGCAACAAGAAAAGCGACCACAGTGAGAAGTCCTCCCACCTCAACCATAGAAAAGCCTGCACAGCAACAAAGACCCAGCATAGCCAAAAATAAACAAACATTTAAAAAATCTCACATTTTCAAACACTTTCATAATTCTGACCCGCCTTCCTCTTAATTAAAACTAGACTATATAGATATCATAGTGAAGAAGCCAGTCTATGAAAGATCTCACACACCCACATATGTGTCTCAGACTCTCGGAAACAGTGACCTGAGCGGGGAGAGGGCATACAGGCATAGGCCACAGGTGAGAATAAGGACATGGTCAGAGAGGTATGTTTGCCCTCCATCTGGATTTGGTGAGAAGTACTTAGTAAATAACTCTCAGACCCCCCTCCCCCCAGCTTAAACCAGTCACAGAGACTGAGGATTATTGAGGTGTTACAGGTCCAAGTCTACTCAGAAATCAAGACACACCCCCAAATGCAAATCAAAAGACCAAAAAGGTCACAAAACAGTTAACAGTTTAACAACTTCAGTTAATTACAAGCACTGACTATCATACAAATGTCAACAAAGACTTCCCTATAACATACAGAAAATTTTTGTTTCCGAAACTTGACAACAATCCCCAGTCCTGGATAAGGCTCTCAAGCTGCACCGCCACGGCCAGCCACTGCTTTCCACACTGGTCTCTACGAGGGGCCTGACCCTTGCCCCTGGGGCGCCCTGCCGCAGCTGCGGAGGGTGTCTCACCTGAAGGGCAGGAGCCGCTGCCAGCGCTCTCGAGGATCGCGGCTGTCCAGCTCTGGCAGAAGGACACTGCTGGCTCAGTTCAAACACTAGAGCAGTGACTCTCACTCCCGGCCTGTCTTAATCCTCCAACCATTACATGGTGTTGGAGGCAGGGAAAGTGGGTCAATCAGGTGACAGGTCAGAGGGGGATGCTCAGGTGGGTCTGACCTGCCGTGCCTCTAATTATGAGGCAGATTTTTCTAGAAGTTACTGATATTTCAGCACTTACTTAGACACCTCACAACCAGCCTATCCCACCTCATATCTGGCTTGATGTAAAAAGAACCCCAGGCTGGGACCTTAGACATATTATCACTTAAGTCCTTAAGTTTCCTGCCTCTCAGTTTCTGTATCTGTTGAAAAATAAGAACCAGAACAACTGCCTTGTTTTCTGAAAGGGCTATTGTGAGGATCAGATGTGAAGACTGCTATACAAACTCTGAAGTAGCTGTTACAGATTTACACATCGTTTGCCCACAGTATTCTTTGAACCGGTTTGTTTTCCGTGGGCTTCGCACACCTGCAAACTGAATGAACTCCCTCCATTCCGCCATCCCCGGCCACTGAAGAAACTTTAGAACCCCAAGCTCAGTTCCTCCTGATAGCAACCGCCTGTTCAAGGTGGGCCCTCGCGCACCAGAGATTTAGTCTTGGGCTACGGCCCCGTGGTATCCTCCCCTCTATATTTTCATGAAATAGAAAAGGACTGTGGGCAGTTCCCATGTAGCCACCCAGGCTCAGAGAGCTCAACTGGGCCATCCTGTTAAGTCCTTCCCGTCACAGGGGAGGCTGGCTGGGAAGGTCTAATCCTCTCTTCCTTTTTGTGAGGGGGAGCAAAGCCAGGGACGAGCTCTGTCACCATCCTGGTGACATCACTCCTGGATCCTCTCTTCTTGGTTCTCTCTTTTAGTGGGAGAGCAAGGGAAGAATAGGAAAAAAATCAGATTTCTTAAAGATAGGAACATGTCCACTGAGATCAGGACCCTGCAACTGACAGAGCCTCTAGGATGTGCCAGGAGCAGGCATTAAGGGGAGGTAGAGTCCGGCTTCTGCCATAGCCACTCACAGCTCTGTCCGTCACAAAGCAGTTCTCATTCCTAAAATCCACTTGCATTTCCTGTCTGAACTATATCTCACACAGCCCTCCTAAACACGGTCACACAATGTTTATTCTACTCACAGTGTCAAACACCTGAGGATTTATGATCAAGTTAGTGTTTATCTCCTTAAGGTCAATTATTTCATCAATTCTGCTCTTGTTCTTCCTCAGTTTTTGCTTTTTCACATTAAAGAGTTCTCTCACCTGATTTAGTCCCCTTTCCCGATGTTAATTCCGTCAGATTCCATCAGGAGGACAGACTAGACAGCACATAGTACCCTTGGCTAGGAACAATGTAGTTTTTCCATAAAGGTGAAACAATGTAAAAATAAGAAACAAAGAATAACAAAAATAAAACATCAGCCAAACAAAAAAAGGTGGCACAATGTACCATTTTGTATTCAAAGCCTTTAAGGTCAAAAGAGCAAACCTGGCTGACATCCTTAGGAATCTCCAGCTCTCAGACCACTCTCTTCTCAAACACAGATCCTCCACACCCTACCCTACCATGGGCAGGGTCTGTTTCTCTCTCCTATTTTCTTTACTTAAAGCCACCTGCTTCTCATCAACTATTTTTTTTTTTTTTGGTAACAGATCTAACCCTAACCCAATGCTTGTTGAAAACCTGCTGTATGCCAACCAATACAATGAGTAAGTGATGCTACTTTCTCATAACTGCCAGGTAGAGTGTTGTCCCCACATGTGGACAAGGACCCAGAGGCTTAAAAAAGTCAAACGGCCCACACCACAGAGCAGGTGAAACTGGTATCTGAATATACATCAGACCAGTAACAATCCAGAGCTCTGTCCCCAAAGTAATCTGCTACTAAGAAACAATCTGGAGATTTCGCCTTCAGAAGATACAAAGATTCTAAACTCTGCCTCAATGCTGACCACTAAGAACTCGTCTCTGGTTAGAGAAGTGCTGGAGCTCCTTTCCCTTTGTTTCCTTTCACTAAGACAACTGTTTAGCTACAAAAAGTTAACATGTTAGCCCCTTCGCAACTTAATGGCTTTTTATGAAGAACAGTATCAAGGAAGTTTAGAAGACTAAAGATACTGTATCTAGCCACTGATGTATATCTGTTTGCTTAAGAATCTCCTCAAGAAACTTGTAACATCACCACCATCACTAACATGCTATTTTTGTGTCCAGAAAGCACATCCTTTTCACTGGCTTCAATGGTCTGCCTGGCTGAGTGCTTGAGTGCTGAGATACACTCCGCTCCAACTTTCTGTGTCCTATTTGTAGTATTTCTTATACACAGGGACAGTTTATTCCTCGAGACTTCTAGCATGTTAAAAATTATCATAAAAACACAATGGCTTTCAGGTCCCCTGAAAGCTGTTTAACTCTCCACTTTCTATGAGTTCCCATTTGTGTTCCAGACTGGTGACGTCTTCATTTAGCTAACCAAGGTAGGCCAACAATATTGCCCTGTTCTCCTCAAGCACAGGTTCTTTACCTCTGGGAAGGCTTTCTTTGTCCACACGTTCAACTTATCTCCCAGTGGTTTATTACGGTATCCTCACTGTCTGGAATGCCCCTACTATTCCTCTCCAAATTCTACCCATCCTCCAGAGTTTGATCCAAATCCTGTTTCTTCAAGAAGACTCCTTTGACCCCGTTCAAATTTCTCCTTGCTGTTCTTGATTTCTCCTTGTTCTGGAATCCTTTAATAATTCCACTCCTCATACACTCGGTCCCATCTGAAGTGTCTATGTCTTGTCACCTCAGTTCCCGGAAGACAGGGACCATAGCGTTTGCTTTCCTAGAAGTTGTCTTTGGTGTCTGCCTGTGCATTCAGTCCTTGTTTTATGCATCCAGATGATCTTTCTTGTAACGTGGACAGCAATAGCAGAACATCCCCTCTTCCAGACTGTCTCTGACTCTCACAGCTCTGGGCCAGTGACTCCCTTGAAATATTGCCACCAAAAGGCTGCTAGGTTGGTTTGAGACAAGCACTGGGGCTGGGTATGTCGGTACATGTGTGTATGGTGAATGCAGACATGCTATGCAAACTCTAAACCAGGATGAGCACTCTGATGCAAAAATCTGCTAGTGAAGAATACCATTTATAAGAGATTTTCCTATGGAATGTTATACATCACTTTCTACAAGCATACATTTTTCAAATCCAAAGCTACATTTTCCTGTAAGAATCACATATACAAACACAATTACTTAAAGAAATTAAACCATCTAGCTAGAACCAGGCAATCAACTTGATGGAGTGATGAGAAAGCTAAACAAGTCACTGGAAACATGAGTACACATTCCTCCCTTTGCTGCGATTTATTATACAGCCTATCAAAGAATCTCAAATTAACAATCCTGATTTCAACTCTAGAACAGATCTGGTTAAAAAGCTTTACTGTTACAATGCCAGATCAAATCATCTAGTTTTACAAGAACAAGGCTAAACAACTACTTTTATAAGACAAAAGAAATTTTAGCTTTCACTGTATAACTCCTGCTCGAACCACAATCATAAACAGCCATTAAGAGAACCAAACAAAAAACAAAAGGATCTGCCTGGAGGGGAGAGGGGTTGAGTTAAGAGATGGGAGAGCCTATCTCAATGAGGTGATCATATCTAGAAGGCGTCACCCTATTTCTCAACTGATGTCTGGGAGAGAAAAATAACACCTTTTATTTAGGCAGAAACCAGAAGGATATGCCATTTTTATAGACCATGATAAGACTGAATTAGGAGACCGAATTAGAATATTCACAAAGCAGCTTCAACCCAGGGCAACTCCCAAACAGAGGGAAAGTGAGACTCTCAGTGAGCACTACTCACTGATCTTCTGTTCCAAAAAACTTTACAAAGAAGCATTTCTTCCCACGTGGTTTCTTTAAGTCCTTGGGCGGGTTAACAATCTAGAGGATGAAAGAGGAAAACAAAAAATGTTTTTTTCCCACAGTGATAAGTTGGTAAGAAAAAACATGAAATAAAAGAAATATGTCTTAAAAAAACAAAACCAAACACAGGGCCTAGTTTATGTCCAAACCTGGTGCTTTTCTACTGAGATACGTGGAAATGTGCAAATATTCCAGGAGTTCCCAACATCTATTATTATCTATAGTGTTCGGTAGATACAATATCCCTTTAACTAAAATGGCCCTGTTTTAAAAGTATTACTCCTGCAATGTGGCCCTGTTGTCACTGAAGAAACATACAGGACACTCCTAAAAATTCTTTTTTACAAGAGTTGAGACAGGTGACAACAACAGTAATGAATAAATAATGCACTGCAAATGCCATATTGCAAAGACACAGTCTAAAGACATTTCCTGGGCTCTGAGCAAGAATATAAAAACAGAACATTTGGAAAGCTATGAAGGATCGCCTCATGCAAAATGTGGAATGCCAACTTCTGCAAAGATGCACTGGAGCAGCACATATGGTAAAATGGAAGATTTAAACTTAGTTGGGACAAAAATACTTTGACTTTTCACTAACCTACATTTAGATTTTTTTCTTCCCAAAAAGTTTATCTTCTTCTCCTTTTGTTCGATTTATGCAAAGCTAAATTCAAGTCATAATGGATTTTCAGGATTAAAAAACTTTATCAAAAACCACTTCTGAGTCAAGAAATAATAATTCACTGCAGATTAAAAGATCTGGTTTATGTATACTGCCTTTTCTAAATAAACTGATACTAAATACAAAAAAAAAAACAAAAACAAAAAAACCCGTGTGTTATTTGAATAAGCCCAGTTTAATTCAATGCTAGAGTCTGTGGGGAATTCCATCTTACATGCTCCCCCTTCTTAAAGCCAACTTCAGACGTTCTTCCTTCAGTAGCAAGACACTCACCTTTCCCGGCCAAGGAGGATACCGGCCGAGTTTCCCCCTAGAGAAAACACAGAGAGTCAGCATTTGCCCTGGAAAAGCAACTCCAGCTCCTTCAACACACTCAACATGCAATTTATTTCCTAAATCTCCACCTTCACCCTCCACTGCCAGACTAAAAGCTGGCAACAAGGAATTCTTAAACGTGGCTTCCACAGCTGGGCCCAAGATGCCCAAATTCCTCAGAAACGCAATGCAAAAAAAAAAAAAATAAAATAAAAAATTCGAAGACTTCGGTGCGCCAGATAGGTGCATCCTTCTGGTGACGAGGAATACGGAAAAGACAAAACAAAACCACCGAGAGCCGTTTGTCTAGAGCCTGCCCGTGACGTGACGGGAGTAGGGGGCAGCTCGCTCTGTAAACACAAGACTTCCCCTTCACAAAGTCTGGTTTAATTCACCAGCCTGGCTTTGACAAATCGCTAAGGGAAGCCCTTCCTCCGGGTCGAAGAGACGAGCTGCGCAGCTCGAGGGAGGCGGCGACAGTCCCGTCTCGGTCCGGGCGGTTGTACGGGACACAGAAGCCGACTACGAGAGGCACCGGTCACTGCCAAGCTTTCGCCTGTAATGGAGAAGTGTCCCCTCCATTTCTTCAAAGCGCAGCGCCGGCAGTCCGCTTTCGACACCCCCGGGCCGAGCCGCCCGCACAGGTGGATTTCGTCGCGCAACGCGGGTGTCGAAGGGCTTTGCCCAGACGAGATGGCCCCGTGGGCTCCCCGGCTCTCCTGCTCTTCCTGGGAGCCCCCCAGCCCAGACCCCGGGGCGAGGAACCGGGCGTCCGTGGAAGCCGCGCGGCGCCGGGCACTCTCCTCACAGTGGGCCGCCACGCGTCCGGGTCCGGAGCGCTGCTCTCCCCGGGCGGCGTCGGTGCTCGGAGCTGGGCCCACCACGGCCACCCTCGGCCTCAGTCCCCCGGGGCCAGGCTGCCCCTTCCGCCCGGCTTCACTCCCAGCGCCGGCACCTCGTCTCGCCCTTTCTCCACGACTTAGAGCGCGTAGAAAGGCCGCCTCGGGGCGGGCCACACACCCCACGCCCGGGGAGGCAGCTCCTCGGCGCACCGCTCTCGGCCCCGGCCGCCCGGACTCACCACACCAAATCGCCGAGCCGCAGACTCACAGCCGCCATCTTACCACCCAACCACCGCCGACGCACGGGCGGTCGGGAACATCAGGTCGCTCCGGCGCCGCCCATTGGAGTGAGGCAGCCCACGTGATGAGGGCCGGCCGTCCCCCCGGCCACGCCGCTGCTCTGACGTCACCGCGCCCGTAGGGGCTTATTGGCCGGCCGAGCGGCACGTGACCCGGGCGCCGCGGTCTCCGCGCGCCGGATCTCCTAGACTCCCGGCTCCTTCCCCCTCCCTCCGGCTCGTGACAACGAAGCGCCGCGGTCTGAGGCGGCGGCGGCGACGGTGCGGCCGGCGGAACGAGCGAGGGAGCCGGCCGTGCGGCCCGCCCCGCCCCCGGGCCCTGGCCTCCAGCGCCCGCCCCGACAGTACTTCCGTTACGGCCGTTAGTCCGGCGCGGGCCCCGGGGCCGGCCGCGTAGGCGCGCCGGTAGCTACCTTGACGGACTTCGGCGCGGCCTGGAAGCCAGCGCTCCGCCCGCGCCCGGGGCCCCGCGCCCGGCGGGCTCTGCGTGGTCGCCCCCGAGGGACGGACAGGTCCTTCGGGGCGCACTCTCTAACGGCCGGCGTCCAGCGGGAGCCGCTCCGAGCCTGCTTCCGCGCCGCAAGTTCTCTCCGGGGCGCAGCGCTGCCCGCCGCGAGGTTCCGAGTTGCCCGGCCGACGTGGAGCCGGCGTCTCTCCGCTTCCTCCTGGGCCGGCACAGCCGGCGAGCCGTCCCCCCCCTTGCTTCGCTCACTACCCCGGGCGCGCCGGGACCCGGCCATGGGCCGCGGCGCGGGCCGGCTGCCCTCCGGGAGGCATGGCTTGGGGGCCGGCCGCTAGCGGCGCCGCCGCCCGGACTACCGTGCCGGCATGAAGACGGCCGCGAGGGGCACGAAAGCGACCCGCGGGGCCGTAGGCTGCGTCGCGCCGGGGACAAAGGTGCGTGTCTTTGTCGGGTCCGGGCTCTCACGTCAGCCTTGTTGTAGTTTGACACTTTGGGGGGAAGTTGGGAGCAGGCTTTTTTTTTGACAGCAGGAAGGCAGATGCTAAGGCGTAGTTTATCAGTGCGTTAAGACTAAGCCGTTTAAAGGGGAACTGGGGACAGCAGTTGAGCACAGCGTCTGCTCAACAGCCCAGGTAGAAAATAAAAATATTTTAAGATCCTCAGTTCTAGTTGTAGAACCCAAAGAATCCAACGCCGATGTTGAGTTAACTTAGAACCGGACTTTTATTGAGCCATCCTATGCTAAAAAAAAAAAAGGTGGCAGGTCTACACGCTGTCTCCCAAAGATAAATTGGTTGTAAGCGGGGGTTTTTCGGGAACTGGCTCATCTGCGGCCCGGTTTCTCTTTGCGTTCAGCTTCCCCGAAGTACCGTCAGCTAGTTTCAGGAGCTGTCTTTCACTGTTAACTATTTCATGTTGTTTTAGAGACCAGACTGATCGTTTTTTAAAGCATATTTAAGTTTCCAGGAAATAAGAAAATTGACCACATCTTCCTGGTTTAAGAACTCTTAATTTTTGAGGAATTAAAGGATACCTTTTAATGACTTAGTAAAATTTATGAATCGTACGACAGTATCACACTGGACCCTAAGGACATTTGCCATAGAACCGGGAACATGGTAATGAGTAAATATATTGTCTAATATTATCTTGGTAGTTATAGCCAATGCAATAAGACATGAAACAAAAATAGAACATTATTTTTCAGAAAGGAGGAGACAAAATTCTCATTTCTGTAATAGGATGCTGCTGCTGGTAAGTCGATTCAGTCGTGTCCGACTCTGTGCGACTCCATAGACGGCAGCCCACCAGGCTCCCCCGTCCCTGGGATTCTCCAGGCAAGAACAGTGCAGTGGGTTGCCATTTCCTTCTCCAGTTCGTGAAAGTGAAAAGTGAAAGTGAAGTCACTCAGTCATGTCCGACTCTTAGCGACCCCATGAACTGCAGCCCACCAGGCTGCCCCGTCCATGGGATTTTCCAGGCAAGAGTACTGCAGTGGGGCACCATCGACACTGTGATAGGATAGGACAGCCTATTTTGAAAAACAGAGTTAAGGGAAAATCATTAAAATAGCTAGGAATTCATTGACGAGACTAATTACGAAATTAGCACACAATATTCGGTGGGTTTTTCTACATTTCACCAATAATCAGTTTGAAAATATGATTGAGAGGGTATATAGAAACAACAAAAAGTACCATACCTTGGAATAATCTGAGATGCAAAAGGAGGCTTGAATTTCTTGGATAACCTGGGTTGAGGTTTTTTAAGAGGGGTGCTTTCGTTTGTAGAATACTGTGCTTTTATTTAGAATTAAGAGTCAACTCGTTAAAATTGAGTATTTAAATGTTTAATCTTTAAAAGAGCTTTTTCAACAAATCTTGTTTGTAAATCTAAGAATGTATACATAAAAATAAACATTTTAGATTTTTTTCAATTATTTGAAAAAAATTTTGATTTTTGACAAAGTTTCAATTAAAGCACCAGTTTAATAGATTCAGTTCGGTTCAGTCATGTGCAACTCTTTGTGACCCCATGAACCGCAGCACAGCAGGCCTCCCTGTCCATCACCAACTCCCAGAGTTTACCCAAAGTCATGTCCATTGGGTCGGTGATGCCATCCAACCATCTCATCCTCTTCATCTCCTTCTCCTCCTGCCTTCAATTTTTCCCAGCATCAGGGTCTTTTCAGATGAGTCAGTTCTTCTCATCAGGTGGCCAAAATATTGGAGTTTCAGCTTCAACATCAGTCCTTCCAGTGAACACCCAGGACTGATTTCCTTTAGGATGGACTGGTTGGATCTTGCAATCCAAGGGAGTCCCAAAAGTCTTCACCACAGTTCAAGTTTAATAGATTAAATTCTCATAAACAATGAACTTTTTAAAAAATTAAATTTATTTGAGTGTTTTAAACTGCATTTAAAGTTCTATATGCTTGTTCTCCCAAGTACCTAAAACTGCTAAAACAGTGAACTCATAAACCTAAAGTTAAATCTTTCCAAGACTTAACTCTTGTAAGTCTAATAAACTTTTATAGATGTAAGTCAGGTCTTTTAAAAGCACACTTTCAATTTAACGTTTTTCTAAGGATTTCAAATTAAAATTGTAATTTTAATATCATTAATATATCTGATTCTCATAAATGTTTGAAATAGTAACAAGTAACAGCAATTATCACATTGACTATGAAACTTAATACAAAATCTAAGTGTTAGTATGTTATAGGTTTGATTTTACTTTATTTTCTAGTCTTATATCTATAATTCTCAGGCCTGCAAAATCATTTAACAACCACGAGATGCATTTTTTTTACCATTAGGTTGACTGAGGTCATACTATCTAAAATTTGGGCCAAGTTAAGGTTACATTTTTAAATTACCTACTGGTCAGGCAGGGACCTAGTTACCACTTCTAAGTTGACCTTTTTACATCCTTCATTGGTTAATGTGCAGATTCTCTTCATATGGTGGGACTTTGCCTGCTTTTATGAGTTGGGTACCTTTATGTCTTCACCTTAGATTTGTTTCTATAATCCAATGCATCACAGATGTCGTGGGGGCCTTGAAGTTTCTTTTAGGGGAATTTTTTTGACATCTTAGTGCATGATGGTTTTTTGCTGCCAAAAAACAACCTGTTTTGCTGCCAGTTGCTTTTCTTTCTAATTAGAATTATTTTAACTCTTCATTTTTAGATATTTTATTCCCTTAGCTGGTTTTATAGGTCACAATTTTATGGTCACAATAAAGTGAATATTGCATGTATACACATACACATAATGTATATGGATATTGTGTGCATGCTCAGTCGTTCTGACTCTTTGTGTCTTCATGGATTGTGGCCTGCCAGGTTCCTCTGTCCATGGGATTTTCCAGCCAAGGATACTGGAGTGGGTTGTCATTTCCTTCTCCAAGGGATCTTCCCTACTCAGGGATCAAACTGCATCTCTTGCGTCAGCAGGCAGATTCTTTACCACTAGTGCCACTGGGGAAAGCCCCTGGAAAGTCTTTGGCTTGTGATATTTTGTCACTTTGCTGAGGCCCAAGTTTGGGTGGTGACAGACTGGTATGAGGAAGTGAGTCCAGCCACACTGCTCCTGAGACAGTGGTCTTAAACTTATCCTGGGGCAGGCAGAGCTTCTATGAACTGACCTTGTCATTTTGAAGAATGGCCCCACATGAAAGTAAACTGCTGGTGCTGAAAATAAAGAGGTTTTAAGAAAGAGGTTATTCTCAGTCCGAAGTTTAAAAAAAAAGTATATTGGATAAATTAAATGAAAACCAGTTTTCTCTACGTTCCTTTGCAGTTCTGAGGATTCTTTAAGGCTATATCAGCATGGGTTCTCTAAGTGTCAAGGATCTAGTGAATATGCATGGGACAAAAAGACTGGAAGTATGCTAAACAGTGATTATCTCTGAGTATAGGATTTGGGATGTTTTTCATATCTATATGAAGTTTTTTATATTTAAAGTAAATAGTATTTAGGCAGAAAACAGTAAATGGTAATTAGGGTAAATTTAACGATGATTCTTGACAGTGAATTTTTTTTTAAAATTTAAATCTGTATAACTGAACAGGAAAAATCACCATTTTTATCATCTTGGTTTGACCTGGCTCTTGTTTTCAATGTTAACAGAAGCCATGCAGTGACACCCGCTAAGACTTGTTGGTAGCCATGTCGGAGCCCCACAGGGTCCAGTTCACCTCTCTCCCAGGTTCTTTGAATCCTGCGTTTTTGAAGAAATCCAGGAAAGAGGAAGTTGGGGGAGCAGAGCAGCATCAGGACTCGGAGCCAGCCGCGGCTGCTGTTCGAATCACACTCACCCTCTTTGAGCCGGATCACAAACGTTGCCCAGAGTTCTTCTACCCAGAGCTGGTGAAGAACTTACGAGGGAAGGTGAAAGGACTTCAGCCCGCAGACAAGGTACACCGTGGCCCCAGCTCGCTCTGCAGATCTAATGCTCAGGGTAGTGTGTGCCAGTAGGGCTCCAGAGGGTGGAAGCAGCATCCAGAGGCTTTGGCCTCCCCAACAAAGCAAGCTCACGGTCTGCCAGTTTTGCCTGTGGAGGGAAAGGTTAGAATTCTTTCTAGAATCATTTTCCTCATTTATGCTAGAGAAAATGTGTGGCACAGCCAAGGCTAATTTGTATTATGGCTAATTAATACAAATAAACACCAGATTTTTTCATGCCAAAGCTATAAATGTTGCATCTTAGTGTGACCAGCCCCTGCCTTATCCAGACCTGGAATTTCGTGCCGGGCATTTCTCTTTTCCAAGGGAATCTCATTGTGCCTAATACAAGGACAGACAAAAAAGACACAGATTGCTCATCTCTTCTAAGCACAGTAATGTTCTGGATAGTTTCTTTACTTGGATGGATAGAAATCTATTTTTGTGGGTTTTGTTGTGTATAGTGTGGAAGGAATAATATAATAAGCCCCCATGTACCCATTACCCAGCTTTAGTTATTACTGATGTTTTGGCAATTCATTAACATTGTACAGTTTTTTTTAATAAACTTTGAATTATGTGCATAATGAAAGTGCACATGTGATAAATACACAACTTGATGGACTTTCCACAAACACTCCTGTAACCTGCACCTAGATTACAAAATGCAACATTTTTGGGGCTAATAGAAACCCCCCTTCTTCCCTCCCAGAATATTACCTCAGCCCTCAAAGGTGACAACTGTCCTGATTTCTAATAGCTGAGATCAGTTTTGCATGTTTCTGTATTTCATGTCAGTGGAACCGTGCAGTTTGAGTAGGAGCTGGGTCAGGAGCATTTATTTTAAGCACCTACTGTAAGCCTGTGTGCTCTGCCAGCCTCTGTGGGAAAGGTGAGCAGAGTCCTGCGCTGGCGGCGTTCCCGTCTCTAGACTGGCTCCAGGGACGTGGGGGTTGGGCGGGCATGGCTCACAGTGTCTGTCAGGTTGAAGAGATGATGCAGGTGCCTGACTCCTCCACGCCATGTTCCTTCAGTCTGATCTGTGGTTGTGCTCTTTGGGGTGCCTTTGGTCAGAAGGACTATCCACTTTTTTTAGATAAAAATGTGTTTCCTTAATAAAGATCTGATTGAATGAATGAAAGCCATTTCAGTCTGTGCCAGGTTGTATGAGGGCCAGTGGATAGACTAAGAAAAAGTAATTTCATATCCATTCATCAACTCTTCTCCAAAGTAGGAACAGTATCCTCTTCCTTGAGAGGAAGAGAAAGTAGCAGGAATTGGTTGAAGTATTTATTAATGGGTTCATACTAAATCATTAGGTCAACTGAAGTTAGAACTCCAGTGCTCTGATTTCACCTTTTGTGGGGTTCAGATGCCCTCCTCAATTGCAGAAAAATGCGTGGAACTTACACAGAGAACTTCGGATCCAATTTCAGGGGATTGGCTTCTGGCTTCAGGTTCAGAACTCCTAAATTACCTGCAGTGTTCAAAGCACAATGTAATCTGACACATTTATATTAACTCACTTAACATGTGTGTCTTAGAATGTGAAGGCACTGTGCTAGAATGCTGAGGACTGAGTAAAGGTGGGGAGGCTGCTGTCCCAACCTCAAAGGAACTTTGCACTCTGGTAGCTGTTTTAGGAGAGTTACACCTGCACAAGTCACAGGGGTCACAGTGTGCCACTTGTTAAGTCTGGTACAAACACAGGCCCCGAAGGGCTTGGACAGAGAGGAGCTTACTTCCCGGTGCTGTGTTTAGGCAGAGGCAGACCTTCATGCATTCAGGAAGTAGTGGATGATTGCTGTGTGCAGGTCATTAAGGCGTAAACATTAAATCCAGTGCTGTTCCAGATGAGTGGGGTTTCTTAAAATTATTTGAACCACTTAGGTTATATGTGATCATTGTAGAAAAAGTAAAAGTCCAGTCTTAGTGTTTTTGGACTCCAAAGTCTTCAGTGTATTTGATACAGAAGTCTTTTATTAAAATTAAGATTCCTTGCCATGGAAGCTTAAGGTCCAACTCTGGAAAATTTGAGGAAAAATAGAAAGGTTTATGGAGTACAAACTTTGGAAAACTACTTGAAAATATCAAGATAGTATTGAGATTGGGAGGGAAGGGAGATTATTGATCCTTTAAGATAGCCTTCCAAGGAAAAGTAATGGCACGAACTTGGGTTTGACTATTGATAGCACTGAGAGAAGAATAAGTTCATACCACTCTTCTAACCGGCAAGATTGAATAGCTGTCAGGAGCTTGTTCTGTGCTCAGTGGGTTCTTAACCTTTCTCAGCCACTGGTTGCTTTGCAAGTCTGGTTGAAGCCTTTGGACCTTTTCTTAGAATGTTTTTAAATGCACAAAATAATTTTTAGTATTACAGAGGAAACCAGTTATATTGGAACACAGTTTTACATGGGGGTGAGCTTCCCCAACTAAACTCCTTTTGCCATATTTGGAGCACTATAGGACCTAGTACTTTAGTGGGCAATTATAGGTATTTAATCAAGTTCTCATTGGAAGAGACCCTAATGCTGGGAAGGATTGGGGGCAGGAGGAGAAGGGGATGACAGAGGATGAGATGGCTGGATGGCATCACCGAACTCAATGGACATGGGTTTGGGTAGACTGCGGGAGTTGGTGATGGACAGGGAGGCCTGGCGTGCTGTGATTCATGGGGTCGCAAAGAGTCAGACGTGACTATGACTGAGCGACTGAACTGAACTGAATCAAGTTCTGTTGAGTCTCATGAGTGGAAATTTTGCTTTCTTAGACAAGTAAGGTAAACACAGATGGGAAGGTAATATGTATTTTACCTTGTCTTTTCTGAAAAAGTTGCTTTTATTATATAGTTTATCAGTGGAATCAATGAAGGTAAAATGAATAGCTTTGTGGGAATTTTTTTGTGACTTATTTTTGTGGAATGGTCTCTTTACAGAAGAAAGATCTCTTGGATCCTTTCAATGATGAAGAAAAGGAAAGGCATAAAGTGGAGGCCCTTGCTAGGAAATTTGAAGAAAAATATGTAAGATTTCTCTCTTGGGCAACAGAACAACCTTGTCGGGTGGGAGAGGTTTTCAGACATTTTCATATTCCTTTAGTGGTTTATCTAATCAACACTAATGTGAAACGAATATAGAGCTTGGAGAGAGCAGAATGAAGTTTTAAACAAATGCATAAAGGTACAGAAAGTGCATATGGCAGGAACACGTGTGGAGCTAAAGGGATGAATAAACACAAAGAGGCTTTTACCCTTAGAATTTGTGCTGAAAATAAGTGTTTTGATGCAAGGCATGTGAGGCCATTTAGTTCTTTCTTCAGTCTTAGGCCACTTTACGCATTTACAAATCTATCCTATTTTGAAAGGTCTTCAGGGAACACGGTTTTGGGGGATGTGTGAACTAGTCCAGTGTTTTATAACCCTTAGTCATTAGCTGTTGGAGTTCAAGGCAACAATTAATTCTGTGTATTAAAAACAAAAAAGTCCTGTGACCCTGGGCCTAAAAATTTGTTTAAAGTTTAGATCTTGTGTTGTATGTTCCTATCACAAGTATAAAAACAAGCATGTGATCTATTTTAAATTTTAGGGTGGAAAGAAACGTAGAAAAGACCGAATACAGGACTTGATTGATATGGGTTATGGTTATGATGAATCCGATTCCTTCATTGATAACTCTGAGGCGGTGAGTACTTAATGAAACCACTGAAACCGCCAGGACCGCGGCCCCCAGGCACCTACTGACTGCCTGGAGCTGGGGGTGGAGTCAGTGGGTGTGCCCTTTCAGTGAAAAGAGCTGCTCTGAAGGGAGTGACGCCTTAATCTGGGTCTTGGTTCCCTCTCTGAATATGGTGATCAGATCTGTGCAGGACGCCTCCTAACTTGGACCTTGGTGACTGACCTGAAGCATACCTCAGTATGCCGTCTGAAGTGTGACAGAGGGACAGGGTCACACCCATTCTGTCGGGATGCACTCTACACCTGTGGACCTTGGAGCTGACCCAAGTTTGTTTTCCCCCTTCAGTACGATGAGCTTGTTCCTGCTTCTTTGACTACAAAGTATGGAGGATTTTACATTAACTCGGGAACCCTGCAGTTTAGACAAGCGTCAGAGTCTGAGGATGACTTCATTAAGGAAAAGAAGAAAAAATCTCCCAAGGTTAGAACGTTGCTCGCCGTTGGATTTCAGAAGTGCTTTTTGACGTGAGCTTATGAGATCAGTAGGTGACTTGCCCGAATCTGTGCCGGTGCAGGATGGCTCAGGAGAGTGGCGGAGCGGCACCAGCCGTGCCAGGCTGGCGGTTCCCTTGTCACACGTGTGCCGCAACCCTGGAGGCTCAGTTACTGTGTCCCAGCAGGCTCGGCGGGGACTCACTCCTCGAGGTGGCCCCAGGGCGGGGACGAGGGCAGTGATGGGTGTGGAATGAGGGAAGTGTGCACCAGCTACTGTGTCTCTTCTGTGGACATTAGAGGACTTCGGTTCCCAGGACTGTCACCCCAACGAAAATAAGCCCTAAGCTAAACTTACTTTGAAAGCTATCTATATCTGCCGGGGTGTTTAAAATGCGAGGTGGGCCCCCAGAAATGGTTCAGGCTGCAGAAGGGCCTCTGTTGCCTCTGGCCCGGGTTTCCTAGGAGCCGCTGTCAGTGGGAATGCTGTCCTGACCTGCGGGTCTGTAGTCCAAGGACTGAGCTGAAACCGTGTGTTCGTGGAGGAAGTAAGACAGCTCTCAGGATGTACCCTGGGCGGAGAAGGCCAGTGCTGCGTAGTGCACTTGCTCCCAGAGCTGGGGAGCCGTGTAACTGTGCCTTGTCTTTAATTCTCAGAAGCGGAAGTTGAAGGAAGGTGGTGAGAAGATAAAGAAGAAGAAAAAAGATGACACTTATGACAAGGAGAAGAAATCGAAAAAGTCCAAGTTTTCCAAAGCCGGGTGAGAGGCAGCAGCTTCTTTGCTAGGAGGACTCTGCACCATCAGGGCTGCCGGGCCATGCGCCCTCCTCCTCACAGCCTCACGGGGCCACGCGGCCTTGTCAGGGCTCCCATGTCCCTGTGTGTCGGCATCAGAGTGCGCTCTGTCCTGCTGTCCGTGTTGGCGGGTCTCTCTATTACTGTGTGACTGCTGACGTCTCCTGTTCTCCTGAGCACGCTTCTCTGCCCCCGTTCTCCTCTGTCTCTGTCCCCTTTGTCTTCTCTGGTCCTGCTTCCTCAGCCTCACTTGGTCTCATCCAGCTGCCCTCCAAGTTGCTGCTGCTCCTGCTTTCTCCCTTTAAATGTATTTCTTGCCCCTCCTGTTTTTGCAACCTTTTATTTCAGCCTGGCAGTGGTTTTAAAAAACCCATGGGATGTTTAGCATTTTGTGTTGCTGTTTTGCTAACCTGTATTCAGTTTCAAACTTTGGTCCCAGCAAGGAGGAGCTCCATGTGCCAAGAGGAGGGAGGAGGAGTGACGGGGTGGACTTGTGGCTGAGGTTCCCGGAGACCATTGTGCTGGGAGCGGGGCTGAAGCCCCTCTGGAAATTTCCCTTGCGAGGGGTCCTGCAATCTCAGTAACCGACTTCTCCCTTTTACTTGCAGCTTTACAGCCCTCAATGCCAGTAAGGAGAAGAAGAAAAAAAAGTATTCTGGGGCTTTGAGTGTTAAAGAGATGCTGAAGAAATTCCAAAAGGAGAAAGAGGCTCAGAGAAAGAGGGATGAAGAGCATAAGCCCATAGCAGTGTCATCAGCGGAAGCTCAGGGCTTGCGGGAATTGGAAAGTGCCTCCGACCCTTTGCTCTCGCTGTTCGGCTCCGCCTCTGACAACGACTTGCTGCAGGCGGCCACCGCCATGGACTCGCTGACGGATTTGGACTTGGAGCAGCTGCTCAGTGAGTCTCCAGAAGGAAGCCCCTTCCGAGATATGGATGATGAAAGCGATTCCCTTGGGGTGGGACTGGACCAGGAATTCAGGCAGCCCTCTTCCCTTCCCGAAGGCCTGCCTGCGCCCCTGGAGAAGCGCGTTAAGGAGCTGGCTCAGGTATGGTGACATGGAGTGGCTGGGCTCTCCTGGAAGCAATCGGGTGGATCGTTGCTGGTCCCGAACCCCCCCACAGCTCATGGCCCAGAGCAACCCTTAGTCAGCGGGCGCTTCCAGTGTCTGCTTTTCTGGGCTTTCTTCCCGTCCCAAGCAAGGGCACAGGGTCAGCTCTGCCTATCCTTTTGTGATTCCTTCACATCTGGAAAATCTACTTTCTCCTGGAGAGATTTTTCTCTCCTCCTCTGTGCCTGTCAGTATCTTTCCTTTTGTGTGACAGACACTCATGTTGGCAGCAGGTAGCTGAGGCAGAGATCCATCTCTTTAGTAATCTGAAGGTTTTGAACATTCACAGAAGTTTGCAGACATGTTGAGTGTGGGGCATATGCTTAGTTGCCACTGGGTTTATTGTTACATAGTGATTATAGGAATCTGGAATTCTGATAAGTAAGAAGGGCTGAACCATAAGTGCTGTCCATGCCCCACATTAATAACAGTAACAGTCTTTGGAAAATAATGGACATTCCTCCTGTTTTCCCCCTGGGGATGGGGAGTTGACCTAGTACTAGAGCACTAAGGACTGTAAATTCTGTGATCCATGAATACTGATGATAAGCCAAGCACGGGTCATTAGTTGTAGTGTATTTTAGTTAAAATACCATTTCACCTTGGACATCATGACTTATGACAACCCTGGGGGCACTTATACTCTATAGCTTAAGTTTTAAACCAGGGACTCTCAGTGTTTCAGAATGTCTTGTGTATACTAGTCCTCATATACACTAGGACCAGGGCAGGATAAAATGTGAACCACTTCTGCAAATGATTTTCTCACTTGCAAAAAATACTTGAACACGGAATGTGAAATACTTCAGACGTCTTATTCAGAGCTCTATTCATCCTTGTGGAATGTGCACAGTGGTGTTTGAATGTACCCATTTAAATGAATTATGCCCTGTCAGGATTCAGGGTCTGTGCTTGCTCTCAGAATACATGTTAAAAAAACCCCTTCTTTTCAATCTTCTGGTTTGTAATCAGATTATCCTGTAGCTTCTGAAAGCCTTGAGTCAAGTCAGATGTGTGTGGCAGAGGCCAGTCATTCCTTAGAGAAAAGTTAAAGTGGCTCTGGGATGAGTCCCTGCTTCCACCGAAGGTGGTGTCCTAGTCTGATAACTGAGACTCATTATTGCGTTTTCTTGGGAAGGATGGACAAGTCTGATGGAAACAAAGTGGCTTCATGTGGAACAGCGTTGGGTCGTGATTTGAGAAAACCTTACTTTCTGGAGTCCATCGGATGGACACTGAGCAGGCTGTCCTTCCTCAGGAATTGCCAATTCTCCGTTATCTCTCAGGCATGATGGAGACAGGGGTCAGGGGCCCATAGGTAAGGTAGGCTCAGGCCCTGGTGAGGAGGTGGTGACGAGACGTTACTGTACTGGCTTGAACGTATATTCACGTGTGAAACTGTTACTTCAGTCATCACCTGGCCCTTCTATGCCAGCATTAAGAAACTTGGGAAACTGCTACTCTGAAAACTATTTTCAACTCACTTTCTTTTCTAGGCTCTGTATATATGTTTTTATGCAGTTGTAATTATAGTTGTGAATAATTGTTTTCTGCTCTTTTCACTTGATAAATATTATTCTAAAGCCCTCATTATTTTTAATGATTGCATGACAAAGAAGGCTTATTTTAGAAAGTTACTTAATGCCACCCAAAAGCCTCCCCAGCGCTGGGGGCACTTGGAGCCTCCTGCACATGGGCACAGGTGCTCTATCCCCAGGCCCCACTGTGAGAGGCTGCTGGCAGAGAGTCCTCCCAGGGAAAGATGCCTGTGTACACAAAAGTTACACAAATTAAAGTCACGTGTGGATCTTTGGATCATTAATAAGAAGCCCTGTCCTAGATCTTGAATTGGACATTATTTTTTTTTAATTTAAATTAAACTTGATATATATAACATTGGCAGTGTTTATGCGTTTCTCACTTTTTCACTCCCTTCTTTTTCTTTTCTTCCCCCTTGTTTTGTTTCTGTGATTGTTGAGGTTTTAAATCTCGGCCCTAGAGGGCATAGTCTCTACTGTGTCTGAACCCACCCTGCCCCGCCCCACAGACATGGTGGCTTTCCGGGCTGCATTCAGCTGGTGAGATGGCTGGGCGCTGGGACAGCCAGGACCACAGGGCCTCTCCTCCCGTCTCTCATTTCGAGCAAGACAGTCTCAGGGTACTATCTCAAGAGGGTGAAGGTGGAAGCCATAAGACCCTCGTGATCTAGCCTTCGAGGTAGTATGCACTGTATCCCTTCTGCCACACTGTATTGGGAAAGCAAGTCACCAGCTAGAGAACCCCTCCCATGGGGACACCCTGCCCTGGGAGGGGAGGAGTCCGTGGTCCTGTTTGCAGTCCCCCGTGGTGCTGAAGCAGATTCTAACGTGGTGCGTCAGTCTCCCAGGGAAAAATATTTTGCTGTTGGAAGCAAAAATAAGATTTGTCTTCTAACTAAATGTTATTCTTAAAACTTCAAAAAATATATTTGAAAATTTACATATGTGAAAGAGATATTCTGAGAGGGAGCATTCCAGCACTGTTGCTGTTTTCGCCTGTTAGCTCACTTTCCACTTCTTACTCCCATGTGCTATGCCTATTTATGGGCCCCAGGGACCCCAGTGGTTTGACCTGACAGCCTTGCCCCTGTCTGTCTTCTCCTAATATGTGTTGGTTGTGTCTTTTGTCTTGGTGGTTGGAAAGTTGAGATAACGTTGCCCCTTGATAGGTAACTGTCTTGATAGAGTTTGGCAGCTACTCACCCTGCTTCATGCATATGACCCATGTCTGTTGCCTCTTCATTTAAGCATAAAATGGAAAGGATAGTGATCCTAAAAATAGAAAAGAAACGGAGACACGTGTTGCCCACCCTTCTACCTGCTCACTGCTTACCCTCCTGTACACTTAGAGCCCTTGCATTGCAAAACTAGAGAGACACGGATTCAAGGAGAATAAGATAGAAAAAAAACTTTGAGACTTCCCTCGTGGTCCAGTGGTTAAGACTTTGCACTTCCAATACAGGGGGCACAGGTTTGATCCCTGGTCGGGGAACTAAAACCCTGCATGCCTTACGGTGCAACCTAAAAACAAACCAATTTGGTTTTTGTAAAGAAAATCATGTCAGATTTCACTCTATTCAGCAAAAGCAGGTACAGTATATAAAGTTGTGATCTAGGTGCTGAAAGGCTAGAAGTGGCTTTTCTTATAATGAATAAAGAGCTCGTTAAAAGGCTATTGGAACTACTGTAAATCAGCACGATCTGGCTGTCTGGTTTTATTTCATTTCCTAGCTAGTCTTCCTAGGAGTGATTGATTTAACTGATTTATACAACGCCTCCGGCAAGGGTGTTTCTCATTAGGGTTGAGGGATCTCAGTTCTTCTTGGCAGACTATCAACTACATAGTCAGTAGCTCATTTATTTAGATTTATTTAAAAATGCAGCCCTTGACTACTTCAGCATAAAGCCAGATCCTCAGAGATACTGTTCTGCATGATTCAGAAGGCATCAGGAAAAAAGAAAAATTATATAGCCAGAAAGCTTCTGAAATGGCTAATATCTAAAAATTTGATTAGAGAGAATTCCCTTGTGGCTCAGTGGTTAGGACTCCTTGCTTTCACCGTCAGGGGCCTGGGTTCAGTCCCTGGTCAGGAAACTAGGATCCCACCAGTCGCATGGTGTGGCCAAAAACAAACAAAAATTGGAAGCCTGAGGTGGTGTTGGGTCTGACAGACAGACGTTTGAAGTACATGTTAATTAGGTTGAATTACTGTAAAGGTGGTTCTGCATCTTATAACTAGCAGTGTGCTAAGTCACCTCAGTCGTGTCTGACTCTCTGTGGCCTGATGCACAGCACAGATGGACTGTAACCTGCCAGGCTTCTCTGTCCATGTGATTCTCCAGGCAAGAACACTGGAGTGGGTTGCTGTGCCCTCCTCCAGGGGATTTTCCTGACCCAAGGATCGAACCCATGTCTCTTACATCTCCTGCATTGGCAGGTGGGTTCTTTATCCCTAGCGCCACCTGAGAAGCCCTTTTACCAGCAGTCTCTAAGTTAAAAGAATGACTCTTTTGTTTTCTCTCAAACTGAAATCACAATCCTAGTACGTTAAAGGTGCCACCGGGGAATTCCAAACTTTGTGACAGCAGAAGACATAACAGGTGACATTAGTGATGCCCTCTCTTCCTTCCCTTTCTGCCAGCCATCTCCGGCCTCTGCCCCTCCCCTAGCTGAGCTAAATAAATTTTTTCGTATCCTCTGCAAGTTTTGTCTGGTACTGAGCTTTTCTTCGTCTTAGTTTTCATCCTTGCCGTGATAATCCGTTCATTTGTGTGTTCATTCATCGCCCACTCAGCTGACGTTTATTCAGTAGCTGTTAGGTGATGGGCTGCTGTAGGAAACATGTTCATGAGTAAGATTCAGTTCACGTTCTCCATGAGCTTCTTGTACAAACAGACTGGTAGCCATGTAAAGAATGGGCTGTGGGACAGAGCAGGGTGAAAAAACTGTCATGATTGGATGGCCAATAGGATGGCCCAGTGGACCACCAGACTTGAGGAAGGGAAAGAGGGGCTCTTGGGGGTCCGTAGGGAAAGGACTGGAAGCAGCAAGCTTGGCCAGCCTTTCGGGTGATGTGGCCTTCTGGTAAGCTAGGGCCCAGGGCTGAGAACGGGCAATGTGTTGGATAACAGGGACTCCTGGTATATGGTGGGAGGTGGGGACTGGAGAGGGTTGTGAGGCCAGGTCCTGGAGAGCCCTGACTGCCAGGTGGAGGAGTTTGGGTTTGATTCTAGGCTTGGGAAGGCCTCCCGAAGAGTTCTAAAGAAAAGAGGATTTAAGAAGGGTGAGGTGATGTTGTTAAGAAGTAGGGACTTGGGAGGAAGAGCAGAAAGGAGTGGGTTAGATTTTGGACAAGTTGATTTGTATACTCCAGGGTCATTCATTCAGGGAGATAATTGACAGTTCTGGTCCAGAGCTAAGGATAGAGGTTTAGGTTTGTGTTTGTGTTTGTTATTTTGTGCATATGTGTTATTTTGAAGCTGAGGGGAGACACTGTTGGGTGAAGAGGTCTCTCGATGGAACTTGGGAGCGTGCCTGCAGCTAAGAGCTAGTGGAGGAGACCAATTAGAGCTAGGAAGTCAGGACACGACCCAGAGGATGTAGTGAGGGGAAGGCCAGTGGGGCTAGAGAAAGGTAGGTGTTCCCAAAGTTTGATCAGGATTGATTATTTCACTGTAGACAATCACCTTATTGTCTCTGTTTAATCATCATTATATGTCAAGCCTGACATTTTATTTTGCCCAAAGCCTTTGGACCAGGGAGCTTCCTTGGTGGCTCAGACGGTGAAGAATCTGCCTGTGAGGCAGGAGACCCAGGTTCGATCCCTGGGTTGGGAAGACCCCCTGGAGAAGGGAATGGCAGCCCACTCCAGTATTCTTGCCTGGAGAATCCCATGGACAGAGGAGCTGGGTGGGCTGCAGTCCATGGGGTCACAAAGAGTCAGACAGGACTGAGCAACTGACTTTGAACCAGGAACCTCTTGGGTGTAGGTCAGTGGTTCCCGATCCTCTACATGCTCGTTACCAGAGTTATTTTAAAGAGTCCTAATCCTGGGGCTTTGTTGTAAGGAACACAGGCCTTCCCGGGAGATTCCGATGGGATGCATCTAGGATGCGGAAGGCTGCCAGCTGTACGCAGCTAAGTAAAGAACCCCTGGTCCAGACCTCTGCATGCTGCTTTCCTCGCCTGTGCTTTTGGTGGCTTGGCCGCCTCCTGTGATTACTTCAGGGGTCTCCAGGGTGTCCAGCCAGGGTCTTGTTAACTGTGTGCTCGTGGGAAGCACAGCACCATAGCAGCCTGTTATATCTGTGTTAGTAGGTAGTCAGGTGGGTTAGTCATTCCAGTGGTCTGAGTAATAAATAGAGTTTGTGATAACATACCCTAAATAGATTATGAATTTTCAAAGAATTATGGTTTTTAAATGCTGAAGCAGCACATTATTATTGTTACTAATATTATTTTGGTGAATAAAGGCCTTCAAATATTGCAGGTTTGTTAAAGTTCTTGATTGTTTTGTGCTGTAGATGGTATGGAAAACACAACTCGCCGTTTAGATGATAGAGTGCCGGGCAGAGGAGCTCGCTCGCTGGCTGAATCAGATTCACGAGTCCCTTGACTCTGATTTTCTTCACATAAGACTCAACCCTCTTACATGACTGTTGTATCAAGTCCTGGGAAGAATGGACTCTCTGTCCGTAGATGCTGCAGCAGCCTGTGAAGAGAGCTGGATGCGCCACTTTTGGAGCATGCAGTGGTCATAGGTGAACTTAGTCTGGATTAGGATTGAGTGGGGCAGGGCTCGGCGCGAGGGTTTTGTCATCTGGCGTTGTCTAGGCCTGTGGGTGAGTGCGGGCGGTGCAGGGCAAGGGTGCTAACGCCTGTTCCTGTCTGCCGTGAACCAGGCTGCCAGAGCTGCGGAGGGAGAGAGCAGACAGAAGTTCTTCACCCAGGATATTAATGGCATCCTCCTAGAGTGAGTATCTTTCGTTTCTTTGCATCTGCTGTTACCATGCAGGGATTTTGCAGGCCTGGGGAAGTGGGAGTACAATTGAGGGAAAAGAAAGCCCTGATGAGATTTTTTAAAAATTGGTTTCTATTGCTTTATTGTGGTTTTTTATAATAGAAGTCAGGGGCGGGGACATCAGATGTTTGTCTCTAGGAACTGCTAGACCATCCTAACCTGGGGCAGCAGACGTTGTTGGGACTCCATGTGTCTTCGTCACAGCATGCTGGGGAGGGTGTTGTGCCGCCTGTGAGGTGAGAGCAGAGAGCAGGCACCGCCTGCCCGTCTCTGAGGAGAGGGAGCGGCGGCTCAGTGCAGGCCTGGGCCCTGCCCTCGGGGAGCTCCTCGGTGAGCCTGGTTGTTCTCCTAGTCACACTTGTGTTCTGAGGCCAGTGCTCACCCTCCCACTCCCCATCTCACACACATGAGCCTCTGGGACACCCTACTGTATGAATTGGATTAAAAAGCAAAAAAAGCCAAAACCCACACATACAAATCCAAGCCAGACTCTTTGTATCTGGCCCACCAGGTTTGCCAGTTTCTCTCCTGGTTGCATTGTGTACCAGAGGAAGCTGACTACGCAACCACTGAGGGTTTTGCATGTGTGAAACCAGTGGTCCAGACCAGGGAATATTCTAGCAAAGCACCTTGTCTGGCCAGGACAGAGGGAGATTGGCCGTTGGGGTCAGGGAGCACCTGAGGGTCTGCTCAGGTGAGGGGTCTGTGTCCGGGACTGTGCCAGGTTCAGAGAGCTCAAGGGCTGGAAGGCAGACTGTGTTCTGCTCGCCTCAGTGGGGATGCTGCAGGCGTGAGGATTTCCTTGACCACGGAGTCAGGGACAGAACTTGGAACTATAGGGGAAAAAAACGGAAGCTCTGCTGGAAACTGTTTCCTGTCAATCCCAAGTAACTTGATTACTTCCCAGCTTGAAAGCATTTATGCTTTCTTTGTTTATGAAACTTAGAACTTCAGAGCTTATACTCTTGGAGACTCAGTTTTCTTGACACCTTTGACTCAGTCTTGTCTTTGACCTGAGAACCTTGGTGCACTCTGCCTAGCCAAGTTCGTCGGGTTTGTTGTGCTGGCTGCTCCATGATGCTGTGTGACTGGCGAGATAAGGCTTGGTCCACTCTTGGCTCCTGCAGATGAGAGGTGCTGCGGTGGGTAACTCTGCTCTGTTCTTCAGCATAGAGGCACAGACCCGGGAGCTGAGCAGCCAGACCCGTTCTGGAGTGTATGCCTACCTTGCTTCCTTCCTGCCCTGCAGCAAAGACACCTTGGTCAAGCGTGCACGAAAACTGCATCTGTGTGAGCAGGTGGGTGACCTTGCAGTGGAGCCCTGTGGCTTCGGGGCCCGGTGGGGAGGGTGACAGCATGCTCACAGGTGCCACAGCTGCTGCTGCACTGCCTCCGTGTGGTTGGTTATGCTTAGAGTGTGTCCTCAGTGTAAAAAGTGACGTGTAAACCAGACTCATGACTGGGCTTGCTCTTAGCAGGGTGGGCGTCTGAAGGAACCGCTCCAGAAACTTAAGGAAGCCATTGGCAGGGCCATGCCGGAGCAGATGGCCAAGTACCAGGACGAGTGCCAGGCCCACACACAAGCCAAGGTCGCCAAGTAAGTGTGTCCCCTCGCTGCCTTCAGCATCCTCATCTCTTCTGAGAAGTCCTGGTTGGGGGGTACGACGGGACGGTGGGCAGGAGGAAGCGGGTCTGTGGTGACCTTGGGGTCCCGCCTAATCCCTCCCACTCTCTAGGATGCTGGAAGAGGAGAAGGACAAGGAGCAGAGAGAACGGGTCTGTTCTGATGAGGAGGAAGATGAGGAGAAGGGGGGCCGGAGGATAATGGGACCCCGGAAGAAGTTCCAGTGGAGTGATGAAATCAGGTGTGCCCAAACTGGGACCTTGCCTCAGTGGAGGGTTTGTGGGGCCAGTGTCTGAGCGTGTTCCTGTGTTTCTAATGAAGGTTAGAATCTTTTTCTTTAATTAGGGCTGCTGAAAGCACATGATTGAAACCTTGAAGAAGCATTTGGGGTGGTTTAAAGGTTGTGACTTCTGCCCACTCTGCAGGGAGCTGCTCTGTCAGGTGGTGAAGATCAAACTGGAGAGCTTTGACGCGGAGAAGAGCAAGGCCCAGTCCTGGGAGGACTACGTGAAGGCGTTTCTGGATGCCGAGGTCAAACCTCTCTGGCCCAAAGGCTGGATGCAGGCCAGGTGAGGGCCCGTGGGCAGCCAGTGTAGTCAGTGTGACCTTAGGGTGGAGCATTTTTGTGGACCATGTGATTCTCCAGGCCAGAATATTGGAGTGGGTAGCGTTTCCCTTCTCCAGGGGATCTTCCCAACCCAGGGATCGAACCCAGGTCTCCCACATTACAGGTGGATTCTTGACCAGCTAAGCTTCAAGGGAAGCCCATTCTTGTGGTAAAGAGATGTTTTGAGTGATTCTTCTGTGCCAGGCCACCAGAGCCGCACCCTCAGAGTCACAGGCTAGTGGATTGGACTCTCATCTCACCTGAGAAACTAGGGGCTTCTCTGTCTCCCCGGGAAGAGGGAGTTATTTGTGGGATTTTGTCTTCGTCATTCTTTTTTTTTTTTTGTCTTCGTCATTCTTTATCCCACTTCAGTTCTATGTCTGTATGCCCTTTTCTGCTGTGACATAATGGCGCCTACTGGAAGTTGGGAGGCAGGTGCATTTTGGGAACATTTTAATTTTCTGAACAGAATTCTTATTTGTAACTGGCAGGAGTTATTTGCAACTTATTTGCAACTTCTTAGAGCCAGTGCCAGACTTTTCTCACAGGCTACTTTGTGTTACATAGCTTTCCATGAATGGACTATATCTGCAATACACAGAGGAAGTTTCCTGTAACTAGTGTTCTTTAAAAAAAATTTGGGGGGAGAGGAGTGGTGAAATATACTTAACGTAAACTTTAGCATCTTTCAGGGCACAGTTCAGTGGTGTTAAATACACCAACTCTGCATTTCCCCTCCCACAGACCGGGAGGCCACCATTCTACTGTCTGGTTTTGACTACTTTAAGTACCTCATATAAGTGGACTCATACAAAGTGTTGGTCTTTGTGTCTGGCTTACTCCACTCAGCATAATGTCCTCAAGGTTCATCAACTGTAGCATGTGTCAGAACTTGTTCCTTTTTAAAGCTGAATAATATTCTCCTGTATATATACATTTTGCTTACCCATTCATCTGTCGATGGTATTGGTGTTGCTTCCACGTTTGAGCTATTGTGAATAATGCTGCTCTGAACATGGACATAGAAACATCTCTGTGAGACCCTGCTTTCAGTTCTTGTACATGTACACCTAGAACTGGAATTGCTGGATCATATGATGATGCGTTTAATGTTTGAGGCACCACCATAATGTTTTTCATAGTAGCTGTTATCTTTTTACATTCCCACCAGCAGTGCACAAGGTTCCAGTTTCTCCACATCCCCACCAACATTTGTTGTTTTCTCTTTTTTTGGTAGCCATCATCCTGATGGATATGAGGTGGTGCCCCATCGTTCACTTTGATAGTGGTTAGTGATATTGAGCATTTTTTCATGTGCTAACTGTACATTTGTGTATCTTCTTTGGAGATGTTTATTCAAGTCTTTTGCCCATTTTTAAGTTGCTGTGCTTTTTTGTTAAGTTTTAAGAGTTCACTGTGTGTTCTGGATATTAATCCCTTATCAGATACATGATTTCCCAATACTTCTCTGCTCTCTGGGTTGCCTTTTTACTCTGTGAATAGTGTCTTTCAACCTAGATGAAATGGACAAGTTTCTAGAAACACAAAAGTTACCAAGGCTAAATCAGAAAAAAATAGGAAGTCTAAATAGGCTTATAATTGTTTATTGTTGATTCTCTATTTTCCTTATTTCTTCTCTAATCTTTATTATTGATATATCCTTCATTCTGCTGGGTTTAGGTTTAGTTCTTCTTTTTTCTGTTCCTTATAAAATTGGGTTGTTGATTCAAGACCTTCCTTGTTTCTTCATGTAAGCAGTTATACCTAAGAATTCTCTCTCTCAGCACCACTTTTCACTGTGTCCTGTAGGTTTTGGTATGTTGTGTTTTCATTTTCATTTGTTTTTTTAAGTATTTTCTAATTGTCTTTGTGATTTCTTCTTTGATCCATTGATCATTTAAAAGTATGTTGTTAAAAGTTGTTTTGTCTAATGTATCTGCCTTTTTTTCTTACAATTTTGTTTTCCAGTTTTCCTTTTGTTACTGATTTCTAACTTCATTCCCGTTGTGATCAGAGAAGACACTTTGTTTGATATCTGTCTTTTAAAATCTACTGAGAGTTCATTTGTGGCCTAACATATGATCTGTTCTAGAAAATGTTCCATGTGTACTTGAGAAAGTGTGTTCTGTTGTTGTTGGGTAGAATGTTTTTGTGTCTCTCTGTTATATCTAATTGGTTTATTGTGTAAAGTCCTCTGTTGCTTTATCCTCTATCTGATTATTCTATCCACTTTTGTGAGGGGGTATTGAAATCTCCAGCTTTTATTGTAAAACTGTTTATTTCTCTCTTCAATTCCATCAGTTTTTGCTTCATATATTTTACAGGTTTGTCAGGTGCATGAATGTTTATAATTGTTATATCTTCTTGCTGTGTTGAACCTTTTATTAATATATAATAGCTTGCTGTATGTAACCTTCTCGAGTGAAAGTCTGTTTTGTCTGATGTTAATACAGCTGCCTCTGCTCTCTTGGTGATTTTTGCGTGGAGTACCTTTTTCAGTCCTTTTGTTTTCAATCTGTTCTTGTCTTTGGCTCTTGTAGCTTGCCTGGAAATCCCATGTACACAGGAGCTGGTGGGCTACAGTCCATGGGGTCGCACCAAGTCGGACACAATTGAGCACAGCGCCGCAGCGGCAACAGACAGCATGTAGTTAGATCAGATCATGTTTTTTACTTATTCTACCAGTCTCTGTCTTTTGATTAGAGTGTTGAATTGTTATTCTTTAAAGTAGTTACTAATACTTCTGTAAGTTTATTAACATATAAAAACTCTGCCCCCATACAGCTCTGCTGCTGTCACAGAAGTACATTTTTATACATTGTGTGCCCCAAAACATTAATAGTTTTTAAAATGCCTCTTAAACTATGCAAAAAATAAGATTTAGAGTTACCAACCAAAGTCATAATAATATTTACTAGCTTTTAAATTAGTATTAGTCTCTTAAATCATACTTTAAAAAGTATGATTACAAACCATTGTTATAATGACACTATCTTCTGTAGTGGTCTTTGTATATTCACCTTTCTGAGATCTTTATTTGTGCATGTAACTTTGAAGTGCTGTTTTTTCATTTCATCTTCAGGACCCATGAGCATTTTTTACAGGATAGGTTTTTTGATCATGAACACCTTCAACTTTTATCTTATCTGGGGATATCCTCTATTCTTCGATTGAAGTATAGTTGATTTACATCTACCCCACTCTTGAAGGTCAGTTTTGTCAGATATAGGGTTCTTAGTTGACACTGTTTTTACTTCAGACTTTGAGTGTATCAGCCCACTGTCTTCTGGCCTCCAAAGTTTCTGATGAGAAATCTGCTGATAATTTTGTTGAGGATCCCTCATGTGTGATGGTTCAGTAGTCTCTGGATGCTTTCAGTATTCTGTCTTTGTCTCTGACTCTTGAAAGTTTGATTATCATGTGTTTTGGTGTGGGTCTCTCAGTTTCATCTTTATGTGGAGTTCTTTGCACTTCTTGGATATTTATATTCATACATTTACACTTACATTGCTTGCTTTCACATTTGAAAAGTTTCAGCCTTTGTTCACTCTTCTCTGGGCCTCTTTCTCTGTCCTCCGGGGATGGGCATGCTCTGAGGGTGTGTGCGCGCTTGATGGTGTCCCATGGGTCCTGCAGACTCGGATTACTTTTCTTCAGTCTTTCCTTTCTGCTCCTCAGTCTCCATCATCTTCATTGTCCTGTTTCAGGTTCTTTGTTTTTTTTCTGCCTGCTCAAATCTGCCTTTGAATCTCTCTGCTGAAATTTTCATTTCAGTTACTGTCCTTTTCAGTTCTAGAATTCCTTTTTGTTTTCTTTTCAGGTTTCTTATCTCTTTATTGATACTTTTTCACATAATTTTCTTTCTCCACATCTTCCTGTAGTTCTTTGTCCACGTTTAGGACAGTTGTTTTTGTCTGGTGTATCTGCCATTTGGTCTTTTCTCAGAGACAGTTTCTATTGATTTGTTTTCTCCTTTGAACGGGCCATATTTCCTGTTTCTTTATGTACCTTGTGTTTTTATTGTTCTTATTGTTGAACAGCAGACGTTTGAATCTAATAATGTGATAACTCCAAAAATCAGATTCTCCCCTTTGGCTGGAGTTTGCTGGTTTTGTGTTTTGTTTTTAGTATAGGCTGTCTCTATGTCAAGGGTCAGCCTGAGGTGTGAACCTAACATGATATTCTTACATCTTTTCCAAGCTTTTCCCTAGGCACACGCAGTCACTTTCTAATTTCTCCCACTTTTTTTTTTTTTAATGCTCTAGTCTTTAGCATCTGACTTCCAAAAGGGGGAAAAATGATAAAAAAAGAAGAGGTTAAAGGGGGTCCTGGCCCTTTAAATCCCCTGGCAGTTGCTTCAGCCAGTAGTGCAACAGCAATGGGCTGCCGCCCTGTGTCTGCACCTCCCACCCCCATGATCAGAAGCAACGATCGGCCATCAGAGCACAGGTCCCTGGTCTTTGGAGACAAGGTCCTTTTTCCCATGCTGGTTCCCACAAGCTGTGTGCAAGCTGCTCCAGGAATGCCTGCAGCTGCAGGCCACCTGGTGGGGGGTGGGTGGCTGCTCCTGTGCTGAGCGCCAAGATGAACCTCAGCTTACTCGTCTGAGTCCTCCCCTGGAAGCTGCAAGCTTGAATAGCCTCTGAAGTTACAGAGTAGTTCCATCAGATGGGTTCAGCTAGTGTAGTGTAGTAGTTGTCCAGGTGGGAGACCACACCTGGTGCTTCCTGCTCGGCATGTTCCCAGGACCTCCCATGGAGCTCAGGAGTGTTCTTGGTCGAGCAGGCCTTCTCTTAGAGTCCCTTCAGGTGGAACTGCTCTTCTCACTGTAGATTGGACTCCCAACAGTGTGTAGGAAAGGGCATAAAGAAAATTCTCTTGAGCTTCTCTGGGAAAGTTGTGCCTTTGAAGGGGGATGAGAAGAGATGGTGAGGAGAGTGCTCCTGCCGTCAGGGGAGGAATCACTCTGAGAGGTCTGGGGGCAGAGTCATCACCTTTTGGGGGGAATCCCAGCTCCATGGCTTTCGGGTGGCCAGGCAGCTATGTAAGCCCCCCTCAGCGGCCTCCTGGCATTAATGGGTGACAGTCCCTGCATACCAGGGAGATGGGGAGGCTCGGGGAGCAGACTGCTTTCAGGGGCGCTTGAGGACTTCCCCGTGTCTCTCTGTTGCAGGACTCTGTTTAAGGAGAGCAGACGAGGCCATGGGCACCTGACATCAGTTCTGTGAGTGTCTCAGTGTTCTCACTTGTCAGGACTACTGGCATTTCTATCTCTGAGGATCTCCTCTCAACCTTTCCTGTGTTCACTCCTTTGCACAGGGCCAAGAAGAAAGTAATGGCCTCTTCCAAAATGAAGGTGAAGGTGAGTCAGCCTGCCCGGTCATGTGCCACCTGCTCTTAGCTCTCTGCAGCCATGCTCCTGGCAGCTCATAGAGCTTTGCTGGTCTGGGGACAGCTGTTCGGGATGAGGTTGTACCAGGAGGCAGCCTGGCCCACAGGAGGGGCCTGGGGTCTGCAGGACAGAGACCTGCCCTGGGCCATCAGTGCCCTCCAGCCCCAGGTCTAGGAAGCAGCACCTACCTGGCCAGTTCCTGGGGTTGTTGTAGAGTTAAATGAGGTCTTCCTGGTAGCCCTCTGAGAATCAATGAGCCCTCGAAAATGGGAACTGTCATGGGTGAATTGTCCTTGCATCGTACGGAAGAGCGCCCCCGAGCCAAGTGCAGGTGAGCCTGGATTGGCATCAGGCAGGCAGGAGGCTGTGTCCAGTGACTGACAGACACGGAGGGGAGTGCGATGGCTAGAGACTGGAGACTGTGAAATGACTTTGATGTTGCAGAGCTCTCTCGATGTAGTAAAATTGCTGCTTCACCAAAATTTTTGCCAATTCCTGAGGCTCTGTAGCATCCCTGACTGTCCCTAAGCAGCCTGAGGAAAGCAGCATGCAGATCAGTTATTCCCAAGTGTCTTTTAATCTCCTCTGATGTCCCTAAGACTCACTGCACCAGGTGCTGGGGAGGCGGGAGTGACAGGACAGACTCTGAGCCCAGAGGGGGGTTAGGTGCTGGAGAAACCAAGGAGGGAGAGAAAGCGAAAGCAGTCCCCTTTCATCCTGATTGCGGCTGGGAGCTAAGGTGGGGTGAGAGCCGAAAGGGAGCACATCTTGTTGTTCAATTTGTACAGTTTTTCAGAAACAGAACGCAGTGTCCTTGTGTGTGTTGCAGTGGCAGCATGCCTGGGTCAGCCCAGCCCCGCCCAGCCATGGCCAGAGGGTGGCAGAGGGTGGTGGGGTCGCAGCCTTTCCGAGTCCGCACAGGCCTGCCTCCTGTGCCTTTCCGCCCTGGATCGCCTTTCGCGATCACACTGGAAGGCCCGCTGTCTTTCTGGTTTTCTCACACTTGAGTCCCTATATCAGGGCCAGGGTTGGCATCTTTGGACATTTGTAAACGCGAGCCTTTCTGCTTGCCTTTAGGAGTCATCTGCTAAGCCAGATAAGAAGGTGTCCGTCTCATCAGGCCAGATGGGCAGCCCCCTGGCTTTGCCTTCAGAGCACCTGGGAGGAGGCCTGGGCGTGGGGGCCGCAAACCGGGAGCTCTCATCCCAGGCCTCTGGCAGCCTTGCTCATCCTGCTCCTATCAACCTGGAGGACTCTTTGGATGGAGACTTGGTCCATAATTCCGCCTCCTCGTTGGAGGCAATGTCCAAGGAACTGGCTGTATTGAACAGCAGGGCTGGTGGGAGCTCAGAGTTCCCACTGCCCGCACCCGTGAAAGTGCCTGCAGAGAAGGTCGCGGGTGTTCTGTGTCCAGAAGAAAAAAGGAACTTTCCAAAGCCCAGCCCTTCTTCTGCCCCGCCACCCTCTAGCTCTCTGCAGTCACCCCTCAATTTCCTGGCTGAACAGGCTTTGGCCCTGGGGCAGTCCTCTCAGGAGAAAAAAGCAGAGTGTTCCGGCTACAAAGAGCTGTCCTGTCAGGCTGCTCTCGGCAAGGGCCCGCCGGAAGGGCAGCAGCTGAAAGCCAAGCACCACGGCTTGCCGCGGACGTCTCACGCTCCCCCGGCAGGCACCACCATGCCCAGCCCCCAGGTCAAGGTCTTTCATGCCGGCTCGCAGCCGCAGAAGAGCTTCACCCCTCCAGCTCCATTCGTCAGTAAACTTCAGGGCCCAAAGCCTGGCTCCCCTCAGTGTCACCGATCCCTCCTGCAGCTTGTCAAGACAGCGACCAAAAGCCAGAGCTTCCATGCTTCCACGCCAGCCTCCTCAGGGGGCACACCAGCCTCCAGCAGCAGCTCTCATAAGACCCCAGCTTCATGCTCTGCTGCCGTGAGCCACCCAGCAAAACCACACTCAGCCAGCTCTTCAGGGCCCGCCTACAAGACCAGTCCCTTCGTGGGCTCTGCCTCCAAACATGGGGTGTCGTCTGGCAGCCCCTCGTCTGGAGGAACACCGGTCCAGAGCCCTGCTTCTGGGAACCTGCTCCCCGTGGCTCAGCCTCCCTCCACAGGACAGTCTGCCGGCCGACCCATCCCTGGCCCTGCAGTGAAAAAGCCGCCTGTACCCCAGAAGTTGACCCTGGTGGCCCCTCCTGGTGGTCCCAATGGAGATTCTAGTGGGGGAACCCAGGGCGTGGCCAAGTTATTGACCTCCTCCCTGAAGCCCAGCGCGGTGAGCAGCGTGACATCGTCTACCTCCCTGCCAGTGAGTGTCCTGCTGCGGTCCGCCGCCCTCATGGGCCTTGTGGGCAGGGCCGCTGGCCTCGCCCTGGTCTGAGAGTGAGAGCTGATGCTCACGGTCAGGTAGGAACAGTGAGCCCACCAGTTGGAAGGAGGACCAGGCTTCCTGTTTTCAGGCCTTTACTTTTCTGGTGGCCAGACTCCCAGGAAAGCCTGAAAAGTCTCCTGGGGAGGACGAGCAGGGCAGGACTGGGCAGCTCTGTGTCTGGAGGCTGTGGATCCGGATGGCCAGAGGGTGTCAGGAAACACCCTGCACAGCCTCCTGCCCATCATCTCTCCCAAGCGAGCATGTGAAACTAGTCCTGCCCTCAGGTGGTCAGTTATAGGGATGTCGTAACCAGGAAGACTGGTACTTTTCAGGGTGATTCTGTTGGGTTTGAGGAGACTGTGCACGTGAGACAAAGGCGCCATGATCCAGCCCCTGGCTGCTGAGGCTCGCCTCGCGTGATTCATTACAGGAGGTTTGGATGAAGGTTGGGGAATGAGAGCTTATTTTTTCTTCCTTTTTTCCCATATATAAGTGTGGTTGCAAAGAGCAAACCTATAGAAAGGTGTGTTTAGCAAAGCTTCACTCTCCTCTGCCTGCCTCCTCTAGCCCTTTTAACTGCGTTCCTTAGTTTCTAGGTTTTTTTCTGTTTCTTTGTAAAAACCAAGGGGAAGTGTGTGTGTGTGTGTGTGTGGGTGTGGGTGTGGGTGTGTGTGTGGTGGAGGTAAGTATACACATGTTGCTATATCCCTGTATTGGTGGGTGTCCATGTCTGATGCGTTCTCCTTCCTTCCTTGCACAGAGGAGGCATAGCACCTGCTTTGTAAAGTGAGCGCTGCTTGGGGATCCCTTCTCTGCTGGTTCTCACGGTGGTCCTCCTCCCTCGGGGCTGCCGCTGAGGGGCAGCTGGCGTGCACGTACCCTCTGCAACCCACCCCCGGTGCAGTGCCAGCTTTGGTTTGTGAGTGGGCTGGACCTCTGACCCCTCTCTGCTTCCTCCCCAGAAAGGAGCGAGTGGGGCTGTGCTGTTGACTGGCTCCTCACCCTTGAACCTGCTGTCTTCATCCTATAAGGCTGGCAGTCCCAAACTCCCTGGGGCCTTGAACTCGAGCCCCTTGGGGATTATCTCCCAGCTCCCCCTCCACGTGATCTCCTTCAGTGCTGACTCCTCTGCTAAAGCGGGGGTCTCCAAGGATGCCATCGTCACCGGCCCTGCCCCTGGGACATTCCACCACGGCCTCGGCCACAGTAAGTGCCTCCCTCCTCCCTTGTACCGGAGCACAGGAGGGGCCCCGGGCCTCCGTGACCGATGGGCTCTGCTCTCACGTGCTGGGTGCCCGTGTGTGTCTGGTGTGTGACCGTGGCAGCCTCTCCGGCAGTGTGCTGACCCCCCAGCCCGGGCTCTGCACCCGGGACCAGGGCAGTCGGCCGTCTGGGGCCCTGGAGCCCCAGGCTGCTCCCCGTCAGTGTGCGTTTTGTCCCCTCCCGCTCTCGTTTCCTCTCAGGTCTCCTGGCTGGCGTGCACTCCAGCCCGCCGCGTGCAGCGCCTCTCCCGCACACTGCCGTGTCTGCCCACCTCCCGCAGAGCCTGCCAGGTAATTTCCAGGTGGTCAGAGTGCTGCGCGCACTGCGGCCGCTCCCCCCATCAGATGCCTTCTCTGCTGCCAAGGACGGCGTCTCCCCCCGTTGTCACTGTGTTGTCTCGGTTTGTCCTCGGAGGCTCAGGCGTCTCTGTGGTGCTTGGCGCGAGGGACACAGTCGCCCCCTCACTGACACCAGCCTTGCCCTGTGTGATCGCAGAGGCGGGCGCGGTGGTCTGAGTGCTCGGCTCAGGACCTCCTCGCCATCAGCTCCGTGTTTCCTCTTCAGTGTGACCGAGACTGGAAGGGTGACGGTGCTGACTCCTGGGGAGGGCCGGGGCACTGCAGGCCTTTGGGGTCACACTGCCACCTCTTCCAGGTGGGACCAGCTAACAGAGGACTCGACCTCAGTGTGAGTGAAAGGGGGAGTCGGGTGGCAGTGGCAGGTGACAGTGGCAGGGCTTCAGGAGGGACCCTGACCCCTCACGGAGCATGTGTCCAGGAGAGGAGCGGCGTGCGCTTCAGTCTGGGGGTGATGCGGGGGCTTGGGAGCACGACAGGACTGGGCAGCGTCCTGCTTCCTTGGAGTCTGCTCTGCACACAGCAGTGGCTGCAGAAGGGGCCAGCCTGCAAGCCCTGGTTCAAAGCATGGGAGAGGGCACAGGCGCCCCAAGCCAGCACGTGCCCAGTGGGGGGGCCGCCTGGCCCCGTCCCGGGACCTTGGCTCTCGGGTGCACATAGTACAGGGCCGGCTGCTCTTCCTGCTGCTCCACACCTGCTCCAGACACGGCCTGGGGGCTGCACTGATCAGTGTCCTGAGGCTGATGCTTAATAGTGGATGCCAGAGGCCATCTGCATGCAACGGTAGACTGCAAGTCCCTCAGACAGAAACATGCTTTTTTCAGAGAAAGAAACTGGGGCTAAGCCTGTGTCAGCAGTTACTCCCTGTTCCTGTGGAGAAAGCAGGGACTTGTTCCACAAACTGGTGGTCTCCAAGCCATCCAGGCCAGAGTGGGTAGCATTTGCAAGACTGCACTGCCTGTGTTTGCTTTTGGTAACACTCTCAAACAGAAACTAATGGGAGTGCTATTGAAAACATGACTACTGATGTGTGGAATTTTCAGGAAGAAAGGGAAAAGTGTTTTCTTGTACCATTTCCTTCCTGTTTTTCCTCTGGGAGTTAAAAGGCTGTCTGAAAAGCATCTGGGCTATAAGAGACCACTTGAGTGTTTCTCTTTAGACACTCGTCTTGTTGTAGGATTACACTGAGTGGTCATCAGTGAGAAGCCTTCTGCCGTCTCAGCTCTGACTCGTGTCTGCTTTGCTCTCTTCCCTGTGTGGGCTCAGAACATGAGTGCCTGTGAGCTTGCCCTTCCAGACCCCAAGGTCTGCAGTGGAGGGGTGCTCGCCGTATCTGACAGGCCTCACCAGGAGCCGGGCTCTGCCCCATGATGGCAGCTGTGGCTGGGAACGGGAGCGGCACTCGCGGCACAGATGGCGCTCAGCCAGCGGCCGCCCTCCCAGCACCGGCGCACTGCCTGTGCTGCAGATGACCTGCCAGAGTGTGCGGCTCCTCTGAGTCCCAGAACACTCGGTGTTCAGGGGCTTTTGCTATTTCAGAAGTGGTTCCCTTGAGGTTTGGTTACTGCTGCCTTCAAGGAGTCAGAGATCCTGAGAGTCTTGTGTTCTGTTTTTGCTTACTGTCTTTCAGATGCTTCTCAGCTTCATGGGAAAGGGCCCAGTGTACCGAGGAAATTGTGATTTTCAGGGCAAAGGCTGGAAGCTGAACAACGAGGTCTCAGAAGTTGGATAATAATTACGCTCTGCCGTTGGTTTCCTTCTGGAGAAGGCGTGAGTGCTAAGTGGAGCATCTCTTGGCACGTGTGATGTGCCTTCAGTTCAGGGAGCAGCCCTGTGCTTCTCTGGGGGCCCCGGCCAGCCTGGTGCTCGGCACCTTGCAGCTCTGTTGCAGACAATCGTTGGAGGGGCAGCGCTAGGCCAAGGAGCATGCCGGCTCGTGCTGGGAGCTCTGGTGGCGGGGCAGAGCAGGTGGCCCAGCTCCTCGTGTTTGGCCAGAGTACCTCATCGCACCCTACTGGTCGGGGCTCCTTCTGGCCACAGTGGGCTCCCTGGTTGGTCAGAGTGTCCGTCCATCCTCCTGGCTTACACCCCAGCTGGGAGAGGTACCTTGTTCTCTGAACAATACTCAGAACACCCAACGTGTGCTCATCGTGGGGGCCAGTCTCTCCACTGAACATGACAATGAAGCTCTTTTAGAGAAAAGACCTTTGTAGATTCAACAATTGTGGTAGGATTTTTAAAGACACTTATTTTTGGCTCAGTTTTGATCCTTACCATTAAACGCATTGGATAGAATTGGACTGTTCTCCGCACGTCATGTTGTTCCTAGGAAGACATAATTCCAGTGCCTTTATGGTGGAGCAGGACTGGACACGTCCACTCGGCCCTCTGAGTGGGTCTCAGATGAAGACCTTTTTAAAGACATGTCTGTATCTAAGACAGAGCCAGCTTCTTTGAGTTTTCTATGGTTGCACATCACAACCTGGGCCATCCTGACTGGAAGGTCACCCGGGCCCCCGCCTCCCAGGTCCCAGCTCAGCCAGGGCCTCCACTTTGTTTCTCCCAAGTTCATGCAGGTAGGCTGCAGAGCCCCGAATTCCTTCTTCGTTTCTTTGAGGGCTGAGGATGTGAGGAGTTCCAGGCTGCAGGTAGACATTCCAGTTCATTGTAAAACTATGCTCAGGCAGAGCTGCGGGCACAGGCCCTTGGGAAGTGTCTGCCGTGCAGAAGCAGGCCTTGAGGTCCGCGCTCTCCAGACAGCAGGCTCTGCCTTCACTGGGAGATGGATGGGGCAGCGCCCCACTCAGCCAGCAGCTGCTTCTCAAGGATTTTCAGGCACTTGCCTGTCCTGTGAAGTCTGAACCGACTGCTCCAGCTAAGTCATTTCCCTTATGTTGAGAGTAAACAGCCTCCTCAGAATGTGCGCCTGCCTATGTGGAGATATGGGCAGTTCTTTTGGTTCCTGACTCCCAGGATATGATGCTTGGTGTCGTGATTTTTTCAGAGGCTGCCTGGCTCCCCGGGGAGCAAGACCACAGCCAGCCAGCTGGCCAGGCCTCTGCTCTGACTTTTTTTTAACAGAAAAACCAACATGTGTGTCACACGGGGCCAAGTGGAGTCCTTGTCCCTTTATTATACCTATTTTTTGCAACTTGGGTTTCCAGTTTACAGACTAGTCTTAGGTAGTAGCAAAAGAGCCAAAGAAGAGATTGGTATTGCTGAGCTCAGAGCGGCGCAGAGGCCGTCCGTCCGAGAGCGCTGAGCGGTGGGAGGACACCAGGTGCCCCTTCCCACTGTGCCCCCACCTCCCGGCACCACCCAGCTTACGGCCGGAGCAGGATGCCCTCCTCCTTAGGAATCTAGCGATGCCTCTTGCCTCAGGGAAACGTTTCTTTGATGGGGAGTTGATGAGGTTTCTTTTCCTTGTTGATGCTTTATTTGTGGTGACGGAAGAGTGAGTGACTTGAGCCACAGCAAGGAGGGCTGCAGGCGGAGGCGTCCCGGCCACCACGCTGCAGGCTCCCCTTGCTGGCAATTCTTGGGTGTGAAAGGGCTGTGGCTTTTGTGCAGCAACTATGTTGGTGTTGGGGGTGGTGTGGAAATTGTTAATCTTGTATAAAGCAACACAATAAATTGTTTCAAGGTTTCCAGAACATCGTTTCTTAACGCATTTCTTTTTACCATATTTGCAAGTAATTCTCTCTCCCTTAGGAGCTGGTAGTTGGGGAACACTCATTCTGGCTGAAAGCCAAGCAGGCCTTGGGGAATCAGCCCCACTCGAAAGAGAGGAAGAAACACACTTTCCATGAAATTAGAATCAAGCCACCAGGTGTTTTATTTTCACGCTATAAATAGAGTTCCCTCTTCCCATTTTCTTACATAATATATGAGATACAGAGAACCCAAATTTCATTTGGTAAAAAATCAACTGTGGAGTCTTACGTGGCAGTGAAAGAATAAGCAGGACCAGGCACCGAATCCAAGGCCAACAGAGACAGTCCACTAGCAAAGTACTTCAGTTACAGAACCATGACATGTTCTCTGATGGCGCGTTCTCTTGGGACAGTCTGGCTCGACAGTTAAACTTCACTTGAGCACCAGGGCCAGACGCTGTTCTAGTTTCTTTGCGCCTCCTTTGGTGTAGCGCCCAGATCAGGTTCCGCAGGAGGCCTCGATGGCGAGTCAGCTGAGCTGGAATCTGGAGGGCTGTGAGTGCTGGTGGTGGCCCCGGGGGCTGGGGCTTTGCCAAGCGGAGCCCTCCCTGCCCTGAGTTTCCCCGGCTGCGGTGCGGAGGCTAGTGCTCTGCGGGGCGGGCTGGCCCACAGGGCTGCTGGCTGTCTTGTGCTCTAGTGGTAGATGTCAGTTGCTTCCAGGTGCCCCAGGGGGAGTCTCTTGATAGAGGAGTGTAGGAGAGGTGGGGGGGGGAGACGGGCACTGCAGGCGTGAACGATTGGGGGACAAGCGGGTTACTCTCCAGGCTGGGGGATGGCTCAGTGGGGCCAGTCCCGCCTGTGGCTGGGCCCAGCAGCTGGGGTGGCGGCACACGGGGCTCTGCATGGACTGGGAGCTGTGCGGGGGCCAGGGAGAGAAGACCCGGGGAAGGGTCCCGGGCAGGAGTGAGCTGGCGGAGTCTTCCCTACTTCTGCCCTGATACCAGGACGGCCAGCTCCTGGATGGACATGCTCTTGTTGACGTAGCGGTCGTACTGTGCGGGGGTTAGCCGCCCGCTCTGCAGGGCCTCTTCGATGGAGAACTTCTTACCGGACTTCCTGTCGTGGATCACGGAGGACTCGCCACCGGGGCCCTTGACGGAGATCTCCTCCCAGTCACACTCCTGGCTCCTGAGCTTCACAAACATGTTCCAGTCGATGAGGCCGGCGCGGTGGGCCTCCTCGGGGGACAGCTCGCGGCCCGAGTCAGGGTCGATGACCACGATGGAGCGCCGCAAGTGGTTCTCCCTCTGCTCCCGCTTGATGGCCACGGAGCCCAGGCGCCGCTGCAGCTCCTCAATCTCCTGGTCTTTGTCCCTGGAGAGCCTCCTGAGGTCGTCCAGCTCCCGCTCCAGGGACCGCAGGCGCGAGTCGAGCTGCGCCCCAGGGTCAGCGCCAGCCATCGCAGGCAGGCTTCTTAGGCCCTGCGCCTCGGCCGCGGCCATCTCGATCTCTGACTGCAGCCTGCGGGCCTCGAGCTGCAGGCTCTGCCGCTCCAGCTGCAGCTTGTGGTTCTCCTCCCTCAGGAAGTCCAGCTCTTTGGATGACTTGGAGTTGCAAAACTCCAACTCTGACAGCTTGGCCTCCAGCCGGCTCACCTCGGCATCCAGCTCCCTCTTGCCACGGCTCTCGGCCTCCAGACTGCCCCTGAGCCTCTGGATCTCCTGCTCCGTGTTGCCTTTCTCCACCTGGACGCTCTCCGAGAAGACCACCTTCTCCTTGACCTCCATCTTCTCCAGGCGCTCCAGCTGCTGCTTCAGGGTCCCGAGCTCATGCTCCAGGCCCTGCCGGCGGTGCCGCTCTTCCTCCAGCTGCAGGGCCAGCAGGGCGTGCTCCCGGGCCTGCTGGGGATCCTGCTGCAGCACCACCTTCTGCGTGAGGGTCACCTTCTCGCGGGCCTCGCCCTCCTGCGCCTCCAGCTGGGCCAGCCGCTGCTTGAGGTGCTGCACCTCCAGCTCGGCCGCGTGGCGCGCCTGCCGCTCGCGCTCCAGCTCCTCCAGCTGGCACTCCAGCTCTGCCCGCCGGCGCTGCAGCCGCCGCAGCTCACCGCGGAGGCTGTCGATCTGCCGTAGCTCCGTGTCGATGCTCTCGGTGAAGGCGCTCACCTCGGCCCGGAGGCCCGGCTCCTCCTCGTACCTGACCACCTCCTGCTGCACCACCACCTCCTTCCCCCGGGCCAGCTCCTCCTCCTTCTCCTGGATCTTCTCCTCCTGGGACGCCCGCTCCCGCTCCAGGTCCACCTGCTTCTTGTGTTCCTCGGCCAGCCGGGCCCTCAGGGCCGCCACTTCCTCTTTGGTCTGGGGGTCTTCCTGGAACTGCAAGATCTCCTGGACCACCTCCTTGGTCTGCACCTGGGGCTTGGCCTCTTTGAGGGACTGGATCTCCTGCTTCAGCTGGTAGATCTCCAGGTCACACCTCTCGATGAGGCGGGTCTTGTCCACGATCTCCTCCCTGAGCCTCTGGAGCTCCTTCTCCGTCTCCGGGTCCGTCGTGTACTTGATGACCTCCTTGGTCACCTCCTTGACCTCCACCTGGGGGCCCCGCCTCCGAAGTGCCTCCAGCTCGCTCTGGTAGCTCTTGAGCTGCTCCTCGGCGCCCCGGTACTTGCGCTCCTGCTCCACCAGCTCCAGGCGGAGGTTGGCCACCTCGCTCTCAGCCTTGGGGTCGGGCCGGACAATCTCTCGCACCTTCTCCTGCACAACCACCTTGGCGTTCTCCTCCTCCAGGGCCCAGATCTTCCGGAGCAACTCGGTCTTCTCCCTCTGGCTGGCGCGGGCCCTGGCAGCCTCATCCTCGTACCGGCGCTGGAGGGCGCCCACCTCCCGCTCAGCCGCTGCGTCCTTCTCCACCTTGAGCACCTCCTTGACGGTGATCTTGCCCTCAGCCATGGCCCGTTCCTTCTCCAGCCTCTTGAGCTTGTCCTGCAGGAAGCCCAGCTCCTCCTCCTGCTTCTCCCGGAGCCCCTGCTCC